TTTTCCACTTGCAGGCGCAGTTGCAAACACGGAGCTTTTGGCTTCCTCCTCGTTGAGCAGGCCTTTGGTGAATTCGTCATCCTCATCTTCATCCTCACCCTCACCCGCACTGTCAGCCTCCTCATCTGAGTCTTCCTCCTCTTCGCTAACAAGTTCGAGGTCTGAACCGCTAGCCACCAGGTCGTCTTCGATGATGAAATCATCTTCATCATCAAAGCCTAGCTCTGTAGCAGTCGGGCGGGTCTTGATTCCCTTTCCGAGGCCAAAATCCTCATCCTCTTCTTCGGGGTTGATGAACTCGAAGGCAGGCTGCTCAGTAGGTTGATCCTCCATTTCCTCATCCTCATCCTCCTCGTCACTGGAGACCGGCTCTCCGTTCATTCTCTTCAGGCGCTTTTCCTCGAGCTCCCTCAGTCTCTTGGATTCCTCCTCAGCCTTCTCTTCGTCGGTCTTGGTACGTTCAGTGGGCGCGGCTCTGCGGTCCTGAACAAGCTTCTTAAGACGCAAGTCGAAGTCTTTGTTGAAGGTAGCCCGGTCGACGCCGGCAATCAGTTTACCCGAATCATTCGTCTCATCAGTGTCGACATTTCCACGAGAAAACAGAAGAGCCTGGAGGTTAGGCAGCTCTTTGTCCAACTCCCGTCTTAAATCATCGTCCTCGTCCTTTGCGACCTGTCGCTCGTACTTGTACATCTTCGACTTTGCAATAACCTCCTCCATAACTTCCTTTTTGGTCTTTTTTCTCTCTGGCTGCTCCTCGCCAGTCTCCTCTCCATCTTCGCCCATTCCAGCGTTACGAACGCGTTTGAGCCTCTTTCTCAACATATCTGAGTCGTCGCTCTCGAAACCTCCGAGATCATCTTCGTCAAAATCGTCTGCGAGTGCCGAGTCATCAAAGGTCAGAGACTGGCCCATATGGGTCAGTTCTCCAAGAGGCTCAGCCTCTTCAAGGTCGAAAAGGGATGTCTTCTTGTGCGTCCTTTGCTTCTCCCGTGCAAAACGTTCGATCATCTTTTCCTCCTCGGCCATTGCAGGGTCATTTTCACCAAATCGACGGTCAAGAATTCCGCCGACCTTGTTTCGTTTCTGCATCTCGACGAGCAGCGTCTCTCGGCGCTATATGATGCGCATTAGTATGTAGAACCTACTGCGACAGGACTTGGTGTTCATACCCTCTGCTCGCCGATTGACTTGGCGACGCTAGGACGGCCATTGATTCCTTTCGCGGCGGCTCCGGTCGGAGGTCGGTTGCTGGTGACTTCAAACTTGGGTCCTCTTGGATTATGCTTAAGATCGAAAGGGTTGAATTGTTCCCTGATTTGCCCCAGGGCGACACTCTTCTGTAAGCGTTTGTCGTTCTTGGCCTTTTCCTCCTGGGCAATCTGACGCTTCTGTTTCTTCGACTTCTGGGGCCCAATAATCCCCTGCTCCTTGAGGGAAGACTTTAGTCGTTTGAGCTGCGAGCCGGCCATTTCGTCAAACACACCTAGAACCTGGTGTCGAATCCGCTGCTAGAAAACCACAGATGCTCGATCGCCCAAAATTTTTGTGAGGGACGACCAGCTTATCTTATCGCTTTAGTGGGGAAAATATGGGCGGTGGCGCATGGCAGAACGAGCCTCAGCCATGGTCCCAAGCTTCGCGATTGACCCTTGGGTTAGCTACCTGTACGGCTCTACCTCGTCTGCGTTGTCCCTGTCACCATTCTCAAACTTCAATGCTTGGAGCACTTGGGAATATCATGCATCAATAGCTTTATGCTAATAATCAATCACTATGACTTTCATGTCATTTATTCGCGATGAGCGCCTCGTTCTCCTGGGAATCGGCGCCGCTACGTTTGGCCTGGTCACTATGATGACCCAGATGCTGACGTATATCCGCGACGAGAATGAAGTGAAGGTATCACCCCCCAAGACGCAATACATTACCCAGGAAACTGAGGACGCGCTTGGCTTGGATACTCTTGACAAACTTCTCTGTCATCCTAACTTTTCAATTCGGGATATCGCGATTAAGATCCTTTGTGATCGTGCTGTCAATGATGCCGACACAGTTCGATACCTGCTTTTCGGCATCACCCGGCCTGACTACGACACTCGCATGCAGAGTCTTCGTGCTCTTGCCACACTGACTGGTCAGACCAACGGTGAGAAGCTTTCTTTCACTTGCTGAGCGGAAGGGCTGACTGACTTATAGACTTTGCAGAGGGACTCTCTAAACTGCACACATGGAGGGCGTATACAGCTCTTGTGAGGTCCCTCGAGTTGAGCCTGGATGATGTGGAACATACGAAACTCGATGATAAGTACTGGGACGAATACTATTTACGGGACATGGCTGAGCGGTTCTGTCTCATGTTTGTCCTCGAGCTCATCACCAAATATGGTGCCGATATGCTGGTCAAGGCCCATTTCGTGGAGAAATGGCTGGCCAAGCAGCCGTGGGGAGACAACGAAGCGGAGATCCAGGAAAATTTTATTTACTACATGGAACATAAGAATAACCGCATTGTCGATATCGTCACGAGGATTGCACATACTACTGCGGGAGCGAAGGCAATTGTTGCCTGCAAGTTGGCGTCCAAGACCAATTTCAACCTTACTCCGGATGCGAACATTGCCGGCTTCACAATTGCATTACAGTCGACACTTTGCAATGCGGAAACCGAAGAAGGACAGCCATCAGTGGAGCAAGTGCCTCGTACGAGGGAGCACTCAGCTGAAGAGCAGCGCCTTAGGCGCCAACACCGTGAAGCAATGGTGTTCAACGATGGCACTCGGCCTATTGGGAGGGAAGACATAATTGAGCGGAGCCACGATTCTCCGAGCTGAACAGAATTAGACGTTTATGACACGAGATTTCATGCGGGTGCTGCTGTCCGCGAGATGGGGAATGTTTTATTACTCCATGTCGTGGAGTGAATCAGGGGCTATACCCAAAACTGACCGCAAAGAGGTATGAATGATATGAACACGGTTAGAAGAAGAAAATTACTCCGAGTCAACACGGCCCGGCGCGGTAGGCAGCAAGGGATATCCTACGACCTGAGGCGCGTCGAAATGAAGGAAGTCGACGCCGAGCTTGTTGCGGATTTGAAGCATGTAGAAAAAGCGCGGCATCATTGCAGGTCACTTGGAATTCATTAGGCGTGAGGTAGGGGATCCAATGTCTGGCAGACCAAGCATGCGAGTGCTATTACGATGTGAGAGACACGCAGGAAATGAGCAAAGGCGTGCTATCCCTAGAGTAACAATGGCATGTCGAGAAAGAGGAGACAACTTTTAAGCTGTCACTACTGATCATGACCTGTGCTATCCATATTCTTGGCAATAGGTGTTAACCAAAGTAGCAATGTATTCAATGTGCTATCCATATTCTTGGCAAAAGGTTTTAACCAAAGTAGCAATGTATTCAACCGAAATTCTAGTGGCTGAAAGATCGACAGACCGATTGTCGAGTCTATTTTCGTCCGATGATGCTTCAAGTTCCGACGCTTCACAAGGGCGGTAGGTGTCCAGCTTCCAATTAGCGTTAACGTCCCGCACCCACATTTGGGCACCCCCCACATTTGGGCACCCCAAAAATCGCTCAACACCATGACTACCCCTCAACTTCAATTATTTACCACTTTTTCAACTTTTCACTAATTACAATCAAACTTCATATGCTTATTATTTATACCTATATACGCCAATATACCGAAGATGACATGCTCAAGGCACTTAAGGCTGTTACCAGCGGCTGCAGTGTAAAAAAAGCAGCTCATGATAAGGGCATACCACGAACTACACTACAAAACAGAATAAGAGGTCACCAAACAAGAGGTATTGCTTTCACTAGGTTACAGAGGCTATCACCAACCTAGGAAAGTCACTTAGCTAAATAGATTCGAATACAAGCTACCCTAGGCCTTCTACCAACCCATCAACAGCTTAAGGATTTTGCTAAGAGGATTCTACAGACACGTAGAGACTTCCAGCCTCTCGGAAGAAACTAGGTTTAATCATTTATTAAGAGAAATCTATCAATCAAGGTTTAGAGAAGCAAAGCAATTGATTCCCAGCGTGTCAATAGTGCCTCAACTAATATAATTAGGGAATAGTTCAAGCATCTCGCTCTACCTAAGATACAGGCAATCAAAGCAAGCAATCGATATAATATAGATAAAACAGGTATTCTAGAAGGCAGAGGATTAAATAGATTAGTTCTTAGATCATTAAAAACTCGCTCTATTCGAAAGAAACAGCCTAGGTCTCAGGCTTAGACATCTCTGATTAAGTATATCTCTACAACTAGCAAGGCACTGCCTCTACTTATAATATATAAGGGGAAGACTATTTAATAATAGTAGTTTCCTCTCGATTTAACTAAATATGATAGCTAGAAGTTCATAGCAATAGAAAATAACTAGACGTCGGATTCTACTACTATTAAATAGCTACAGAAGGTCTTCATACTATTAACCTAACTGTCACAGTTCTATTAGACACAACAGCAGGGATGCCACAGTTATGGGGCTGCCAGTGTGGCTGCCAGTGGGGCTGCCACACGTGGGGCGATACTGTCGCCCTAGACCGCCCTATAGGTATATTAGACCACCTGTTCGCTAGACCTAGGATAGACCTAACCTAATAGACAACAATGACTAGAACGACTTATTAACTGTGACAAGTGGTAGCACAACCTACTTTGCGATCCCTCGCGACCTCATAGTTAATTTTTCAGCATGGGCAAATAAGCTACTTTTTTCAATCCGTTGAGAAACACCAGACCGTGGCCAATCCGCCCGCACCAGGCTAATTCTGCTGCTAACGCTGCTGCTAACGCCGACGCCGCCAATATGCGCGCACCAGCTATACTATTCGCCTCCCCTCAAGACCCTACGCGAGACCATCACCCCTCGTACCGTCAACGCCGTTATCCCTCTACGCCTACGCCAGCGTGGGACCCAACGGTATGGCCGTCAATTGACGACCTCAAGGCTATCCAGACCCGCCAACAGCGCCCAGAGCCCTGCCGGAAGTGTAGCGCTAGATTCCCCAGCAAGAACGCTCTCTTCCGCCACGTCTATGCCAATAGCTGTGGAAGCCAGTTTCGCTGTCGCATCTGCTATAGCGATTTCACATCTCGCAACGCCCTATTCCGACACCTACAACAGGGCTGCCAGCCCTCAGCCTGTAGGGCTGGAATCCCACAGCAGGAGACTGCTAAGACTACTGCCGAGACTACTGCCGAGACTACCGCCGAGACTACTGCCGAGACTACTGCCGAGACTACTGCCGAGACTACTGCCGAGACTACTGCCGAGACTACTGCCGAGACTACTGCCGAGACTACTGCCGAGACTGCCGAGACTACTACCGAGACTACTGCCGAGACTACTGCCGAGACTGCCGAGACTACTGCCGAGACTGCCGGCCAGACCATAGAAGTTATAGAACGGGCTTCTGCGCCGTTTCTACAGACCCTCTTCAACGCCGCTAAGCATGCCCATATCTATACCGAAATTAGCCTCTGTATGACTATGCTACAGTCCCAACGACAACAACAGCAACTGCTTTTCCTACCAGACCCAGGGAGAAGATTCGCAGCCATAACGAACATTCAGCAACGATACGGAGTATTCTGGCCCGACGCCGACAGCAAGTACGGCAGGGAGCCTATATTCTATGACCAACAGACACTATGCTACCGAGACGTAGATCTATGGCTCTTAGCAATTGGAAGGAAAATCGTTAATCCATACGCTCGAGACGAAGTCCTCCGAGAATGGCAGAGCCTACTCAGAGGTAAAGCACTCAGCTGGTGGGAATATCACCTTAGGCCCGTGGAAAGGAACCGGTATAGGGCCCTAGGATGGTACGGCCTACAGAAGGGACTAAGTGCCCGCTTTAGGCCAACCCAGCTAGTTAATTACAGCAAGCCAGCCAGCCAGCCAGCCAAACTAGTTACGCCCAGCCAGACAGTTACGCCCAGCCAGTTAATTACAGCCAGCCAGCCACCCAGCCAGACAGTTACGCCCAGCTAGTTAATTACAGCCAGCCAGCCAGCCAGCCAGACAGTTACGCCCAGCCAGACAGTTACAGCCCAGCCAGACAGTTACGCCCAGCCAGACAGTTACGCCCAGCCAGTTAATTACAGCCAGCCTTAGGCATACCCCCCTATTACGCCTCGCACTAATAGAGGCCTAAGGAAGTCATGTTATTAAGCCGTTTAAAGTCATGTTTAGGCAGCCGAAACGATCGGGACGATCGTCTTTTTCGGGACGGGCACCTGTCACAGTTCTATTAGACACAACAGCAGGGATGCCACAGTTATGGGGCTGCCAGTGTGGCTGCCAGTGGGGCTGCCACACGTGGGGCGATACTGTCGCCCTAGACCGCCCTATAGGTATATTAGACCACCTGTTCGCTAGACCTAGGATAGACCTAACCTAATAGACAACAATGACTAGAACGACTTATTAACTGTGACACTAACCCCAAGACCCTAAAAAGTCTAGATTACTTATTTTTAATAGGCATAGTAGCTATGAAACAACAGAATTTATGTATATCTACTTTAAGAATAAGATACTCTTACTCTTCCTACCGCTATATACATCCCACGTTCTTCAGCCGCTAAATCAATCAATATTTAGGCCGCTGAAAGCCATATATAAGAAAAAGCTTCTATACCTAGATCAATAGGATGCTAGCACTATCACAGGCAAGAGAAACTTTCTCCTCTACTATGGAAAAGTACGCTATATAGCATTTATAAGCAAGAATATTATTAGCGGTTGGAAATATATAGGTCTATAGCCTATAAGCATAGCCAAACCGCTAATAAGCCTTCTTCTACTTAGGAACCTATCAACACCAGCTAGACAGACCGATCAGCCTTATAAGGGACTGTCTAATGCTATAGCAGGCGAAAAATAGGCATCAGAGACATTAGCAGTATACTAGTCAACGCTAACGAAGCGGTCTAAGCTACAGGATCAATTCAACTTATATAACAAGGTTAGGCATGATTGAAATACTCAACGGCTGCTTTTTCGCAAGGTTCAAAAGGGATTTGATAAACAGAGCTATAAACTGGCTATAGCTCAGCGAAAGATTAAGGCGCTGGAAGCAGAAGTTGAGGCATCTAAGGCTAGGAAGCGGAAGAAGGTCACAACAAGCCCAAATTCGAAGTTTGCCAACATTGAAGCTATTCGGAAGGCTCAAATTGAGGCGGGCGAAATTGAGGATAGCTCAGATGAATCCAGCGAGTCTGATTTACCTAATCTTGAGGGAAATAGTATTGTTATGGCAATAGATTAAATATAATCAATGGCTGAAGTTGATGTATAGTGAAATGCATCATGATTTTTGGGGTGCCCAAATGTGGGTGCGGGACGTTATGAAGCAACAGTTGTGCAGTTCATTCAGCTGCCAACTCCACCGTTCCTAAAAGCTTTGGCGCTAGACCCCAGGGACCCTCTCTCGGCTTGTAGCCATTTCTGGCTGGAGCGCCCAGGCTGACCCTGCTTTTCGGGACCGAGTATGGGATTTCCCTGAGTAGTGACCTCCAACAAGACGAGAAAGTGGTACTCTACCCCGTTAAGAAAAACAGACGACGGGCGGTTATGATTTAGAAAGTAGAGGGAGTTTGATCACCCCAACCCTTCTTGCCGGTGAGTGCTGAATTGACCAGAACAAAGACGACCAGGAGTAATACAATCTGTGACAAATGCAGCTGTCACCACAACTCTGTTTTGGCCACTGATGTGACCAACCTGATTCGCAACACACAGCCGACTAGGGACCTGCATGGTATCCATACCTTTCCAGTACACTCTTGACTCTTTCGGGCATTGTCGGTGACTCCCGGTCTCTGCTATGTACTACACACTACTACACAGTAGGGCAAAATGCCCCTGGACCATCACGGAACGGAAGCAGCTCCTTGTCGATTAGTATTATTTGTTGTGGCCGCCCCGGCTCGGTTCAACGACGGCGGCCATCTAATTTGGGAGGCGTTTAACAGCTGACCGGGGAAAGGGAGCCAGATCTAAGATTAAAAGTCCAGAATTGAGCGACGACTGGTCAGCTGCGATACTTGGGCTGATGCTCCGCCAGCTCGCATCTGAAGCAGTTGGCTTCTTTTGCGCTAACGAGCACATCCTAAGACAGTATACTGTGGTAGTAAATGACAATGACATGAGGAAGGCATGAGTTGGAGAAAGACATACATATTGAAGGCGAACACGTTGCATCCAAACTTGCCTGGGCGGCTGTTGGCCCCGCTGCCTGCATGCAGCGATAACGGTAACCACGTTGAGACGATGCAGGGCTACGGCAGCGTCATGGCAACCATGAGGAGTTGGACGCAACAGGAGCCACTGAGGACGGCCATGAGGGACCCTCTCGAAGATCTGCGGCTGCACCACGATGGAGATGAGGAAGGGCTGGTGCAGAGTCCCCGTCCAATTGCAGCTACCGAGAGACCGTTTACCTGCCCAAGGCCATCACGAACAGCCGCCACTGCTCTTTACTGGATTTGGGTGCAGGTAAACATTGAGAGCTGTTGCTCATGATACAAAGAGGTCGTTCCCATCGTCCATCCCCGACGCTGCCGCAGTCACGGCCAGCAAGCTCTCTTTTCGCCAATCTTGCCGTCCACCTCCTTGGTGTGTCTTGATCTTGTCTCTCCTTACACCGCGCCAGCCGTATTCTGTGAACAACTGGTCTTTGCATCCACGCATCTTAGTTCTCCATTCCAACACGATACCAAATTCCTCACCACGAACGGACGAAAGTGCTACATCGTCTAGCCTGTCGTCATCAACAAAATTAGTGCTACGCTCCTGGCGGATCAGCAATTCTAAACCAATTCCCTTTCCCTGATACCCATCGGCGCCCCCCCTGTATTTCGTTGGCCTACGGATCCCTACCCAAAAGGCTAAACCAAAAAGTGGCCAACGTCTGAGAGCCCATCTAGAGTGGCCGTGCTTTCAAGGGGATAGGAGGCTCAGAGCGTCACAAAAAGCCCCTCATCTCGCAAGCATTTCTTGTCGCACCGGCTTCTTCTGTCCTCTTTTCCCGTCATCGTCATCATTGTCGTTCGAAGCGCCCGTGTCGCTGCCCGGACCACTGTCGCTGTCAACTTACTCCCCGGAGCACTGGCCAAGCTGATTGGGGCTGTCAGCCGTCTGACAAGGACATTGAAAGACAACGCGGCCGCTGCCAAAGAGACAAGACAGCATCCTTCTGCCAAACGCTCTTACCTTTATTTTAGGTCGAGACACCACAAGCTCCCGAGACGATCACTCCTCACGGTTCATTGGTGTATTTTAGTCTCCTTTCGGCAGAACGCATCCCCCATTTTCCCGGATTGTCGACCCGAAATTTCTCCCGCCAGCCAGGTCTTGCATTTCTTTTCCTGTCCTATTCGCCCAAGAAGGCTCTCGCCTCTCATCTCATTCGCTCTCGGCTGCCACTGCGACTAAGGCAAGCTTGCATTGCGCTATCCGGCGGGCGACCAGTGGGGCACCGGGAAAAATCACCACAACCTGGAACCTGGCCTGACCTGCGCCGCTTAGCAAAGCGCCGAGGCCAGTAAAGTTGCTGTCCAGCACTCCTCTAGTGGTTGCTCTAGTGGCCAGGTCCCTGCCCACCTACCGCGGCACCACTAATTATTGCCTTCTATACATCCGAACCATTATTTCATCATGTCCATCACCACAACAACAGCGCCCGCCGCATACGCGCCGACCCATAGGTCTCTCGCCCACCCGCAGCGCTCTCTTCGCAAAGCAACCAGCTTCACCAGTGCTTTTTCCTCAGCCACATCCGCTTCTTCTCCCAGCCTCAACTCGCTCTACAACGCTCACTCGCGTCTCACACCTTCACACCAAACCCTCCCGCGAAAATCTTCCTTGGCTGCCCTTACGTCCAACTCCCTCGCCTCCATTCCCGATGTGAGCGAGTCCTATGCCTACAACAGCGTGCTAGCCGAGTCGCCCGATCGCAAAATGGTTCCAACAACTCCCGGCAAGCCCGGGAACGATTTTGATATTGGCGATGTCGTCGAGGTTCCAGGCAATATGCTCGGCACAGTCCGTTTCATCGGTACGGTCCAAGGAAAGAAGGGCACATTTGCTGGTGTGGAGCTACATCCAGAGTTCTCTCAGCGGGGGAAGAACTCTGGCGAGGTAGAAGGGTGTGTCCATCATGCTCCTCCGTCTTTGCCGTTTAGTGTAAAAGCGACGTAGCTAACATTTCTCTTTCCTAGTGTATCGTACTTCACCACAACTCTGCCCGGCGCTGGTATCTTCCTGCCCGCTACCAAAGCTGTAAGGCGTGATTCTCCTCCCGGCTCTTCGTCGAGCTCGTTTCCACACACACCCACCGCAAGCACCATGGGTGGCTTGAAAGTCGGAAGTCAAAATTCAACCAACTTCACTCCTCCCACGCCATCACTGCCTACTTTCAGCAAATCTGTCGGCCCCGGCCGCTCAGCCAGCCCCGGGCTAAAGAAACCCAGCAAACCGTCCTTGCGACCCGAATCGCCCATACGAAAGCTGCAGATGACGCCTGGCCCACGACCATCCCTAGCAACCCCCAACAGGGTCCCGTCCAAATACACGTCCCCCACTGGCAACAGGTTCGCCCAGAGTGTCCGTGGAACAGCTGGGGACCCTAGCAAGACGCCAAGACTCGATAGGAAACCCAGCGTGGGACCTCGCAGCGCATCTGCGCTTGGTCAGACATCTTTGTTCGATGATGAATCGACACCAACTGCATTACATCGAACCAAGACCAACGGCAGTGTAACATCGGTCTCTTCCTATAGCTCTCAGTTTCGAGTTCCCTCGCGCGCTGGATCAAGAGCAGCATCACGGGCCAACAACGACCATGAAATGGAGCGGCTCAGGACGCAGCTGGAGGATCGTGAGAGACAACTGCGGGATCAGGCAGCTACGTTGGCTGAAATGGAGAGTAGTCTTACCGAACTGCAAACACTCATGGAAAACTCGGATATGACGGCATTCAAGCGAAACAGCCTTGACGATAAGGACTCAGCCCAGCTTCGATTGCTGATCAGGGAAAAGAATGACAAGATTGCCATGCTCACTGCCGAATTTGACGCCCACCGAGCTGACTTCCGAAGTACCATTGATACCCTGGAAATGGCTAGTACCGAGACTGAGCGGGTGTACGAAAAACGCATAGATGAGCTCATGCAGGAGATCCGGGATCTTGAGTCTCGGACCGACGACGTGGATGTCGTCGCTCGCCAATTGAAGCAGCTCGAGGAGCTGGTTCAAGAACTGGAGGAAGGGCTTGAAGATGCGCGACGTGGCGAAGCTGAAGCCAGAGGCGAGGTCGAGTTCCTCCGCGGTGAAGTCGAGCGTACGCGGACTGAGCTGCGCCGTGAACGTGAAAAGGCATCGGCTGCAGCGAACGATTCTGGAGGCCTATCAAATGGCGACCGCCCCTCTGGCTCAAAAGAGCTTGAGCAAAAAGAAGATGAGATCCGAGGGCTGAAGGCCATCATCCATTCACTCAGTCGAGATTCAGTCCCTGATGCAGGAGCCGACAAGGCAGAGGACCCCTCCATCCGCGAGAATGCCCTAGCCCGGGAGAGGCTGGAGAGAGAACTGACGGAACTTCGCGCTCTTGTCAAGGACAAGAACCACCGCGAAGAAGAGTTAGAGCGGGAAGTGGAGATGCTGCGTAGGGGAAGCGCCACCACCCAGCAATCAAGCTCTTTCACGAACGGCAGTGCTCAACGCTCGTCACTACGCGACTCGCGCGATACTGTCATCTTGATGCGGAACAGCGAGACTCGTTCCCCCGAGGCGACGCACAAGCGTGGCCGTACATTGGACACCATGCCCGAGAGTGACACTTACTCGTCAGTCACCGAAAACAGTACCCTCTGGTGCGAAATCTGCGAGACTGGCGGCCATGACATTCTCACTTGTACCAACATGTTTGGTACCGATGGTGGCAAGACCAACGGCGATGGTAGCAAGTCGAGCAAGGACATTGCTAGTGAAGCCTTGAAGCCTATGAACGATGAGGATAAACCTCCTCCCCTGTCTCCGATGAAGCCGAAGCCCTCTGCTGCTCCTCCAGCTACGTTGCCAGCCGCTCCTCCAATTGTCAAGATTCTGCCAAATCCCATGGAGAATGGACCTGTTGCGGGCAAGGACAGCGGTGTCGTGGATAGCTCGAAATGGTGTGCCCTTTGCGAGAGAGATGGACACGACAGTGTCGACTGCCCGTTCGAAGACGCATTTTAGGGAAATGAGCTTTGAACCTCGATAGCGAAAGCAGTCGACTTTTGAAGTTTACTAAGGGTTAGGCATGGCGGTCTTGCCCCCCTTCTTATAACCGCGTTGAATTATTTTCAAGAAGCCAACCTGTATGATGTCTGGTTTTGTGTAGGATTCCTGGGTGGCCAGAGCGGCGGAAGTTTTCTGTTCGTCACAGCATTTGTAGCGATGATACCACAGTTCGAGCAGAGACACGTTGGGGCTTGTGAGTTTTGCAGCTCTATCCCAGCAGGAAGGAGGAAGGAAAAGAACATGAGAAAGAGCCTTTTGGTTTCTTGTTTTTCATGTCACAGGACTTCTCTAATATCCTTAATAGTAGACCTTAAACATGAGGCTATCACAGACAACCCCAAGATCGAGTTTTCAGTGCTTCGTTCGCATGTTGTAAGAAATGGACTAACATTCGAGGCCAGTCACTAACATACAATGATGAGGGGGCTGCATTCAGACGACAGGGGTCTTCCCGTTGTTACCGGCCGGGGGTGGCCGTCTCCAGAGCTGAGCTTGTACTATGTATGGTATTCCCCACCTAGAGGTCCCCGTGGCGTTTCACGGTCTCTGCGCGGGAATCCTAGCTCAGTAAGGCGGTGCCGACCAGAGAGGGACGCTGCATTACTGGACGAGTAGAGCGAACTCAAGTAGTAATTGATCTGATGTTTCCTTCCATTTAATCGCCGCTTGTCTCAAAGTTTTCAACTTCTTTAAGTTTTGTCTTTTTTCTCTCTCCCTTCCATTTCATACGCTTGTCTGTTTTGTGCACTTGGTGAATCCCAATCACTTTCCGTCGTCAAAAATCTTGGGATTACGCGGTTCCGGCGGACACAGGATTCGACAGGCACTCTGCTGCGTTCCCCGAAGCGATTTACCTGACGTGCCCATCCTTGGCCCCCTCTGTTTTAAGGACCCGCGTCAGCTCCTGCCCACTTTGGTTGCCGGGGCTCAGAGCTAGCTGTCCTGATTCTTTTACGGTGCGAAGCGCGCAAAACGTAACCTCAATTCGCAACGAGGCTGTGCAGCTTCCTCTGGAGTTTTTTTTTTCTTTTCTTTTTCTATCTTCCTTTGAAAGTCGAAGGCTATACCTTTTGTACCAGGGTTTTACTCTCCAATCAACACCCTATAGGTGAGCCAATTCGACCCGCCCGATTGTAGCGACAATACACTTTGCTTGGGACGGCAGAACCTACCCCAGTCGTTGGTCTCAACAACACCACCGACCGTTCCAAACACCCACGAAGCGTCCAACGAAAGCACGTTTAACGACAATCCGCCGAAATAAGAATAGCCAGCCATGGCGCAGATGCTGCTTGATGTGTTTTATTCCTTCGGGAACTGCCTAAACTGCTTTCCTGGCTCGCCATCCCTCAAGATCAATGGCCGTAACTTCAAGATCCTCCGTCTTCTCGGCGAGGTAAAACATTCCCCTCCATCAAATATCACAAGCAGGATCCTACCTGGCCACTGGAGCCACTGTTAAACTACTGGGTAACTAAAGAACGACACTGACAGAAACATCGCAGGGCGGCTTTTCCTACGTATACCTAGTCCAAGATACCTCGTCTGGCGAGGAACTCGCCCTCAAGAAGATCCGATGCCCCTTCGGCGCGGAGTCCGTCGCACATGCGATGAAGGAAGTCGAGGCATATCGTCTCTTTGCCCGCGTGCCCGGGATAATCCACGCCGTCGACCACGCCATCGCCACTGAGCGCGGCGGCGAGCCTGGCTCCAAGACCGTCTACGTTCTACTACCTTACTACCGCCGTGGAAACCTACAGGACCTGATCAACGCTAATCTCGTCAATCACACCGCGTTCCCCGAGCGCCGTCTCATGCTGCTCTTTCTCGGTGTATGCAAGGGGCTCCGCGCGATGCACAAGTACCGCGGCCCGCCGGCCGGGATGGAGCGTATGGAGATGGGACACGGCGACGAGGAAGATCAGGCTGACGCGTCCGGCCCGAAGAAAAAGGGCAAGAACAAGGGCGGAAAGAGGGTCAGCAGTGTTGCTGCGGCAGCGGGTGCGGACGAAGAGGACGAGGAGGACCAGCAGAGGCCGTTGATGGAGGGCGAGACGCCCGGCGCAGGCGACGTCAAGTCGTACGCGCATCGTGATATCAAGCCAGGTAAGACTTGACCCCGGAGCCCCCTCCTTTTAAAGGGAGGCCACGGAAGCTGACGAGAACGTCTTCCCCAGGAAACATCATGATAGATGACTCGGGTTCGAACCCGATCCTGATGGACCTCGGCTCAATCGCCCCGTCCCCGATCGTAATCACTTCGCACTCCCTCGCCATCGCGACGCAGGACACCGCCGCCGAACACAGTACGATGCCCTACCGCGCCCCGGAGCTCTTTGACGTACGCACGGGGACGGTCATCGACACCAAGGTCGACATTTGGTCTCTCGGCTGCACGCTCTACGCTTGTCTTGTCGGCAAGTCCCCCTTCGAAGCTCGCTCCGACGAGACGGGCGGTTCGCTGAGCCTCTGCGTCCTCGGCGGCGACTGGCGGTTCCCCGACGAAGGTGTGAAGCGCACTGGTACAGGGATGAAGGGGAAGGCCGTCGACTCGGGCAATGGCGGCTCGTCGGCAGGCGAGACCAAGATCAGCGAGCCCATCCGAGAGGTCGTGAGGAAATGTCTCAAGGTTGAGCCTGCCGAGAGGCCGGACATTGACGAGCTCATAGACATGGTGGAGACTGTCATCGAGGAGCTACCTCAGGAGGGGTCTTTGTGAAGTTGAAGAAAACAACACATAACACAAGGCCGCCGATTGATCCATGTACTGTATAATGATGTCATCTTTTCCACTATTCCCCGGGAATTTGCAAGGCTTCGAAAGTCACCACGGCGTTCTAAGGGTGGGCGCATGTAGGATCAAGGAAATAGAGAGCCATTCTGATTTTTTTTTTTTAAGTGCTTTACATAGGTATTCACACACTCACAAACTCACAATCATGAGCTTGCTCGGTCTCCTACCATTCAATGTTCATAAGGTGCTGAATTAGCAGTTTACCATCCCATCATGCATTCTCGTCCAGTTTAAAAATCATCAAAGGGAGTCGGCATCTCGTCAGTCTCGGTTTCGTCTGAGTCACAGTCATGGTTGAGACCGCAATCGCTGAGGTTGTCATCCTACAACTCTAGGCGGTATGAGGCGATCTCAAACGGCCGCAGGGTGATGGGGAACTTTCCGCCTTCAATCTTAATTTCTTCGATATCGTCTTCGAGCAGGTTGCACTTGTAAACGCGCTTAACGTCCCAGGTCGTCTCAATGATACCCTTGCTCTGGCCACCGAGACTGTCGTAAACGCGCAGAATGACGTTGCGACCCTTGCGCTTGGGAAGATCGCCACGTGTAACATCTTCATCGTCTTCGCCACGCTTGACGGTGTCAAGTACCAGAGAACCATCTCCAGTGAGCGTCACTGGGCTCTTAGCGAGAGATGCCTGCGCAGCGCTGGGCCCCGAAAGAAGTCGGAGAGGGTTGTTGAAAGCATACGCCGCACGCACAGTTGAAGAGCCAATGGTTCCCTCGTGTGGGAAGATAGCCCAGCGGATTTGGTGCGTTCCCATATCAGCATGAGCATCAGGGGCCTTGGGCGACCGGAGAAGGGACAGACGCATCAAGTTACCGACAGTTGCAAAGCCGTATTTGCTGTCATTGAGAATTGAAACACCGTAATTGTGCTCGGACAAATCAGCGAATCGATGGCAGCAGACTTCAAACTTGGCCATATCCCAGCTGGTGTTGTAGTGAGTAGGCCGCCTGACCAAGCCGTATGCCGACTCATAGGATGCCTCTGTATTTCTGACATCGACTGGGAACTCGACCTTCAAGAACTTCATGGTCTCATGCCAGTCCACTTCGGCGTGGCACTCGACCCATGATTGCACTCCCTTCAGAGCAGCTGATAGCGTGATCGTCGACTTTAGTGAGCTTTGCTCGCTAATTTTGATTTCGGTTGTCAGGCTGACACGATGCGCCTTCTGTTCCGAAATGAAGGTCTTGCCACAAGTGAGCTCCTTTCTCGTGTCAAGATGGTAGACTTCAACATCCCAGGCCTGCCAGTACAGAGGCTTATCATCGAAGATGACATACTGGTTCGCCTTGCCACCCTTTTCGATAACCTCACGTTCTGCAAGACGATCATACAACGAGGTAATGTATCCATCCTCGATCCTAACACGGAGCTGGTCGTTTTGCAACACGAACACGCCATCGCTGACTTGCTCGATTGTGACCGCAGGCTTATCCTCCGAGATCTTGAATGGGCGGATTTTCAGCATCTGGCCATCACCACAAGCGACGCCAGCCTCGGTCTCAGAAATCTCGACAACCTCTCTACGGTGCCAAGGCAATGTGTTCAACGCTATCGTCTCGTCTAGGCGACCGCTTGGCGTAGCAGAAACCCCCAGAACGTCGTGGATCTCGTCAAGGAGCTTCTTGCCTGTCTTGAATACTTTGTCGTAGAGCTAGGAGCAGAGCGAGGTTAACAAAAGCGGGTTCAAAGATATTCAGACGAACATTATATTGGAACTTACCTCATCGGAATCGTCGTAGCACATCTCAATAGAGCTACCTGGGAGACAGTCGTGGAATTGGCAGAGCAGGACTGCCTCCCACATATCGTCAATTTCCTTCTTTGGATATTTGTAGTTCTTGCCATTGGTAGAAAGAGTTGCAATGGTGGCGAGCCACTCGACATCCCTGAGGAGACTCTCGGACTTGCGATTGTTTAACTTGTTGTTTGCCTGCGTGGTGTAGGTGCCGCGGTGAAGCTCAAAGTAAAGCTCACCGTACCAAGTGACGAAGGCCTTGGCCTTGGGCTCCAATTTGTCAAAAAAGTCATCGACGCTGTTTCCCATGTGCACTCTAGGCAGCATGCCAACTTGGTCAGAAATACCACGGCATCGTCGAAGCTTCTCGAGGTGCTGCCAAGTCGGGCCGCCGCCGCCGTCTCCCTTACCAAATACAAGCAATGATGTATGGTCTTGATCCATAGACTTGTGCTGGCTGACACTTCGCTTTACGTCTCCAAAGTGAGCTTCGGCAGTGTAAGTCTCTGAAGGCGGCATGTGGCAAATGACCTGGCTGCCGTCAAGAGCAACCCAGTTGAAAGTGGTGTGCGGAAAATTGTTGATGTTATTCCAGCTAAGCTTCTGGGTCAGGAAGCGGTTCATTCCCGCCAGCCGGCAGAACTGTGGGAGCTGGGCAGAGTATCCAAAAGTGTCCGGAAGCCAGAAAGTCTGGCAGCGCTCACCGAAGTTGCTCTCGAAAAAGCGTTGGCCATACAAGAACTGCCTCACTAACGACTCGCCGCTGGGCATGTTCGTGTCGTGTTCGACCCAGCTCCCGCCAATAGGATGGAAACGTCCCTCCTTCACCTTCGTCTTCACGCGGTCGAAGGCGTAGGGATAAAGTTCTTTCAACCACTTATACTGCTGAGCCTGCGAGCAAGCGAAGTTCAGCTCAGGATAGCGGTCCATCAAATTGCACTGGTTAGACCAGGATCTAACAACCTTGCGCTTCGTCTCAGCCCATGGCCAGAGCCAGCAGCTGTCGATGTGGCAATGGCCAATACCATAGACCTGAGGCTCTTTGTCAGTACTGTAGACCTTGTGAGAATCTACATCCGGACCCAAGTACTCCTGCGCAATCTTCCGACACTTAAGAATAGAATCCTTGTTGCCGAGCTCAAAAGCGTCGATAATGTCGGTGGCGACCTTGAGGGCCTTGTGCTGCTCCCATGACTCTCTAGGAAACTCGCGAGCGGCATCGCCAATGATCCAAATATCAATGTAGAGTGCTCTCGCCTCGGGATTGACGGCGACAATGTCAGCTTGGCCCAGCCGGAAGTACTTGTTAGGGTCCGGCGGCTGGATGGAATCTCCACCGGGAGCATTGCCAAACATGCCATTGCAAGCCATTTCGACATAAATGGTGTGCTCCTTGCCGTCTCTGAAATCTTTGGGAAGAATCCATTCAGTACGCTCGCCGCCTCCAGTGAGACCTTGGAGCGGCTTGCCGTCTTCTGTCCAGATTAAGCCCTCATTATTGGCATCCCAGTGTAGCTCGAGCAGTTCCTTGTCACGTAGTTCTTCCGGTACGGTAAGAACAACCTTGAACCAATGGGTCGACCACGATGGACCGAACCATGCGCCAACTTCTGTCTTCTTGAACTCGTGCGAAACAGCATCTTCAAACGTCGGCCGCGTGGTGTCAGGGGCATCCCAGACGGATAACTTGACGTGAGGCTCGCCCGGTGCGGTGCCCTCCGTCATCATCCTAGTCTACAATTAGCTGAAGGTCCCTGGGACTTGCTACGGGGCGGACCCAGTGGGGTTTACGCACGCTAGGAGATTGTACTTCTCCCATTGTCCACGAGAGTAGAACTGATTAATTCTCTCCTTGTAGATGTTGGAGATCCATTGTCCTACAGGCCGCGAGGCCAGAGCCGGGTAGTCGCTCTTGCTTTTAAGTTCTCTGCCGCCACCCATAGTGGGCTGTCCGGTAAGCTGATCGAGAGGTTGCTGACCGGCTTGTTTCAATTGATCAAGGGAGCTGGGTGGAGCTGAGCGATTGTTCAGGCGGCGACGACGCTGGAGCTCTGATAGATGGTGATGGGTCGGCCGTGGGGGAGCTGTTGAGGATGCTTCGCCCGTATCGGTAACCTGTGAAGCCTTCAGAGCGTCGTTGATGTGCTGGTTGAGAGTTTTGGATTGTTGGTTGTTACTGAGAGAAAGGTTCCTTGTTAGCTCTACCTAGGCAACTGAACGGAAGCAAGACGGACTCGAAGCTCCCGGGGGAGGAGCTAAAGCAGGGCACGGGAACACCCTGGCGTAGCTGGGCGTGCAGTGCACTGAAACATAGCCAGTGGGAGCGTGCGGGGACAGGCCGGTGCAGCGAAAGTGCGGGGAGGTTGGATCGAAAGTGGACGTGTGAGGAAGGGTGACGCAGCCATCATGCGATCCCCTTCATAGCCGGCGCACCGGGGGAACCGTTCGGTGAATGGCCCACCACTGGTATGCCTGTCTTACCTCATCTTGCCGGTTTGATGACCCAGTTCCTAGCACCCAAGACAGGAAGGTGATGCTCCAAAGAGGAGGACGAAACTTTGACAAGAAATGGATGATTCGGCAGCGGGTCGGATACAGCCAGTTACTGATATTAATGGAGGATGAGAGGCAAGGATAGGTTGGGACCAAAAGAGGGGACAAGGGAACTTAATTGAGATGTAAGGGCCTAGGCAGCGTAAAACATCGCGGTGCCGAGCTTGAAGATGCAAGAGATGATTATAGAAGTCGATTTGGGCGAGAGGGTCTGAGGGGAGTGGGAGAGAGGATGCAGAAACGTTGAAACAAAAGTCGGAGAGCTTGCCAACACTTAATCCAAATCGGCTGCACTGTGAATGGCTAACAGCCTCTGAACATAGCTTCGAAGGTAATACTACTCTGACACCTTCCTACTGATGGCCCTGCCGTAATTGAGGCGGCGAACGGCTGGAATTAAAGTTGAAAAGCGATTCTGGAGGCAGCTGCAACTAAGGAGGGCCTTGCAAACGCTGGCAGGTGGCAGGCGGCTCATCAGATGCAACTCGGTGGGACACATTGAGAATACGAATAATGTCTGGGAAGCGTTGCATTCCAGATCATACCTTATGCGAGTGAAGTTGCACAAGACTTGTTGTGCAGAATAGGTGCAGCCCTGGGGAACATCGTCTTGTCAGCTCGTTTTAGCGATCCATCGCTTATACGTGCGGGTGGATATCTGGGGAAATCAAGTCATCGTGCAGATTTGCGCCTTCATCAGGAGAGTTTTGACAAACTTATACTTTGAAATTCCTCGCAGCACCATTTCGCCCGGATGGCCATAATCGGTTGCGTTCCGGATATTCGCAGTGAGTGCCGATGCCCCAGTGTTGGCGACGCGGCTCGGGCGGGGAAAGAGTGAAGGAAATTATAAGCAATAGCGAGCGGGCCACATATGTGGTTCGAGTTCCATAGAAGTGCATGATCACGATTCCAAAAACCTTCCAGAAGTCAGGAGAGAACAACTAATTAAAGTTTCTTGACCCATCTCGCTTAAGTAGTCACGACTCCCTCGTAGGAAGATTTGTCGCCCGATCAAGACTTCACAAAATGGGACGAACCGGTGTTCCTTGGAAAATATTCGTCTTGTTTCCTATAGACGTGATGCGGGATATATGTATATGCTATGCAGCTGCTAGGAAGAGAGGTATGTAAGATTGCCCAGGGTAACAAACCGAATCGTCACATCATTGTCCATGCCCATAACACCTGAGGGAATTAATAAAATAAGAAAGCATGAACCCCCAAACCAAACACCGTTCGTTCCATTCAAGATGACAAACCAGAATCCTTAGCCCGACTTCCAGTGCCGGTTCCTGTGCCTTTGTGAACAACCTCAGAGCCAGCCTCTTCCTCTTCGTCTTCGTACAATTCTAGGTCGTCTTCGTCATCATCGTAGTCTTCTACCTCGCCTTCTTCGAGCTCATCTTCCAGGGGTTGGTCAAAGTCGTCGTCGGCCTCGCTCTCACTCTCGCTCTCGCTCTCTTCGAAGCTAAGAACGCCAAGAATGGGCACCTCGATTTTGCGGTACTGACTCCTGATCATGCCGTCGGCCATTTCAAACAGTTTGCTGTCTTTGTCTGGTGGCACTTCCCTGTCCATGGAGAAGTGGGCCTCGTCTTGGTCAGCGAGGTCTTCCAGCGCCGGGATGTGCGGCGATGGCAAACCCTCGGGGACATTCATGACCCAGCGCCGGACACCCTCGCCTTTAGCGACGCGGGACCGAGTACTCTGTGCTCTTAACCCCGACCGAAATTGCCGCTTTTGCTTCCGGCGTCTCCGTTGGATACGGTCGCGGATGTACCAAGCCACCACCAACATGGCCGCCTGCATCATCTCTTGGCATTTTTGCCTGTGCATATTGGCCCAAGCCTGACATCTTTGCTGTTGTGCGTTGGAGATAGCCTGGCACCTTTGCTGATAGTAAGCGGCGATACGTGATACCATGGCCACATATCTCGGGTCCATCGGCGGCTGGTTCGGGTCTAAAGTTGCGGTCGGAATCGAAGTAGGCTTCGCTTGAGCCGTGGGTTGGGAAGTCGATGGTGATTCTTCCTTCTTCATCTCCTTCCTCATCGGAGCATCGTCAAGGTTGGCCTCGGCGGCCTTGCGTTTTAATTGAGCAGAGAGGGGAATACCGGGTTTTCGGAATGATAGATGCTCGGGGGGAGGCGTGACGGGGGCTAAGGGGTTGAAGTTGATAGTGGGTAGATGCGCAGCCATAAAGGGTGGTTTGTCTGAGTAACTTTACTGTCGTGGTATGTGTTGTTGTCTTGTTTGAGACGGGCGTGTCTAATATCGTGGATATCGAGTGTCGAGCGCTCTTTTTGTGTTCTTACTGATAGGCAACACACGCACTCAAGAGAGAAGAGGAATAGGACAGGTTTGCGTGTTTTCCTCGACTCGAAATGGGAGATGTGGTAGTAATAGTAAATGGTGGGTGGTGGGAGTGGTGTAGTAGTAATAGTGGTGGTGGTGGTAGTATTACGGCAGCTGATGAGGCGGGTTCGGTGTTATGAGTGTAAGTGGACGGAGATCCGCTGAAGAGCAGGACAGGCAGGCAGGAAAGACGTATCAAACCAAGTGTTCGGTAGGAAGGGAGGGGGAAATGGGGCGCTGAAAAAGGGATATATACCTACATGCCCATATTTCAAATCCAAAAGGCAACATGACGGCGTATGCTGCCATGTTTGGGCCAAGGGTCTGGCGATAAATTTGGGGAGTGAGCGGGAATGGTCTGAGAAGGTGTCGAAATCGGCCGATACCGAATGGCAACCGCGCCGACCTGTTGGGGCCAGGCCTAGTACGTACCCCAGGGTACCCTACCGCCCTACAGCCTGCCCGCAGGGACTTTACACCGACTCGTTGTACTCCGCTTGCAACGGCCTTCCCGTCAGTGACAATCATCCTAGTTTTCTTTCTTTCTTTTTTTCTTCTTCTTCCCCCCTTCTTCTTCTCTTTACTTCACTTTCCCTCTCCGTCTATGCCCGGCCCTTGTCCGTCTGTTGGGTACCTTAACAGACCAATCCGGTGTCATGGATTTCCTTGACTGGGCTTGGCTTTCTTACACACACGAATACACACACTGGCCTCCGTAACCTAAGTTGAATCTGACACCCTTTGTGACCCAACCTCATAACATTCTCATATCACCGTAGGGGACTCTCACCCCTAAACATCACACATTTCCTTTGTAAGACATGTACGATCCCAGGTCAACAAGCCCTTCACTTCCCCATATCCCAAGTTCCCACACCCCCATACCGTGATGTCTCCAGAAACATCGCATGCTGCAGTAGCCACAATCGCACCTTCTATTTGACTCCGTTCGGAGCCTCTTACCCTTCTTTTCCCGAACTGGTATGTCCGCGTCCTTGTATTAGCTTCCCACTTCCATACCTTGGATTCCCTTGCTGCCACTCAGGTGCTTTTTTTTTGGGGGGGGGGGGGGGGGGCATAATGGGTGACTGCCATCAAACTTGAGATAAAGCGTTCCGGGGTGGTGTATCCTTTGCTGTCTGCCCATCTTTGATTACCTCCAGCCCACAGTCGTTCGCTTCTTGGGGACCCTTTCGTTAGCCTGTTGGTTTCCCTTTTGGGAACCCAGCTGTCCGTTGATCGTAATGGCTAGCGAGCCATGATATGGCCATGAATGATGCGACCCCCGCCCTGTCAATCTCAACATGACGGCCACATCATTCGACCATCAGCCACATTGCAGCGCCAGCGAACTGTGTCGCTGCCACCTAGTTCTTTCTACTGCACGTCGACCGTGTCTTACTGGCTCTCTAGGCGCTACAGCAGTCCAACACACTGTATTTCTGCGGCCCGAAGGGTCTGATGCAGCCCAACAGCAAGATCGTGCCCTACTGACATCCAGCTCTCCTACTCCAGTCATCTGCAATGACAGGGCTCATCAAGCACTGAGGTACAGTCCTAGTTTCCTGCTACACGGTGCCCTTGTCTCCACCCTCTCAATCCCACACTCCCGTTTTCATGGCCCTCTGGCTCCAACGGTCTCCGTGATTGTCCTTCCTCCGTACGACTGGCCCAACTTAATGACGCTAGACACAACGCACTCTCGTAAGACGATGATGCACACCAAGCAGGCACCGCAGGTACCCGGAAAAAGAGACGCCAGCACTGTCCCGAATATGTCGACTTGGCTCAACCCTTAACTTGCTTATACTCTAGTTTAGACTCACAGTGTATCTTACTTTGTGCCGCCTACGGATCCCTCCCCTACCTTATCTGCCTCGCCTCGTCTCGTCTCAGGGACCACTAAAGCAGCATTGCATCGGATAGATACACGAAACCCCTAAGTCCGACGTTGGCTTTTCACGCAACCTCCGACCTGTTTTCCTCGCACGAAGTACGTCTTTCGTTCCTTAAATCCGATTTGCCATGTTTTTTCCGGCAAGTATACATACGTATAGTGTAGTTACCATGCAAATCGGATGGCATTGGCTCCTGTCGCCGCTACCTTGGGCCGTCGCATCTTCGACCCGAAGCCAATCCGACACAAATCCGTACAGCGCCCTCGCCTAATTTTATCGCCGCCCGCCCCCCCGACCATGCCATGTCATTTCTCTCTCCATGTCCGTTCCACGCCCGTCCCATTCCACCCACAACCCATGCCAGGCCATACCATGTCATGCCGTGCCTGCTAAAGTGTCCCCCCAAGGCGAAAACTTGTGCGGCAAACACGCAAAACCTGGATCAGCAGTCCCAGGCGCCTGGACCACCAAACCCCACATCAGCAGTTCGCAGCAGCCTGTCAGACGCCCGTTCTCCAGTGAGATCCCCTATGGGTCCCGATCGATTCGGGCGGATTCGAGCCATCGTCCCGAAAAATCTCGCGATATTTCACGTCCACAAAGCCGCTCGCATGATTTGCGTCCAGCCCAGACCACCCCTGTTCCCGTCGTCCACCCGGCTCATTATCTCATCATTCTCTCTCTCTACCGTCACAATACCACATTCCCGACGCACCCAGGCCCCTCCACCATACCATTATACCGCTGTTCCTTGAGTCCTGTAAGGACGCTTACTACATCCGAACCGGAAGAACACCTGGACCGGCATCAGCCCCCAACAGCTCACGTTGATGATATGCTCACATGTTGGCCCGATCACTTACCACACTCGCCTGTCATGATCTGGTCCACCCGTCGTTAGCTACTGCCCGATTACCTGCCTCCGCACCCATTCACCTGCGCCGCAATGGATATCGATGGAGCCGCGCCTCCATCTTCAGCCGAGGAGTTGGGGTTGTAGAAATGCCAAGCTGGCACTTACCTGCTCTCATCTTCACCAGGGGCAAGAAAACCCAATCTACGGTGAAGTTTGACGATTTACCTCAAGGCGCTCTGCCGTTGGATCCTCGTTCCATGCCAGATGATGGCCCAGTCTACCCGACCGTCGTGCTGCAGGCACGTCGAAACATGCAAAAGTTTGACAACTGTGTGCTATTGACACGTGTCGGCGGCTTCTACGAGCTGTATTTTGAACATGCCGAAGAGTACGGACCTCTGCTTAACCTCAAGGTCGCCCAGAAAAAAACAAATGCCGGCCCCGTTCCTATGGTAAATGGTTTTCTTAATCTTTTTTGTTGCTACAATGGTGCGCTCTTGGTCTCGTGTGCTTAGGTCTGATATCGGATGGTTAGGCAGGTTTTCCTTTCTTCCAGCTGGATCGATTCCTCAAGATCCTAGTCCAGGACCTGAATCGCTACGTTGCCATCGCTGAGGAGTTCCCCAATAAGGCGCCAGACAAGGTCAAGTCTGGTGGGCTGATGCATGATCGCAGAGTTGCTCGTATCATCACGCCAGGAACATTGATCGACGAGAATTTCATGGATCCTTATGCCAACAACTACGTACTGGCTGTCCATGCGACGGCGGCCCAGCCCGGAGGGGCAGTGGGAGACTCATCCCATTCAGCCGCTGACGAGAGCATGACTATAGCGACTGATGACCCTGCCGAACCACTCCATTTGGGCCTCGCGTGGTTGGACCTGTCCACCGGCCAGTTCTACACGCAAGCTACCGATCTTTCACAGTTGTCCTCGATTCTGTCGAGAATATGCCCGCGAGAGGTCGTGCTCGCCAACGAACTACAAGCTCAAACTGGCCATGGGCTGTTTTCCATACTTGCGGAGGACCGCCATCTCGTCACATATAGCCCGTTCGGCGAAATAAGGCGTATTTCCGATTGGACGCAGATGCTCGAGTCTGAAATTCCTCAGGCAACACGGGATGCCTTTACCGAGGGCGAGGTGATGGCAGGGAGCCTGCTTCTGCACTACGTTAAAGAGCGTCTGCTGGGCTTGAGCATGAAGCTACAGCCGCCCCTACGTCACGAGAACATGCAAATCATGAGCATAGACAAAAACAGCATGCGCTCCCTGGAAATTAAACAGACGATCCGGGATGGGAACTTCCGGGGTAGTCTTTTACATGCCATTAGACGAACTGTTACGAAAAGTGGTGCCCGGTTGCTCAATGATTGGCTTGGCGCGCCCTCGACCTCACTCGATGTTATCAAAATGAGGCAGGATCTTGTGGCTCGGTTCATAGAGGACCCAGACTTGCGCGATGCCGTGATACTGCTCCTTCGCCGCAGCCATGATTCCCAACGTTTGGTTCAAAAGTTTGCCCTCGGTCGAGGAGACCCGGACGATCTGGTAGCTTTGGCCAACACCGTCCAAGCCACTGGCAATATCAACCAGCTGCTGGCCGAGACAAGCGATGAGTCCAACTGTCTGGCCCAGATGATTACCCGGCTTGATCTCAAAAAACCCCTGAATCTTGCACGACGGATCAAGCAAGCTATTGACGAGGAGGGCATCGTTCATCAGCATGAGATCGAGGAAAACGAGGCAGGGGAAATGATAGCTCTTGCCAAGGATATTGTGAGTAACGAAGGCACGCAAGAAGATGCTGCCTCCTTGCCGAAGGGTGCCGCGAAGAAGAAGCGCCCCAGCTCCGTCCGGGAGGCCTACGCCGATGACAATGTGGCCTGGATAATGAAGCCGGGGGCCAGCCGTGTCCTCCGACAGCTTCATGCAGACCTGGGCGCCCTACATGCCGAGAGAGACGCTCTGACAGAAACTCTCCGCAATCACCATGGCGCCACCTCCTTGACTCTCCGCTGGAGCCCTGCCCTCGGTCACTTCTGTCACATCAAAGGCAAAGACACTCGTTCCGTCTCAGATATCATGGCCCTCAGCGCCAGCCGCTCGACGCGCTCTTTCCACGCCCCTGAATGGACTCGCCTCGGCCAGCAGCTGGAGCATGCCCGGCACAGCATCCGCACCGAAGAACAGCGCGTCTTCCATGCTCTTCGCGCCGCCGTGGTCCTCAATCTCGTCAAGCTGCGCCGGAACGCCACTGTTCTTGACGAACTCGACATTGCCACCTCTTTTGCCAAGCTCGCCGTCGAGCAGAGCCTCGCCCGGCCCGTTCTCAACAACTCGACCGCACACACCATTATTGGCGGCAGACACCCAACCGTCGAGGGGGGGCTGCACGAACAGGGCCGCAGCTTTATCCGGAACGATTGCCTCGTAGGCGGTCCCTCTGCTGGCCGGCTATGGCTGATCACAGGACCCAATATGGCTGGTAAGAGCACGTTCTTGAGACAGAACGCCCTCATCACGATCCTCGCTCAGATCGGCTGTTACGTCCCCGCAGACTACGCCGAGCTGGGCATGGTAGACGCTCTTTTCAGTCGCGTTGGGTCGGCGGACAATCTGTATCGTGACCAGAGCACCTTCATGGTAGAGATGATGGAAACGGCGCAGATTCTCCGCAACGCGACGCCGCGGTCCTTTGTCATCATGGACGAAATCGGTAGGGGAACGACTCCCGAGGACGGCACGGCGGTTGCGTACGCGTGTCTGCACCACTTGGTCACCGTCAACCAGTGCAGAACGCTTTTTGCGACGCATTTTCACAAGGTAGCAGACCTTGCGTTGGCCGAGGGCATTTGCGAGTCTCAAGGAGGCGTGGACATGTATTGCACGGATGTGGATGAAGACGAACATGGTGGATTTGTCTATATTCATAGGCTACAGAAAGGGATTAACCGCCAGAGCCACGCACTCAAAGTTGCGCGATTGGCAGACCTGCCCGAGCCGGCGATAGAGGTCGCCAAGCAGGTTCTTGGTAACTACGAAAAGGCCAGCAAATTCTGAATTTTGTACATTCACATAAGAGCATATTCAAGGGAACCAGGCACGTCAGGTGTACGAGTGTAAGATAAGACCTAGGGCTTTTGTACGTTAGTCATGATACCCAAAACAAGACGGTTATACAATGTATGAAAAAATAGGAAGCTCCCTCATAGGGTGGTGATGTGTGTGTCATCAAGAAAGATTCAGGGTTAAAAAGCTCTTGAAAATTTTTATAATCATAGGAAGCATGTGTTGAACAGGGTAAAAAAGATAGAAGAGGTAACTAACCATTTGCAAGACGGAGAAGTGCATGCTTCAAGCATGTCACATCACCGAATAAGTCATGAGCAGTTTTGCCGTCAAATGCGATGTGCTTGATTGACCGGCAACCCATCTATGTAGCTGTGTTAGATCCACGTAGCGTCGTAAACCCATCCGAAGCCCAGAGAGAAGCCGAAACACCGATTTCCCGTCATATTGTTTAGTCACTACAAAGTTTGTTAGCACATCATGTCGAATCTCGTTAAATGGGAGCGGAACATACAAGAGACCGCCAAAGCCACCATCCTCATCAGACTCCTCGTCGGACTTCTCAGCCTCCTTCTCGGCCTCCTTCTCCTCGGCACCGCCGGAAGCGGCAGCGACGGGAGCGGCAGAGGCGTAAGCATCGGGGTTGGCGATGCGGTCCTTGAGCTCCTCGATCTCGGGCCAGCTGATCTCGGTCTCGATGGCGACAGCGAGAACGTTCTTGTAGCTGTTGAAGAAAGAGTGGATGACGGACGGAAGAGTGGGGAAGTTGATGGCCAGGGAGACAGCGGCAATGGTGGTGAAAGCGCCGGTGAAGGCCTTCAGGAGCTGCTCCTCAGAGATGTCAAGGACATCGGCAGGGAAGGTGTTGCCCTGGTCGTAGACCTGAGCAATGCCCATACCGTAGGTGAAGGGAGAGATGTTGAGCATGTTAAGGAGGGTAGCCTCGGAGGGGCCGACCTTGGAGTTGGCCTCAACGAGCTTCAGGTCCGAAACGATTTCAATGGTACCACGGGCAATCTTGGTGGGGACACCGAGAGCCTGGAAGAAAGAAGTCTTACCAGGCTCCATGCCGGTGTTGCCAGCGGGAATCCAGACGTCGGAGGGAGCGACGGCACCGGCACGGGCAGGGGCAGCGACCTTGTTGGCAAGAATCTTGTCACGGATGGTCTTGAGTTCACTGTTGGTGAAGACGAAACCGACGTTGCCCTTGACGAAGGGGAGCAGACGCTCGTACTCGGGGGCATCGGGGATGAAGGTCTTGAGGGCACGACGAACCTGTAGCAAATTCGTTAGTAGGTGAATTTTGAGAATCCAGCCAACGGCGCAGGAGCCATTGACTCGGGAGAACAACGTACCATGGTGTTCTTGCCCATCAAGACGACACCCTCACCGCGGAGGGACTGTCTGATCTCGTGCATCTGCTGAGAGCTGACATTGTCGACGGAGACGATGAAGATGGACTTGTACTCCTCGAGCAAGCCCTTGAGCTTGTCGAAGTAGCCAGCCTTGTTCGCAGATTTGCCCCCCATATCTTCTTATTTTATGAAGGCAGGATGTTTAAGGGCAAATGAATTTGTTCCTTAGTGTGATGGGAAATGGGTATCAAAATGGTGATGTAGTAGGAAAGAAAAAGAGAGCCTCTCAAACGTTTGACGATTTTGCTCTCTCGCCCAAAAATTTCCTGTGTGGTGTCGGGGCTGGCTAGCCAATCCTGTTCCACCTTAGGGCAACGTACTGCTGCGGGGCGGACTGCAGGGACAGTGCTGGTCCAAGCTTCAATGGAAAAAGGTACATGCCGCAGGTACCGTTATTCCAATTTTCGGTGGGGCAGCTATGCAATGAGTTCCTCAGTGAAAGTTCTACCTCAACTTCACTCCCTTCCGTAGGCAACGTCAATTCAGCCTAATTGAGTCAGCTCAACTCTGAAGAGGTCATCGATTCAACATGAAGGTTCCATACAACTTCGTTCAGCCTTCTGGCAACGTTGTGTTTGCTGCCAGGGGTGGAAAGATTCACTCGTTCAGTCTCCAGGACGGCTCTCACCTGTTCACATGGAAGCACCCTGATGTCGAGAAAGTCACCGCTGCATCTGCGGCAGCTACTTCTGCCAAAGCTGATACTGAAGTGGGCTCAAATGTTCCTACTCCCTCATCTCCTGCCAATGATGAGGATGGGCCGCCTGCCAAGCGTCAGAGACTTGAAAAGGAGGATGAGCACCCGAAGGACAGCGATGCTATGGCCATCGATGAAGATCAGAAGGAGGGCTTTCAACAGCAAGAAAACGATAAGAAAGTAAAGAAGGATAGGAGAAAGGGCAACAAGGGGCAGGGACAGCAGCTCAACAATCGTGGTAATGTGTTTGCGAGGGTCCCCGACTACCCCGTCATCACTCTTATGACTACCACCAGCAATGGTAGCCACCTGCTGGCCATCTCAGGCCACGATAAGTCTCTTTGGGTGTTCGAGCATGACGGCAAGGGTAATTTGAAAGAGCTGAGTCATAGGTACGTTATTTGTCTCGCCCAGTTCTGTAGGATAGACCTTAACGTGTGTATAAAAAGACAAATGCCTAAACGCCCATGCTCTGTCATAATCTGCCCGGACAACGAGACTGTTTTAAGCGCTGATAAGTTTGGCGACGTCTTCTCACTGCCTCTCATCCCGTCTGAGAAGCCCGCATTTCCCCGTGAGTCCCCAACACCAGCAACTACGGCATCAGAGTCAACCTCCAATGCAGTCACCCCTAAACCTTTCCAACCGGAAGCCAGCAACTTCACTGTGCATTCCAAGGCGAACCTCCGGGCTCTCAAGAACCAGCAGCGTGAGATGAACAAGACGAAGCGTGATACTCCAAAGGAGGAGCCGACATTCGAGCACACGCTTCTCATCGGACACGTCTCCATGCTCACAGCTCTGACGCTCGCTGAGAAGGGTTCTCGCCGGTACATCATTACCGCAGATCGTGACGAGCACATTCGTATTTCGCGCTATATGCCTCACGCACACATCATTGAAGGCTTCTGTCTCGGCCACAAAAATTTCGTCAGCGCCCTCACCCTGCCGAATCAGGATGTTCTTGTCTCCGGCGGAGGGGATAGCGAGCTGTTTGTCTGGGACTGGGAGGCCGGCCGGGTCTTGTCCAAGTTTGACATCTTGGAGCAGGTTCAGCAGATCGAGAAGGAAGCAACCAAGGTTGCTGTATCTCAGCTCCTGTCGGCTACTGTTCTTGCCAACGGCCTGCCAGTCCCTATCGTATTGGTGGTCTGCGAAGGGTATGTTTCCCATAGCTGTTTGAGTCGCCAATCATTACTAACTTCGTCATCAAGTGTCCCTGCCATCTTTGTGCTCCGAGTCTCAGAGCAAAACACTCTGTCTCACGTGCAAATCGTTTCATTGCCGGGCAACCCCCTTCATGTGGCGCCCATCTCAAACAACGGTTCTTTGACTACCATCCTAGTGGCAGTTGACCCAGTGGACGCCAGCAATGGACCTAACGGCATCTTATCATACAAATGGACTGGCGCCGCTTTCTCAACAACACAGGATTTCTCTCCCGTGGACGCGAGCCTAAGCGAGGACGAATTCGACTTAACCGCTGAGCAAGTAAAGAAGCTGCTCTACAACATTGGAGACCTGCGGAAGAAAGGTGATGACGAGCAAGCTGAAGAGGGAGATGAGACAGAGCAAGTAGGACAAGCACAGGAAGAGGCGACATAGTCACATAGAGAGAGCCGGGCGGCACAATAAAGATTCGAATGAAGGTACATTTATCATGAAATCGATTCAACGGAATATCCTCTATGACCGTGAACGCCTTCCCACCAAGTCTCGATGTCCGTCGAGCAAAGAAGCCAAATGATTTTTTTAACACGCAAGCGCTGGACCAGATATCCCTGTTACTCTACCGGTCCATTGGAATCCAGCCTTCATTCTCGACGAACCAACTCGGCGCGTCTATACGAGGCGACCAGTCTTGTCACCATCTAAAAGGCAACCCCCGAACGGGAGAGTCCTTTTACCAATCTCCATGCAACCGTTTCCATCCATTCATGACTGGGAAAATATGCATTTCCGTTCGTTAGAACAGATGTAAAAGAAGTGCCTCAATCCACGCCCCCCACCAACACGCCGAATATGCTCGTTATGTCAAATATCATCAAGAATAGGTGTCATTTACTGGGAAGCGCACTGCACACGCTCAGCGCCGGGGTGACCGTCCTCATCGTCTTCATCCATGGGGCCAGCACCACCAAAGACTCTGGCTTGTGAGCTGTTGTCCAGATCCTCGAGGTCAGCAGGCTCGGTCATAGCCTCAGGGGGAGGCACGGTCTGCAGGGACGGGGCAGGAAGCAGCTTCTGGAGAGCCTCGAAGGCGGCCGGATCCTGTGTCCAGTTCTTTTCAGGGAACTTGACGCTGAACTGGATGTACAAGTTGCCGAACTCGTGGTGTCTGGGAGAAGGCATGCCCTGGCCGCGGACCATCTTGACGGCATCTGTAGTCATTTATTAGTAAAGTTAAAATACAAAATACTAACATGGAAGGGAGTTAACATACCTGGCGCAATCGCCTCACCGGGTAAGATCTCGATGCTGAGCCACCTTTCATCAAGGTGCTCGATGTAGATGGTTCCACCGGCAAGCGCAGTCACCAGCTCAATCTCGCAATGGTAGAGAAGGTCGTCCTCCTTGCGAGTAAAGCGGGGGTGGGGCTTCTGCTCGATCTCAAACACGACGTCACCGGCCTGGATGCCAGGAGCCTGGTCACCCTCACCGCGGAACTCAACCTTGGTGCCGCTCCTGACACCACGGTCGACGTGGACGTGAAGAACCTTCCGGTCAACAATAGTCTTCTTGCCGTTGCACTGCTTGCAGCGGTCCTTCTCCTTGATCGTCTCTCCCTCACCGTTGCAGTCGGGGCAGACGGTCTGGAAGCGCTGAATCATAGGGCCCATCTGTCTCATCATAGTCTTCATACCGTGACCATCACAGCCAGCACAGTGCTTGACAGCGCCCTCCTTTCCGCCACGACCTTCGCACTTGGGGCAGATGATAGAGCGCTGAAGAGCCAGCTTGGAGATCTTTCCGCGGTAGACGTCCTCGAGAGAAACCTTGTGGGTGTGGTGAATGGTGCGAGCCTTGGGAGGGCCACGGTTGGGCATACCGCCGCCGCCGAACATGCCGCCGAGACCACCGCCAAAGCTGCCGGAGCCGAAGAACTGGGCAAACAGATCCTCAGCAGCCATGCCGCCGCCGCCACCAGCACCACCCTCAAGACCAGCCTCGCCATATTGATCGTAGATCTGGCGCTTCTGGGAATCGGAAAGGATCTCGTAGGCGTGAGAGACCTCCTTGAACTTGTCTTCGGCCTCGGGATTGTGGGCGTTCTTGTCTGTAGGTTCCCGTCAGCAGGTCCGCATCAAAAAGGCATATCAAGGAATTGCTTACCAGGGTGGTACTTCAAGGCATTCGTCTTGTACGCCTTCTTCAACTCCTGCTCCGTCGCCGTTGGCGCAACCTGTTTCCCATGTCAATATCTGATCTCGGCCATTTGAGTGATACCACGGCAACAACATACACCAAGGGTGTCGTAGAGCTTCGTTTCCTTGACCATATTGTATGTAGGTACAGTAACTCTTATCTAAGATCTTGGCGCAGGGGTCGGGTTTGGGGGATAAGGGTCCTTTGGAGGGGCCTGCGGAGTCGGAGCTGGTCAGCGAAATGATTCACAAAACTTTGTAAAATTTGTGACTCTTTGTCCGCCCTGCCTAAATAGATTGCAGGAGAGATCGAAACAAAGATGCAACACTGGAGGCCTCGGGGCTAAGCGCAGCGGACCAACGCAAGTTAAGGGAAAGAGGGTTGGCGGATCGGAGAAAGAACGCCTCCCACCTTTACCGTTTGCGCAGCAGGTAGATAAACGGACAGATTGCGAACTTACCTGTGTAATAGCAGGCGAATATGTCTGTGCAACTGGGTATCTGGTAAACTGGAAAGGAGATGTCGCAGTGAAAGAAAAGTTGAAAAAGATTGAAGGAGTAGGGACCGGGCTGGGGGCAGGCAATAATTATTGATGCACTTCCTGGCGGGGAGGGAATCTACTTGGGCTGAACGGACCAGCGGCGCTAGTGACAGGACATTGGATTTTTCAAAATAAAGGGAGAAAGCAGGCTGCAAGTGCGGGTCGCCTTGCGCATTTCCCGCGCCCAAATGGCCCCAATCTGAATCCCATGGAAAGGTGTAGAATGTTTTTGAGCCACAGTGGCGGTGCTGATGATGCAATACCTGCACCTTCCTGCCAGATCCGGTCCGAGGGGTCCAAAGACCCTGATCCATTCTGCTCCCAGAACATGCTGTTTAACCCTCTAAGCAGTAGTAATACAGGCAAATCCAGGCTTCTGGGGCGCAATTGTGACTCGCCTCCAGGTCGAGTTTTTCCCCTAACCCGCCGCAGAGTCTATTCATATCCTAGACGGCCAATGTACCCCTCTAACAATACTTATGCAAATTCTGTTCCCCGCCATCCGATAATAGCGTTAGCTAAGCGGAGCCTGGATTTCTTATCCGTCATCGTTATCCACAGGTTGCTTCACTGCCGGACTTTACTCCTGTCGGGAATAGGAAGCCACGGGATTCAACGACTGCGACAGCACAACGGACGCAACGTTCGCTTCGAGCCCCGCTGGTGCCTTTGCTCTTCGTCTGCTTCGCTAAGTCGTCAGTCCGCCGTAGAATTGTTACTAGAAGGATAAGTGTTCTTGTGTTCGTGTTTCAACCTGGCTTATCAAATGTCTGGAGGGACAACCCAAAACTAAATGCAGAGCACTGGCCGAACCCCACGACATCGGCCCAGTTCGTGTTGAACATTCTACTCTGTTCCATCGGATGCGCTGTCGGAGCTTGTAATCGATCTTGTAATGGCCCGTCCGATTGTCAATAGTGCCCACCTGCTGCAGCCACCTCCAATGTCAAAACCCTACGTCAGCTCTATGGTGGGAAGTGGGCATCTGCCCTGCTTCCGATATCCTTTGACCTAAGCGTGTTCTCTAATCCCATGCTCTCATGTGAACCGAGCTTTGTCTTGAAGCGCTCAGGCGCCCGTCTCCCAAGGGACGGACAGATGCCCCTAGCCTCTCTCTATACTACGTAGTAGAGCCGTCGCATCTAATTCGATCAATGCTCAGGCAAGAAGTAGGAAGAACGCGTAACAAGTCTCTGCCATGGATGGGTCTGGGGACCGTAACGAGATGGTAATGTGTGAACAGTCTGGGGCCCACCAACACTGAGTACACGGACAATGTCGTCAGATATTGCACCAGGAGCAAATTCTAAAGCGGGAACGCCTTGGCACGACAAAATGAATAATAGAGAACCAGCAGCCGAGTACACTTTTCTGTGGATCGCAATTTGAACGATATTGTTCTTTGGTGTTGCCGACAACTAAGCTGTGTATTCCAGCAGAGTTTGAAAGGTTAACCTTAGGCTAATGGCCAGCTTTCTTACACAAAACTCCATGTCAGGACTTTAAGATGGAGAGACAGTACTGGCAGAAACAAGAGTGGCACCAAGAGGAAGACCAAGACAAGCACCACCACCAAAACAAAATGCAGAATAGATGATGTAGCAAGCAAAGACGCAAACAGGAGAAAAGACATGGACTAATGAAACGGCTGACCTTAAACATACCTTACACCGCATAACGTCTGCACCTTTTTCGAAGTGACGAGATCTTCGGGACCGCAGACTCACCATTGGACGCGAATCCGTAGAGGTTCTTCCGCGATTTAGGTGGCTGCGGACAAGCCAACTGGATGGAATAGACTCAGTCATTCTGATAGTGATACGTACAATAAACTCATAAGAGCACGGTGTGGAAAAAAGGAAAAATTGGAAACAGAAGAAGTACAAGAAACAAATATTCATGGTAGTCAAGGTAAGAGGTACGATTTGTTCAGATGCATTGCACCTTGCCAGCCTGACGAGGGAACTCGTCAGGCGTATGAGACAGTAAGCTGCATATTGCCCTCTTTGCAATTTTCTGTCGATCAAAAGAAACTCAACCTGAACGATAATTAAAAGTGTTTAAATACCGATGGAAATAGGAGAAATTATAAATATGGTAAGTAGGAACACAGTATATTAACATCGCAGTTCAGCACCCGCTCAGTCGTACGTGGTGGCACGATGGGATGAAGCCCCGTCGATATGGCGGGGTAATCCAAGCATCTCCGCCGCCATTTTATCAGCTTCTGGCTCTGCCCAATCAAATATAATTAATTTGAATGACAGTGATAGCGCCAGGCGACAGCTCAGAAGCTGTTATCCACCCCACGGCGGGCCGTATACTGGGGAACTGCACTGCAATCCCAGGTGTTCCTTGGCATGAAATGTCGGGCCATGCTGGAGAGGAATGTTCTATCCGCTCGCCACTAACTGATTAGTAGCGGGCGCAACTAGCTTCAGTTCAGAATGAAAGAACGGGGTCTCAGATCAACGGTGTGCACATCTTATCTCTTATCGACAATAGGAAGGTTTGCATTGGTTGAGCTGTGCACCTCGCGAGGGGCGCCAATGCCCCTCGGAGAAGCATCATTCGCTTCTCAGGTGTCTCGCTTGAGGGAAGGTGACGGCATGGGCTCGGGGACATGCGGGTTTGAGCTGCCCATACCATGGGTTTGAAGGTGGCATGACATGAAAAGCTCCCCATCATCAAGCTCTTGTGTCGTTGATGTAAACTGTTAGCTCTCGTTGTTTTAAAACTTGGTCCTGGCCGATCAGTCCTTGGGGGGTCGATCGTCTTTCTTCTGACTACTCGTTACCTCCATCCGAACTTTGAATGACCTGTGCCCATGCCCAACATGGATACCACTATCGATTTCAGCCCTTACCGGGCCGACGGCAAACTCGTGGGTCAAGACCGCTCTGCTCATGTGGAGAAAAACTAATAGCTTGTTAGTATGGGTTCGTCTGCGTTGTAACCGGCGCCGCCCAGCCTGTTGGACAAGCCATCATTGAGGAGTTGGCAGGTAGGAGTTCCAGCTATCAGGTTGTCGAAGAGTAACTCAAGATACAGGCAGCTCATGGCGCCGCCTCCATCTACGGTACGAATCCCGCTCTAGAGTTTGAGGCTATGAATGCTAGCTTACTGACTATAACTCACGCTGTCCAGCTTGCGACAAGGCGGCTAGTGACGAAAGCTTCAAACCGCTGGTCGATAAGGTGCACGCCGAGCACCCGAACACCAAAATCATCCCGTATCCTTTCAATGTAGCTAAAGAAGAAGAGACCCTCGTCCTTATTGATGAGTTGCTTAACCACTTCGGCCGTCTCGACATCTGGGTGTCGTCGGCCGGACTTTTGGGTCCGCCGTCCATCGCTGATACCACGCCGGCGGACTTGCAGCGCTGTTTCGAAGCGCACTCCATGGCACCTTTCTTCGCTTTGAAGTACGCGCCCCCCGCCATGGCCAAGCTCACGGAGAAGAAATCATATCCGAACGCAGCGCCCAAGACGCAAAAGTATGGAAGTATTATCGTCATTGGAAGCGTGGCGTCAACCTACGGCGGGTGTTGGGGGCCCTGTTACACCATGGCGGCCCACGCCGCCCTGGGTGTCGTCAAGGCTGGGGTTGCAGTTCTCAAGGGCACCGGAGTGAGAATCAACTGCATCTCGCCAGGCCAGGTCGATGTTGGCCTTGATTTGAACGGAGTGGGGATACTAGTTCGATTGATCGTAGACAAGTGTGCTAACAGGAAATGTAGATTGATATGAAGGGAATGAACTCCCAATTCCCCCCTGCGAGTCTGCAAGGTAAAGAGGTAAGTGCATACACAATATGGAATACAATTCTTTGGCTTAACATCCAAAGGCTTCGGAGGCCACCATTGGTCTCGAGAGACCAGGCAGTCCGCAAGAAGTAGCTCGAGTAGCTGGTTTTCTCGCGTCTGGCTTCAGCTCGTATATCACGGGAGCAAACCTTATTGTTGATGGCGGCGTGTCGTAAGTACTTGTTGCAGCTAGACAGCTCCCCGTGACCAAGACATTAGCTCACGGATTGCTGGATCTAGTGCCATGAACCCGCTTACGATCCCTATCGGTAAAGCGCACGCGTAAGTCTTGGCCGCCGGAAGGAATGGACAAACGAACTGCGGGGTTGTGGTTGAAGGGCTCCGAGCGTGTCTGGTTGGTCATACGGCGAACACTTGTCCAATCCGTGACCGTGTTTAGGGAATGTCGGCTGCCCAAGAAGGCAGGAAGGCTTGATACCGCGGCGGGCATTTGCGACAACGGTTGGTGAAAGGTGCTTATTGTATCGCTCTCTTGCCGACGGTTCCAATATTGATAGCAAACAGAGATTGACTTGGGCGAATGCAAACGGGCGTCGGAGACGGCCGCGGGGTACAGAACCCCATAAATGGAACGCTCCAGTGCCACTTTCAGAAGGTGTTCCACCCAAACCCTTTGCCCCAACACATTCTCACAGGTAGTATCCGTGGAGCTTTCTAGCGAGCTGTCACACTAGACGCAGCCATACGGACGGACGCTGGGTCTGAGATCATCGACAACAATCGTCTCCATCTCCAACTGGTCTTATCTCATCCCCACCTTTTCCACAACTTCACTCTCTTTCCTTTCCTTTCCTATTTCCTCGCATTTTATCTCACAATGTCCTACACGCCAGAGGTCTTCGACATTGCCGACGAGTCTCAGACGGCCGAGACGGCCAAGAACTACGGCCTGTCACCTGAACAAGTGCTTGAGCTTCATAAGAGGGCAACTGCGGCCAAGGCTACGGCTTACTGCCCGTACAGCAAATTTCGTGTGGGTTCGACTCTCCTGTCCAAAGATGGCCAGTACACTTCCGGTGCCAATGTCGAAAATGCTTCCTACCCTGTTGGCACATGTGCCGAAAGAGTCGCATTTGGCAAGGCCATTACGGAGGGCATTCGGGGTTTCAAGGCTGTCGCTGTAGCTACCGATATTGAACCTCCTTGCAGCCCATGTGGCATGTGCCGACAATTGTGAGTTTTAACCTCTAGCATTCAGCCCCTCTGGTGGTCTGGAAAATCTTCGACACAAACCTATCCCATACTGATGCCACATGTAAACAGCATCCGCGAGTTTGTTGATTTGGAGACTCCCGTCATCATGTTTAACAAGGATGGCAAGTACGTTGTTATGAGACTCCAGCAAGTATGTCTGACCTATCAAGGCAAGAGAAGACCCCAGTCAAATCATCGTACTAACCTCGTGTCCAGCTCCTCCCGCTCTCGTTTGGTCCTGAATATCTCCCGCCCCCAGACGTCTTGGAAAGGAACCTGGCTGGGAGGACCTAAACGATCAGTGTTTCTTCATGCTACGTAGCTCTACATGTGTGCAGCAACGATCCACGTGGGGGGGATCTGATCGACGTTGTTGCAACAAGAAGCTCGCTGGGCTTTGCATGCATTAAGAGTAACTCAAATTCAAATTGACTGGCGCAGGTTGGGTTTGACACGAATTGGAGTTGGTGAGGTGAGATTGTGGGTTGCAGTCGGTTTTTTTCTGGGGATGAAAGGCTCGGTTTACATTGAAGCGCGGTAAATGCTTGGTCGAACAATATTTGTTCCCAAACGGTGCTGGCAATGAGTGGATACAACGTGTTAGCTTTCCGTATACTGGTCAGTGAGAAACAATACATTCGAATGAATCTAGCTATACCTCTGAAGAAGTCCTTCGTGTTGTCCTTGTGCCTGCGACCATGACCATGTATTTCATACCATAGGAATAAGTGGCTTTTAACACGCAGGTGCCCTAGGACAGTTAATCGTTTAATGGCCGGCTCATATTAATAAGGTACACTATATACTTGGGAATCTAAAGTCCTCGCAAAGGATTTAACAGGTGTGAGGGGACTCTGTGAGGTGAAAACAAGATTTACGAGAAGCCGAGTGATGAGTCGGTTTATATTCCGAGTTTATATTCCGATTTGCTGAAGAAGCATATGAGGCAGCTGTGGACGTTTAAGCTGGATTGGCCACTATTGTATATCTAGGTGGTAATTGGTGGGCTTGTTCCTATCAATTATGCCATCTAAAAGCTTCACAGAACTATTTTGCAATTGGGTCTTATACTTGGCAATGCAAAGGGATTCAGTGCCAGAACCTTCTAGTTATGTTAGGCCAATTTTATTGGCCTTTCCAGTCTGTCAGAAAAAGTCAACGTTTCTATTGTCTACCTAGCCTTTGATTTTGATTTGAATATTCGTACCATACGAGTGTTAGAAGGCAAAAATTAATGAGGCTAAGCGCAATGAGCAAAGTTGCGAAGGATGTGTCAAGGGATCTGCACGTAGCCGCTTACACGAGAATAGTCTTTTTACATAATCACACCTGGAGGTGAGGTTGCGGAGAGCAATCTCCACTAGAGAATGCAACATCCAACTTAAGCTTAAGACCAGATACATTCTAGACCATGGCTACAATGGCCTGGCCCAACAGTACCTTGACTGACATGTTGCCCAGCTTTTCCCACACAATAGTGCTAAACAAGTTGGCCTTTGGTCTTGTCAGTTCGACAGATGCAACATCTGGATCCTTCGATTTTCGTACTCAACAGGTATATACGTATCATTCGGGCCATCCAAGTCAGATTGATGTATGACTTTTGAATGAATGCAGCCGGCAAACTGACGCCTTGTCATTTTACTGCAACCTGACAAATCCTCTACGGCAAACTTGCCAAACCACTAAAGAGATTGGTCTACTTCCACAAGAGCTTGAATTCTTCAAGCTTCGGCTTTCAAACCCGTCCTCTTCATCATCCTTGTGTTGGAGCTTTCCCCCACCAGGTGAGAGCCATCGTGTCTGGTAACGACTCTAAGCCGGTCGGTCGGCCGTCCTAAAATGATAGCTGCGATTTTGAATGGTTAAAAATTCCGCACAGCCCAGGCTCAGCATGTTATTTTGCCCCTATGGTAAATTGTCTTTGACTATCTTGGCTCGCGCAGCAAAAGTTGAACCAAGCAGTTGACCCACCGTATTCCTCGTCAGCAGCTGCACAGCACAATACATCACTGAGACGGCTGCTCATCATGGAGCGACTCCCAAATTCCAGTGAGTTGTGCTACTTCTAATCAGACGCAGATATATACACTAGCCTCTGCATTCTTTTCAGCGAGCACTGATAGATTTAGCGATGCAACTGGCCGCGAAGATGCCAACAAAAGGGTCTGCACTATCTTGGCGTTGTGTATCGAGCCGGTGCCCATGTCGTAACTAACAGCGCCGGTCCTCTAAGATGCTCTGGTCGTTGCCGAGTAGGAGATATTAACCCTTGTGACCGCTGAGCGTGAGAGGAGACGCGAGTGGTGGAAGTTCTTCATTAACGGCTTGTGCAAGCGTACTCTTGCTATATACCTTGTACTCGGGCGTAGTAGCGAATGAGTGGTGCCAACATCTTGTATAGGAAGAAAAAGCCGTTTCAAATCCTCTGGAGCACTTGCTAACACCTTCTATATAGCTACGTTGGCTATATCTTCACCATGGCTGACTGGAGGAGTAACATGAAACTCATTTCGGCTAGCCTTCAGTGTGTCCTTTTCATGATGTAAGTGCTATAAGGCTCGGTGATCCGGATCGAAGAACTACTACTCATGAACGCCTGTATGCTTGTATCAAACAACTTTATTTTCATCATTTTCTCTTCCATTAACGAGGCGAGTCAATGTACTATTTTCCATATGGGGCGTTGTTGACATGGCCTTTTGCTACTTTGTCATCAGTGGTATGCGTGTTGCTGGACGAGTTACCCCATTTGAGGGTGTTAATGGTGATAAAATGTTATTATCCGGGTTACTGGTCCTCTCGGCTATACCGTTGTCGCCTTCAGCTACTTGCGCATTTTGGTCTATGCCCTGGTTGGTTTCACCCTTCTCCTATTTGCAAATCATAATGGCCCATCACCAAGATCAGCCAGCCTCTCACCCCAATTGCCTCGACCTGCACCGCCGAAACATGGTCTCTTGGACCTCAGGCTTGCGGTATGGCCTTCATTGTCTTCGCCAACTGGTTCTTCAACTTTGTATTCGGCATGTCCATGTCTCCGGCCTCCCTCAACATTACCTGGAAGTCTTCGTTGTCTTTGGGGCACCGTATACTGGAACGGCCGTTTAGACTTACACTACCTACCCTGGGACTGGTTGAAAGAGGCCTGAGGAGGCCGAGCTGCTATTTGCCAGGGACGTGCAACGAGCTGGAAGACCAAGAAGGCTGACTTGCGCCTGGAAGCCGAAGTTCATGCCGTTTTTGGAGCGCGAGAGCGACCCCCTTAACCATGGGGATGGGAAGGGCTACACTACTCCGAGTCCTTGAGTTGCTCGAAGAGTATATAGCATATTGAACATGGGTGATAATTCTGGGGTTGAGGAGTCAGCTGGGTGGCATGTGGTGCGCAAGGTGTAGTCGATTGGCCGCTGGGCCTGGAGTTGTTCCAAGTTGAGATACCAAAAACATATTTCCAAAGCTTTGACAGTAAGTTTGAAGTTCATCTTGTAGAAAACTCGGCCAACTTGCATCCACGCGCATAGAATTCTCGATACATGCTCGTTGTCGAAAAGATATTTGAAACCGAGGTTGTCATTCCAGGCGTCAGTGTAAGCCAGAACGCAGGTTGCAGTGGTGTCTCGGAGCATGTACCCGCTACAATTGTCACCCGTACGGTAAACCCCGGGCTGGCGGGTCGAAACATATCGATAATTACATATCACCGTAGTTTCATCGCAAGCTCCATTCCGCTTCCTTGCAACCCTAACGAGCTGCCCAAAACAAAACGAAACGGAGAATGGGGTCCACCTGGACACCAAAAACGTATGGAAAAAGAGGGCAAAGCGAGAGGAAGTAAAAAAAAAAAAAAAAAGAGAGAGAAAAAAAAAAGGTGGGATTTGAAACTTTCCCTTTAGCCCCTCCACTTTTTGCGAAACCCCTGATCGTAGTCGTTCCTCAAAAATATGTATTCATGGCAGCTGCAATTTGCGCAGAACGCACTCAAACATTGAATTAGTAAACGCCATCACTTCTCAGACAACCCGATGTAGAAATCCCATGTTGTATGGGAGACATTGATAAGCGAGCGGTGCCAACTTCGACACCTTCCCTCACCCCTTTCCTTTCTCCTCTTTGTCTCCTCGTTTCGCCGATTTTGGTGCGTTTTGGCGGGGTAGACAAAGGATCTGGCCGATCTTCCCCCCACCAAAAAAATTCGGCTTGAACTCGACTCGACACTGACAGTTGTTTGTGTTGAGGGGCCTGCTGCTTAACGCCCGAGCCAAGTGTGAGCTCCACACCACGCACGGATCATCCATCTACTCTCGTTGGCAGCTGCTCTTATGGATATAATTCTGTAAATCTGCATCTGACCTTTAGGCAGGAACAGGATTTGGATGGTGCCGATCAACGTGAGGCCAACGCTTGTTGGAATTTGTATTGTGCATCCTTTTATTTCGTTTCTAGTTCTAAACAATAATTGTGGCTTTGGATTTTTCTCATTCTTTTTCTTCTTCTCTATCTATTCTTCATATTCCATCATCCTTGACACTAAAAGTAATATTCACAACTTGATCAACACGCGCCAAAAGGTTGCGCTGGGCCCTGGCTAGAACAGAGATCCTCGCCGAACCAGGACGTCGGTTGGGTGCTTGCTTGCACGAAAGCGCCGCATAGCTGTCAGGAGACACAGCAGCCCAACGACAACATCCCACCTGTCATGGCCCACCCACGTGGCGCTTTCGCCGCAGCCCGACTTCCCCCCCTTCCTCTCCTGGCCTCTCTCACTCTTTCCTTTTTTTCTTCTTCTCCAGTCTCTCTCGATCTTACTGCCCCATGGGTCTGCTAGTTGACTAGCTTGGAGTGTCACGATAAGGGCGGCATTAGCCCTGTTTTACACACTTAGGCCCCTCCCTTTTATACTGGCTTAATGCAAGCCGTAATGACGGCTTAGCCGACCACTTGCAGGTCCGGATGGTGGGACGAGAAAGTACAACTCTCCATCACGGCTGGACAGAAACGTCCCTGTTGTGCCCGAGTATCCAGCTTCGTGCATGCTCACCCCGCTTCCTTCGTCTTGAAAACCAAAGAGACAGCCTGGCGGTGGGAAAAGTTAAGGTATTAGATATGAGGACACAGTTCACATCATCTAGGTTGGAACATTCATAGAGTTATTTTAAAAGCAGATTCATCATGACGAGGCCCCTACGTACAGAGAGACTAGGAAACTGAAAGTCAAAAACTAGAACCCTGCCAAATGATTCTTTTAGGTACCAGTCCGCCGCACCTTCATGGTATTAAGGTGCCAAAAGACTCGTGAGCCCTCCACATGCAAGCCAGTTTTCAATCCCACCCGTGGGCCGGGGCGCGCCCAGCAACCAACCAAGAAGCCGGCCACGCCCAGTGGCCCGTGAGGTAGCCTTCCGTGATCTATCAACAAACAAAGTCTTGATGAATCTCGAGTAAACGCCCCCTACCGGTATGCTAGATCCGTGCGTGATCGATCGGCAGACCCAGGGGCTTGGTTAGTGCAAAAGAGAGAAGTCGTATCCCGTGAAGCGTAATTTAGATGAGGTCGGCAACGTTCATGGGCATCTCCTCAATCTGGGTGCTGTAGAACTGCTCAATCTCTCTCATCATGCGGACATCCTCGGCGGTAACGAAGTTGATGGCAACACCCTTACGACCGAAACGACCACCACGACCGATACGGTGAATGTAGTTCTCACGGTTGGCGGGAAGGTCGTAGTTGATGACCAGGGAAACCTGCTGGACATCGATACCACGGGCCAGAAGGTCAGTGGCAATCAGGACACGAGAAGAACCGGAACGGAACTCCTTCATAATCAGATCACGCTGAGCCTGGTCCATGTCACCGTGCATGGCGGAAACGGTGAAGTCACGGGCAGTGAGCTTGTCGGTAAGCCAGTCGACCTTCCTGCGGGTGTTGCAGAAGATGACAGCCTGGGTGATGGTGACAGTCTCGTACAAGTCGGAGAGGGTGTCGAGCTTCCACTCCTCCTTCTCAACAGCAATGTAGAACTGCTTGATACCCTCAAGGGTAAGCTCGTCCTTCTTGACGAGAATGCGGACAGGGTCGCGCATGAACTTGGTGGTAACCTCAAGGACGTCCTGGGGCATGGTGGCGGACAGAAGGACAACCTGGGTGCTCTGGGGAAGCAGCTGGAAGATGTCGTAGATCTGCTCGGTGAAACCACGCTGTGATGCAGGGTTAGCATGCGAAGGCCTCTCGGATATTATGATAGACATACAGAAAGCATCTCGTCGGCCTCGTCAAGGACGAACATCTTCATGCCGTCGGTCTTGAGGAAGCGACGCTGGATCATGTCGTGGACACGACCAGGGGTGCCGACGACGACCTGGGGACCGTCTTGCAGGGCCTTCATGTCGTCACGGACGCTGGTGCCACCAATGCAGGCGTGGCACTCAATGTTCATGAAGTCGCCGATGGCAACGACGACCTTCTGGATCTGCTGAGCAAGCTCACGGGTGGGGGCGAGGATGAGGGCCTGGCACTGCTTGACGTTGGTGTCGATCTTCTGGAGGACCGAGATGGAGAACGTGGCAGTCTTGCCAGTACCGGACTGAGCCTGGGCAATGACATCGTGACCTGGGTAAAGGGTGAGCTAAGTCTAAGGCGCAAATGTGAGGAGTTGACATACCCTTGATGACGGGCATGATGGCACGCTGCTGGATAGCAGAGGGACGCTCGAAACCGTAGGCGTAAACACCTAGGAGGGGCGACGTCAGCAAAACGTTCAGTAGTGAGGGGATTTGCACTCAAATTTTCGAGCGCGAAATTAATACATACCACGGAGGAGCTCCGACTTCAGAGCCATGTCATCGAAGGAGTCAACGGTCTCATCGTAGTTGGACTCGATCTGGCCTGGGAAGAAGACTCTTGTTAGCGGTTTGAAGTCGTTTGGAATGCGCCAGACGGGGGGTTCGAGAAAGAGTAGGAGAGGCGGTCGGTCGGCAGGTAGACAACCCTCAAACCTGAGGGCGGATCCTTCCACCGACGACCAGTGATGGTGATGATGATGCTTCAGACTGTCGCATCACTTACCCTCAGGCACGTCCTCAAGACCCTTGTCAGCCATGATTGTGGTGTTGTTTTGGGAAGAGATCTAGATCACAAGCACAGCTTGGAATCTAGAAATATCGTCGCGAAGGTGGGGTTGGTTGAGGGGCTGGAAAATTCGCGAACGTCTCGTTAGGAGAGTTGCGAAATGTGTCGACGAATCGAAGTCTAAGAATTAAATTCTCTTCTAGATTAGATGCTCTTGGCGATAAGCAAGAGCAAAACTGAATCTAGGAATAAAGTGCGGTTTGTATGTTCGTGGGGTGACGGTGCACGTTGATTGTTCGGTGGGAGGTGAAGTTTTTATCAGCAGCTGCAAGAATTCTTGACCACGTAAAAAATTTCCTGGCGGCGGGCGGCCCCTCGATTTATGCGGTAAGCGAGGTGGCGCTAATTTTCCACTACCTCTCGAGACGTGCAAATCCGTGGCTCGAGGCAGGCTGTGATTAGGGCACACCCACCGTAGTGAATGGGCAACCACTGGCTGACAGTACCCGTTCAGGCGAAGGAGCGCTGGGAGAGCCGGAGATAGCAGGCATGAATGGTACCAAGGTTGCACTGGCCTCTGAATTTTTTCGTCCCGTTCCCAAGCGTAGTGTGGCGGAATGCCTGTCGAAATTTTCATCTAGGCAACTTCATGCATTAATTGAGTTGCTGGACGACTCTAACGAAGCATGTGCCCGCCACTTGTACCACCTGCGCCTGCGATACAAGCCCAGTGACATGATTTCTGTTGCAGGATTTGCAGGTTACTCTTTCCGTTTTTTTTTTTTTTTTTTCACGGACGCTCCATTCTTCAGCTTGTTTGCTTGTGCTTGGGGGTTCCTTCAACGTCTCCCGCCGCAGCCTTGCCTATCTAGCTTGCTTTAGTAGCAGGCACATGTCATTGTTCCGTCAACCGTAAACATGGCCAACGACACCCTCGTGTCATCCCAGGACACTCTATCCAATGGCAGAATCAATGACCACGCTGACACCAACGGTCATGGCTATGACTCAAAACCTCTCGAAGACGCAGTCATGCCAACTGAGTCAATTCCAACCCATCCTCTGGGGGTGAAACCACTGGGTAACCAGTATCTCTCGGACCGTCCGAACGCTCGGAAACACATCGGGGTTTTCAAAATTTTGCCTGATGAGGCCCTCATGCTCTTATTAGAGTATCTCGACCAGAAGAGCTTGAGGATCCTGGGCTACGCCAGCAAGTTTCTTTACGCTTTTTGTCACTCTGACGATTCATGGAAGGCGTTGTTCCTAGAGTAAGTTACCACTATGATGGAGGGCAAAGAAATAAAAATAAAAATAGGAAATATGGGTCCACAGATAAGTTTCTCTATACGGCAAGTGCCACAAATGCTAGATGACTTATTTGCGCCGAGCTGTTTGCAACCGCTTTACCAATTTTAGTCTTGGTTCGAATATGACTCTTGAGGGTGACTACATCCTTAGTAGGGTTGTGATCCATCGTGGTAAATTATTTTGGTGGTTGTCAGTTCGGTTCAGCTGACAAACTGGCTAGGTCCCACAGCTCAGGCAGATTTGATGGCAAGTGGCAAGGCTCCTGGAGATCAACTCAGCTGGGGCTATCTCCCGAAAAGCAGCTCAAGATTGTCTGCAGCAATGTTTTTTCCGACGTCCTGCATAGGCCTTTTGTTTGCAGTCATGTGGATCTCACCCAGTTCACATCCAGAATCCCAAGAACCAACCAGATCCAGCGCATGGAGATGCTGACCTACGAGGAATTTGCTCAGAAGTGGACAGAAGTTCCATTCATTCTAACCAACTACATCCAGTCATGGCCTGTTTGCCACGAATGGAATCTGGATGTCATACTTCAACGCTACAGGGACGTCGAGTTCCGCGCCGAGGCTGTGGACTGGCCATTTTCGACATATCATGATTATATGAAGAACAGTCACGACGAAAGCCCGTTGTATCTTTTTGACAAGAAGTTCGCCGAGAAGATGAAGATCAAAATTGGCCATGAACAGGGAGCGGCGTACTGGAAGCCGGACTGTTTTGGACCAGATCTTTTCGAACTCCTAGGCAAGGAGCGGCCCGCCCACCGGTGGCTCATTGTTGGACCCGAAAGGAGCGGTTCGACTTTCCATAAGGATCCGAACGGTACAAGCGCATGGAATGCCGTCATTCAGGGCACGAAGTACTGGATTATGTTTCCGCCTATGGCGCAGGTTCCGGGAGTCTACGTCTCGGAGGACAGCAGTGAAGTGACGAGCCCTCTCAGCATTGCCGAGTGGCTCCTAGAATTCCATGCGGAGGCGAGACAATTGCCTGATTGTATTGAGGGCATTTGTAAGGAGGGAGAAATTTTGCACGTGCCCAGTGGATGGTGGCATCTGGTCGTTAACTTGGAGAGTGGTATCGCTTTGACACAGAACTTTGTGCCCAAGTCGACGTCCCTATACCAGCTAACTGAGGTTTTGGGATTTCTCAGAGACAAGGCCGACCAAGTTACGGGTTTTAAGCAAGAGGTGACGGACCCCTACGGACTGTTTGTTGAGCGGCTACAGCAGGAGTATCCGGATATTCTGGAAGAAGCACTGCAGAAGCTGGAGAAGAAGACCAGCCAGAAAAAAAGGAAATGGGAAGAGGCGGTAGGTGGTGGAGACACTGAAGCAAACAATGGAGGAGGCTTCAGCTTCGGATTCGGCGGTGACTTGGATGACGATGAAATTCCATAAGATGTACTAGACGATGCAGCAGCAGTTTGTGAGTCTAAGGATATGCATTATAGCCTTATTTAGCCACACTACGGCCTTATACATTCACAACGAGCGCTTTGTTTAATCCCCTCAAAGCATTGTTTAAACATCATGATGTTCCAGAATAACCAAGTCACTTCCATCAGCGTGGGCAAGATATGAGATAAGGGTAGTAAAATTAAGATTAGACGAAGCTCGTCCAACCAGAGGACTGGACGATCTCACCATAGCAGAAAGTAACATCCGTTTAATAAACATACAACGGCTTGATATAAAAGCGTTGAACATTTTGTGCAAGTTAGGATAAAGGTAGCATGGTAACTGGGCAGGGGATCAGCTGAAAAGGAGCTCGCCTCCCTTGAAACAGGTATTCGGTGAAGAAAACCTGCCACCAGCAGTTTTGCTTTCAGTGTCTCTCATCCAGTGGTTTGAGGTGCGTGGCTGATCGATCGCCTGGCGTGATCTATTGGCGTTTACATCGATGGCCAATCACACGCATGTGTCCCTCAACTGCTGGTTTTGTTTCAGCCGTTCGTTCGGTCGTTCTCGCTCGTGTTCAATAGCTTGCTGCCTCGGTGTTGTCGTATTACACTTGCTTCACGATCCTAACTCCGTAGTAAGCAAGGATTGTTGCAAAGAAAGAGAGGAGAACTGAGCCATCCTAGGGTAAGGCTAGGTACTATTACTGTTGCTTTTATGAAGTGGTGAGTCCAAGAGGGGCCACCCCAGTGGAGAGAAAAACCCCACGCCCAAATACTTGCCGTTTACTGGACCGTCATTTGGATCCTTCCCCGCCCTGTGCTTCGGATTGGATATCTGGAGGCAATTTTGCCTGGTACGTACCTCTGGGCTTTGATTTCACTCATACCGGGTCCGCAGTACCCCGACCCGCGGAAGCTGTCGGTGGCCCTGTTGGTGCCGCTATTGCTGGCGCCGCTGCATCATCCCTTCTACCAGACACCTCATGCCTCTAGGTGGCCGCCTTAACCTGCTGTGGACAACAGTCGGTCTTTGCTGCCAGCAAACGCCCGCTCAACCTAGGCAGGTACCACCTACCTTACTGGACCGTGCTGTACCTTTGCAGCAGCACCCCAACTCACCTTACCTCAGGTGGCCCCGTCCCAGTCAGCGTTCCTAGTCCCAGTCATCATCAGCCGAAGGGGGAAATACGTGCACCTGTTAACCGCGTTTCCTCCACCATCCATACCATAACCTCCTCCACCATCCATACCATAACCTCCCGTCCCCCTCACGCATGTCTTGCTTCTTACCTTGCAACGGCCGGCAAACAAAGCAAGCAAGCAAGCCAGTAGGGAAATCGCAAACACACAACGAAGTCACAGATCTGACTGCCTTGTGACGGAAGCATCCACCGCCTCATCCAGACCGACAAGGAGCTCGAGACAATCCCTCCTCTGCCCCTGGCTTCGAAACCATGTGACGGAACCATCGAGTCCCGCCCAACATCTTCGCTCCCCGTCCCATCGTCATCTCGCTCGTTTACCTTCGGTTTACACGTCAAGCATACACCAGCCTCTTTGACGCACTTTTCCACTAGTAATTCCGACGTTGCATAACGGCTTTTCGTTCGATCTCGCTCGCCGCCTCGATACACGAAGGCTGACATCTCACGTCAACGCCAACGCTCAGCCCTGCCTGCCTCTGCCACTGCCTCTGCTTGCCCGCCGCCTGCCTTACGTAGTATTTGCTCCAACCCCAGATCGAAGACATCCCATAGAATCGCTGCCTCGCTCTCGGCTCCAAACTATACATACGCATACAATACATATTCTTTACCGCATCTTTGCTGCCTGATTCTGCCCTTCAAGGGCCGCATCTCGGACCTAAACCGCGCAATCATGGTTTCCGACGAGCATTACGAGATCTGCCTCCCTATTCTACTGGATGCCACTCTCGAGGACGAAGACAAGACGGACAAGCTTGAGGATCTCTTGCGAAGCCAAACGACCTTGACTGGAGCCTCATTAGATAATGCGATTCTCGATGTATTATGGCGTTACCGCGACGGAGGTGGTGGCTCAACCTCTCCCCCTCCTATCCGTCAAACCATCCTCCGACGACCATCTCCCGCCTCATGGCGCGGCAATGCCACTCCTCTTTCCGGCTCTCCACGTCTGGGTGTCAGTCCACTAGCCCCTCCTGGCTTTGTCCCATCCTTCACGAGAACGAAGTCATCGGCAGCCTCGCCCTTCTCTTCCCCGAGGCCGTCCCCTAGACTTGCCTTCGCGACACCAGCTATACCCAACAGCCCGAACCTAAACGCATACGAGTTCGCCAACGATAGGTCCCCGTCCCAAGAAACCTTTGGCGACTACCAAACTGAGAACGTAGAGTGGCTCGTGGCAGACGATGCCATTAGTATATCCTCATCCGTGGGGACTTCTAGCGGCTTAAACGCCGCTGCCCCTGAGTTCTCTTCCATGTCTTCGCAGCAAGCTGACATGTCGCCATACGATATGCTTCGATCAATACTTGGCCAGACACGGACTGATGATGAGATCGAAGCCGCCCTTGCGCTTCACGGCTATGATTTGAGTGCGACGATCGTATCCATTATGGAGAGCCAGGCGCAAGAGAGTGGATACAGTGCGTTGCATCCTGATGACACCAAAACCTCTCTCATAGGCAAGGCTTTGGCCGCGGAAGGACGTCCTACTACGCCCGCCGGACAGAGGTCAGGTGTGATTTGCAAGTTCTACATGTCTACGGGGCAGTGCCTCCGGGCTGATTGCAGATTTAGTCATGACCTGAGCAACCATCTTTGCAAGTGAGTACATGCCTGCTAACACTGTGGTGAACTTGTAGCTGACCTGGCAAATCAAAGATACTGGGTTATGGGAAACTGTTTGGCTGGGGATACTTGTATTTTCTCCCACGACCCAGCGCATCTTATGAACAAGCTTGCATTAGATGGTTCCAACACCCCCCCTACGAAGCAAGCTAACAACTTGGATTTGAACTCGTTCCCTGCGCTTCCACCAGGCACCCCGGAACATCTAGGCGGTTATGGAGGCGGAGTAAATATTACTGTTGGAATCACACCACCTCCAGGCCTGAAGCCGTTCTATCAAGGCGAGAGTCCTCGGCCGAGATCTCGCCCCGGTAGCCGGCACCAGCAAGCAAGGGAGCCTGTGGCCCCGTCTCTGGATGATGCAGACGCGTTCCCAACTTTAGGCTCTGCCGCCGCAAAGCAGGGCAAGAAACACCATGGCAAACGCGGCGGGCATGGCCACAGCCACAAGGAGAACTTCGCGCCAAGCTCTCTCGCCGAGATCGTAAAGATGTCGCCCTCTCCGGTTCCAGCGCTCCGCCAGGACACTAAGAAGATTGGCCGAAACGGGAGCTCTACCAATGTCAGAAATGGTGAGAATAGTGTTGCGGCACAGGCAATTTCGAACCCGAAACACATTCCGTGGCTGGAGACTGGTGAACGTGCCAACAAGGCTTATCTCAAGGCCCGGCAAGAAGCTATTAAGCATGGCGGTCTTCGAAATAAATTCCTTCAGAGGTGAGAAGGCCCGACTCTGCTCTGTGTGTGTGTGATCTCATAACTGACTCCTCTACCAGCGCTGCCCAAGCTTGGAACCGCAATGATGCAAGGGCTGCGAAAGCTCTGAGTCTCAGAGGACAAAGCGAAAATGACCTCATGCGGAAAGCTCACCGGGAAGCGGCTCGGGAGCTGTATGAGGAGCGCAATAAGGGTAATGGGAACAGCTTCGAAATCTACGTTGACTTACACGGACTTCATCCTGAAGAAGCAGTGGAGTATTTGGAGCGGGTATTAATGGAGAACATCAAGGAGAGCAGGCCGATCTACGCCATCACCGGCACTGGACATCACAGCAAGAATGGTAAGGACAAAGTGGGCAAGGCCATTCGCAACTTTCTGAATGAGTGGAGGTACGCCTACCGCGAGTTCTCCGTCCCGGGCGACCGGAACAACATGGGTGGAATTCTGGGTATTGATGCCCGAAGCTACGACAAGTCCTTGGCCCGCGAGGGGACATCAAGCGCGGATGACAGTAAAGAAGAAGTCGATATCCTGAGTCAAGGGGTGGAGATCGGAGACGGCAAGGTCAGGCTCCTCGTTAGGGACCCCCCCAAGGGTCCTAGTGGGCGGCGATGACGAAAGTCTAGAAAGAAAGAAAGAAAACTTTAAGAAACTAGGAAGAAATCAATAGAAATGCCAGAAAGACGCTCCAGGGAGCGGACTCCCCTTTTCGTACGTTGGTCGTAAGTCCACCAGCAGATCTGCACTGCGGCTAAGGTATTTAAACAAGTGCATGCAAGCCTCGAGCTAATGCTGTGTGCTTCGACTGCAGGGAAGGAGCATCCATCGATAGCTTCCAACAGCTTGTGTGGAGACCCCACAATGACTGGACTTCACCGGACCTTAGGCGGATTTAGGCCAGACGCTCGGTCGGTCGATAGGCCGCCCGAGCCAGAGGCACATCTCTACTTCAACTCCTGCTACTGCTACTGCTTCTGCAATCAATTGGTGGGCCCCCTGTATGCCAAGTGATTGAAACCGTCCGCAGGAACATGAGACACCCTCATTGCGTTTGCCCATGAAACGGGTGCCCGTTTAACCCTCTAAGGTGCATCTTCAGCGGCCTCGGTCTCTTTCCTATTTGCTCCCATAAGTTCTCATGTGCTCATTCATCATAGTTCTTTATGTTCATGCTTCAGCGTCAAACCCGTAGTTTAGAGAAGCCAAAGAACGAAAACCCCGTGTAGGCTACCGGAAAAGGGACCCGCGCATCTATCGACCGTAGGAACGTTGCCTGGCACTGCCTTGCGCAACCTCGTCTGTGGCTTAGCTTACCTCATCGCTGGCGGGCACGCAAGTTAACGCTTCCAACGTCGCGACAACCTCTCCTCCCTCGACAAGCTCCCCTACACATCTCATTCCTCCTTTTCCTTCCTGATCTTCATCGCTACGACATGGCTAGATGAATTAGAACCAACCAATTGCTACTTCGACTCGACCAGCATTTTGCAGGAATAATCAATCCTGACCCGTCGACAACCCCGCGAGCAGTCTCTGCATCCGGAGCCTCCGGGCCAGTCGTAGTAACGACCTATTCGACCAACGCGATGCCGGCTGACTACGAATCGGCAGCGCGGGCGCTATCCCTTTCGCCGAACCCGTCCTCGCCATCCAACGACCGCTCCGATATCCGCCCGCCATGGTCATCCACAAGATCCAACAGCCGCCTGTCAGGCGCTCCCTTTGGTAGAGGACATGCTTCTTCCCGGAGGACGACGGTATTGTCCGGCGTTAACCGCACAATTCGGTCAGCGTATCAGGCTGGCAACCGCCTGTGGGGGATGTACCTTGCCCTCCCCCTCGTGCAACGGATTGTGGTGGCGGTGGTCCTACTCATCGTCAACGTCCTTGGCCTACTATTCCTCATTTATTCGCATGCGATCTTCAAATGGCTTGCTCCGGTATCACAAAAGTGGCGGGCTCTCCCGGGCGGGTGGTTAATTATCTGGTGTTTTACCTTCTTGACGGCATTCCCGCCAATGATTGGCTACAGTACAGCCATTTCGGTGTCGGGATTCGTTTACGGATTCCCATTGGGATACCCCATCGTGGCGACAGCGACCGTAGCTGGAAGCCTAACGGCGTTTTATACGAGCAGAGGTATCTTCAGTGGTTACGTCCATCGGTTGGTGGGACAGGATCATCGATTTATTGCACTTGGTCAGGTTCTGAGGAAAGATGGTCTCAAGATGCTGACGGCGGTGCGATTCTGTCCGCTGCCATATAGCTTGTCCAACGGCTTCCTGTCTACCATCCCTTCTATCAAGCCGTGGGCATTCGCCGTGTCAACGGCGTTAGCCAGGTAAACATTACACTGTTGCCCCCTTTGAACATGCGTATTAACGTCAGGCAGTCCGAAGTTGCTTGTCCATGTCTTCATCGGCAGTCGCCTTGCCCTTATCGCCGAAAAAGGTGACGAGATGTCGGCCGGTGGCAAGGCCATCAACTACATTTCCATGATCCTCGGCGGTACTGTAGGTCTTGTTGTCGGCTGGGTTATTTACAATCGCACCATGGCCCGCGCTGCCGAGCTGGCCCTCGAGCAGGCCGAGTCTGAGGGAGTTGTGGTCCCCGGCCGGGACCCAGCACCCGACTACTCCGATGTCGAGGCTGGCCTCGTCGACCCGGAGGATGTGGCAGCACTCATGGACGACGATGACATCTCGCTCTGGGCGCGCGAGGCTGTTGACGAGGAGGACGGTGGATTGGGTGAGTATCACGATGACGATGACGATGATGAGGGAAACGGTCCTAAGGGAAGACAAGAAGGGGGCAAGAACACGCATTATGACGAACAAAATAGGTTTAAAGACACAACAAATTGAGGCGTTTGGGACTGGAAATGCTTCGACGGGTGGGGTATAGTAGACCTTAGAGCTTAAGATGGGCTGAGATACAAATAATAGATCTCATGCGTATCAGCAAAGTAAAGACAAAGCATACGTGAATGTCAAGCGTCAAGCGTCAAGCGTCAGAGCCACGGAGAGAGGACTAGGGACATCATGATCAAGTATCTCATTTCTGGTCTTGTGGTATCATACGGACGAGTTCTGTCTGCTATTCCCCCCTGCGTCCCATCGTTCCGTTTCCTGGGCTTCGTCAATCTGTACGTAAACTCGTGCTACACCACGGGCGGTTGAAGCAGAAAAAGAAAGACGAAAAAAAATCTGAAAAATGCGAGATCCCGTTCCAACGCCTTCGCTAAAACTAAAACAGACGCCTCCATCCCATTCCTGTCCCAAACGTTGAAGTATAATGCAAAAGAAAAGCGGAAGAGAGAGAGAGAGGGAAAAAAAAAAAAAAAAAAAAAGACACTTAAATAAACATTATTGCTTTCCTTGGAAATGCTGCATGAACTGAATTGCCTGTTCGATGGGGTAGCCAATAAAAACAGGGCCAGTGAAAACCATTTGTGGAACACCACCTGGATTGATGTCTTTGTGTGCATCTAGAGGCGGGTTGATGAAGGTTGGCTGTGGTGGAGGAGGGCTATGTGACAGCTGGGGCTTGACTGGCGTCGATGGGAGCTCAACCGGCGAAGGATCTGGGTGCACAAAAGTCTGCTCGCCAGTATTCGGGGTAGGCGAGGTGAAGCCCATGGCGGCGAGTTGAGCATGATCAAAGGGGCATTTGCCTGCGGCCTTCGGTGGGGATGCGTTTTCGCTCATTCCGTTGGGCATAAACATGGGTGCCGGTGGGGGCGAGAACGGCGGGGGTTCTTCGCGGGCTGCGCTCATTGCCGCCATTTTCGTATGGTCGAAGGGGCATTTGCCCGTCTTTGCTGGTGTTTCCTCGACATCCGAGCCAGTTGGCATAAATACCGGGGCGGGCGGTGGCGATAAAGGACGTTCTTCATCATCTAGACCGTTGGGCTCATAGACTGGAACAGAAATGCCCCACGGTCGGCTGGGTGATTCGCCCACTCGAACCTCCTTGAGGGGTCGGTCGAAATGACTCTGCCGGGCTTCTTCAGCATCCACGGGGGCTGGTTGAGACTGTTCGGCATCGTCAGTGGCCGTAGCAGTGACGGCCTTTGCCCAGTTATGAACCCTCTCGTTCGAAGCCCGGTCGATCTCTTCCTGCTCCTGTTGCGAGGATGGCAGCATGGGCTGGTGAAGCGCGCTAAGCCCCTGGATCATGTTGACCAAGTTACCGTACTTTGCATCCAACTTCTTGATCTGTACCTCGTTCTTCTGGTATCTTCTCACACAAACTTCATGACTGCGAGGTAGCTCGTGTTTATGCGTTTCAACGTAGTGCGCAATCTCTTCGGGAGAGTGCTGGTCTAGGTACCGAATGGGACATTTCGCGGGCGACCCGTTGACAGCTGCCTGAGACGTGGATTCTTCGGCCATGGCAGCGCAAATGGGGTCGGGAGAATGGTGCGGCGTGGGGTTCTGCGACCCGTTCTCCGCGCTGTGCGCATCCGCATCAGCGCCATCCGCCTTTGGTGCAGAGAAAGGGCATTCTAGGTGCCCCTTCTTGCCCTCGATTGTAAAGTCCTGCTCGAGCACAGTTGACATGGAGGTTCCGGTCTGGGCTTCGCGGGAAGATGTCTGTCTGCTAGAGTCACTCGTCTTGCTCGTGTCCCCGATCGTAGATAGTTGCTGGGCGACGCGCCGGCCGTCTCGGATGATGAGAGCGATTTGGTTTCGGGTGTCCAGCTTGCTACGCTTCGGAAGAGGTACTGCTTGCGACGCTTCTTCTAGTGATGGGTTTGCGAGTTCGGGCGGTAGCTGCAACTTTGCCAATACTTCGGAGATTTCGGGAGCAGCAGGGGCATGTTTGTCGGCGAGATACTGGTACTGTAAGAGTTGTTGGGTCAGCGGGAGTTATCGCCGAGGCTGGCCGTACAATGAAGATAGAGACGAATTTGCAGTCAGAAAATGGTAAAAAAGTAATCGGTCTTCGCTCCTAAATGCAGGAACTCTTGATCTAGAGCTAAAGGTGTTCATCATGCAGGAAGGGGTGTGTAACAGAGCGTCGCAAGCCGAGCGGCGCTGCTGACAAACCATTCACGTTTCGACGCTCGACGTACCTGCTCGTGGGCGAATCTAAGCTTATGTTCCAGGACAGTCTTCCTGTCGGTCAGGATCTGGACTTCATCGGCAAGGGCGTTGAAAGAATCAACAAGTGTTTGGGTGAGATGTATGAAATTCATCCCACTGTTGGTGAGTTCGCGATCGGACCATGTGGGATGAGGCATAAAGAGGCAAGAGGACGTTTTTGAGGATTGAAATGATGGGGAGATTTTCGTTTCGCTGCCCATCTTTGCCGCCAAACGCTTCCCCCGTCAGTTACATTAAGAGGTGTCGGGGTAGTGGTTGGCGTAGAATCCGACCATTTTTGCCGAGCCGAGCACCTTCGGATTGTAGGCGGGGGCTGATGTCATTGGTCAACAATTATCCGCAATCGGTGCCAAGCTTATGTAAGATTGCCAAACCGAGCAGCTACCTCAAAGAAAATGACATTTCTACTATGCCGATCCAGACCTTAACCAGTTTAGAGTTTTAGTACCGTCACATTCTGCTCACAGCGTCTTTCCTGATTTGAAGCTTGGGTACTTCAAATTTAATCTTGTGGGATTCTACAAACATGTTTGGTTGTGTGTGAATACAAAAGGCGTTGTATGGATAAATTGCTTTTCCATCTTCCTTCGCCGTATGTCACCTCAATATATCAAAATTCTGTGAGATGAATCGACAGCTCAGACACAATCGTTATTCATCTTCATTAGACACTTCACAAGATATTTTCGCCAAACTGACCGATTAATTAGTGCCATAACACTCCATCTTTGCGTACTCTCCAGTTCAGCAATATAGTAATCACAAGATCATTAGAATTGCTGTAGCCAGCATTCATGTAGTACTAGCCGATACGCTTAAGCGAAACTTGCAGGGGAAAGATGTCGCCAACTGCCGCGGGAGGCTAGTTTCCGTCTCGAGGCCGGAATCAAACCGGGCCAATATGAGGCTCAATACAATACATCGTTATAGCTAGCCCGACTTGAGAAATGGGCTGTTGGTGCCGCTTTATGGAACTACTGTGTGGAAATCCAGCATTGCAGTCCGAAAAAGTTGCCGTCAACCGAAGAAACACGGCAACGCTGACCAGGATTCTCACAAGCATCACATTTGACATGCACATGGTTGTTGTCCAAGTCCTCTACGAGGGCCTAGGCCCAAGAGTTGGAAACACACTGGTAGACAGATGCCAGCGACATCTGCCCAGCCTTTGCATGCTTTTCTGTTTCACCTTGTAGAAAGACTACGATTGTTCTTCTACTCCTTGCTGTTTAAATCTCAAGGAGTTGATGTTGCTGGAGGTTCAACCCGCAATCAATATAATAGATTGACCGCAACAACCCTAAAATCGTTCTGAAAAGAGCAACGAAGGCGTCGCCTAAGAGGGGGGAAGAAAAAAGGTTCCAGCAACAGTGCTGTGGATGGAGCCATCGATGAACGGATAGTTCTAGTGTTAGACAACCAGACGAGTGCAAATGCACGAACCGAAGAAGATGGACCAGACTTGCTCAGAGGACTTTGCACTGTATAATACGGCGCCTATATGCTGTGATGACACTGTGCGGATGCCCCAATTGCCCGACTGAGAAGGTGCGACATCTCACTAATTACACTTATCTCGTACAACCACCAGCGCGGGGTTCTCAGGGTCCTCAACATATCCGCGAGCCAACTTTCATTTCCAACCATTCTCCCTTTCAACATTCAGCGTGTAAACTTTAGCCTATAATAGAGGATTACACGTCATCATCATGGCTTCTAAGGTGATCAACGCGGCGAAACTGCTCAGCAAGAAGTCCCATGTCATTCCAGGTAACTTCCACGTTGAGACCCCGCTACAGGGTGTATGTCTAGATCGATTCCCTAAGTCATTGCAGGGCAATTTCTTGTCTCGGAGCTTTTCTTCGAGGTGCCCAAGGACTACAGCAACCACTCTGCTGGCTTTCTCAGGCTTTTCGGCAAAAGCGTCACCAAGCACGAGAGACCCATCGTCCCCCCAACGGAGTCTGAGACGAAGCAAGCTGAGCAGAAGCCATGGATGGTCTTCTTGCAGGGTGGTCCCGGTTTTGGTAACCCTGAGCCTCAAGACAGTCCAATTACTCGAACCGCCCTCGACCGAGGATACCAGGTTCTGTTTCTTGACTACAGAGGCGTCGGCCTCAGCTCGCCTGTCTCGGCTGCCACTCTGGCACTCCAGGGCGATGCTCAGAAACAGGCTGACCACCTGAAGCTTCTCCGCCAGGACAACATCGTCAACGACTGTGAAGCGGTGAGAGCCTACCTCACTCAGGACTTCCCGGAAGAGAAGAAAAAGTGGTCCTTGTTCGGCCAATCCTTTGGCGGTTTCGTCTCTCTGACGTACCTCTCCAAATACCCCCAAGGGCTGCGAGAGGTCTTCCTGACCGGCGGTCTGGCACCAGTTGGTAGAAAACCTGAAGAGGTGTACCAGGCAACCTTCAAAAAAGTTGCAGAGAGAAACCAAGCCTATTATGAGAAATATCCCGAGGACATCGAGGCTGTTCATCAGGTAGCTCGATTCATTCAGGAGAAGGGCAAAGTGGCCCTTCCAGGCGGTGGTTTCCTCACGGTTCCAAGATTGCTCACCCTAGGAATTGCCTTTGGTGGTCACGGGGGACTGGACTCAGTGCACAACACCATTCTCAGGTTGAAGGCAGACCTCGATAACTTTGGTTTCTTCACTCGTTCGAATCTCACCGATCTTGAACAGGCTACCTCGTTCGACAGTAACATTATCTACGCCATTCTGCACGAAGCCATCTATTGCGAGAAACCAGGCTGGGCTTCCGATTGGGCGGCTTACAGAGTGGGTAAGGGTCTGGAACAGTTCTCCTGGCTGGCGAAGGAGCCTGCGATCTCCGAGTTCACAGCTCCTCCTCTCTACTTCTCCGGCGAGATGATCTTCCCGCTTCACTTCGAGACGTACCCTGAGCTGATCCAACTGCGTGAGGCTGCTGAAATCATTGCCAAATTCGATGCTTGGCCGGAAGATTTGTACGACTATGAGCAGCTCCGAAAGAATGAAGTACCCGTATACGCCGCCAGCTACATTGACGACATGTACGTCGACTATCACTTTGCCAAGGACACGGCCGCCCTGGTCAAGGGCTGCAGAGTATACGAGACGAACCAGCTGTACCACTCGGCTCTGCGTTCAAAGACGGAGGATGTGATGAGAGAGCTCTTCAGGCTGCGGGACAACCCCATTGACTAAATATTCCGGGTCTTTCCGTTTATTATACGTTGTGTTAATCACCTCAGATGGGTATCTTCTTTGCTGCTTTTCTCCAGAATCCGCATCTCTTCTCCAAGTGTTCCAACTCGGCGGTTTCGAAGCCAGCCTCCACAATTGTCCATTCCTTATTATCCCTGAGGGAGGGCACGGCAGCTGCCGTTGATGGAGAGAGTTTTAGTTTGTTAGGGTCGCCGGTCTGGAAGAAGGAGGCAAAAGCACCTTGAGATTGTTAGTCAGAACCAGTGCACAATAACACTATTTCCAAAACATCACTCACCAGCATAGCCTTGGTAACGGGCGGGATCTGTCTTCTGCACCGCGTTGACTTGGTTCCACTGCCACTTGTTAGCCCACAACTCTACGTCTTCTAAAGACGAATTCACATACCCAAACAGTATCACTAGCATGCTTGGAAGGGTTGAGCGAGTACTCGCCCAGCCATCCTCCCTGCGACGCAGAGCCGGAGAACCAGTACGCAGGGCATGTCAAGATGACGTCCCTGTAAATTAGACCGGCTCTCACATAAGTAGTGCTGTACTCAATCGTCTCTGTGACGCCAGCCGGGGGGTACAACTTTTTCACGGCTTCGATCTCGCAGTCGCCAAAGCCAGGGAGGAAGCCCCTCAGCCACGACTCGAAAGATGCCTCGCTCGAGTTGAACGGCGGCGAGCCCGCGTTCGTCTCGCCCTGCAGACCGGGGGGAACGAAGTTCTCGCCCTCGTGCGTGTTGTGCATGGCGAACGCCAGGTCCATGTTGACGTTGCCCTTGGCGGTGGCCTCGGACAGCGACTCCTGCAGGAACTCCCCGTCGATGACGGGCGACCAGGTGAAGGTCGAAGTGTTGTACTGATGCGACGAAGAAATGGCGAGACTTGCGTCCCGGATCGTCTGCACCTCGGCCTTCTTCAGACACGCCAGACTATCCGGGCCGGCGCACCCCGTGCGTCGCGCAAGCTCGTCATAGAGAGCCTGCGCCTCGGCGCTGTCGTACTTGTAGACCTTGGGCCAGAAAGGGCTGCTAGCCATCGCCTTGCGGAAAAGCTTCTGCTTGCCGCCCCTTCCCAGTGCCTGTGCCAGCACGCTACCGCCACCCGCGGACTGGCCCCAGATCGTCACGTCGTCGGGGTTGCCGCCGAACTGCGCAATGTGCTTCTTCGTCCACTTCAGTACGGCTTCCTGGTCCAGCAGACCCGGGTTCAGGTCGGACTTGGGGTCGGCGGCGATCTCCTTGCCGGGGAGGAGACCGAATGCGTTGGTGCGGTAGTTGGGGTACACGAACATCATGTCGGAGGCGTCCGAAGTGTTGAGAATCGGGTACGCCGAGGGCGGGATGGAAAAGTACGCGGACCCCTGAATGAAGCCGCCACCGTAGAAGGTGACGACGACGGGCTTCAGGGGCTGGTCCTTGGTCCAGGGGCGAGAGTAGAGGCCAAGATACAGACAATCTTCAGAGCCATTGACCTATATCAGCCCAGCCAAATCAGCTCTGTTACACCTTCAGACGAGAGGAAAGGGCGGAGCTACTCACCGTCCGCTGGGGGCACATGTCAAAAGGCTGGCTGGAGTCGTAAACACCCTCTACAGCAGCCGGGGGCTGCGGGCCACGGAACCGGTTCTCGCCGACTGGGGGCGCCGCGTACGGGATCTTTTGCCAGTACGAGATGTTGTAGCGCTCAGAATACGCGCCCTGGAAACTGCCGTACTCGGTCTCGGCAAGGAGGTGAGTCTGCGTCTGGCGAACCTGCGGGAGCGCGGAAGCGCCGCAGGCCGCGAGGGCGGTGAGCACCGCGGTGGTGATCGTAGACGGCATTGTAGGAGAGCGAAGGGGGGGACGGGCGAGTCTCGTCCGGGTGGGAGGGGGAGAGATTGAGGGCTAGAGAAACCGCCGCAAAGACTCGACGGACCTGACCATCATGTTCTCGGCCGGGCCTGGGCAATGGTACGGGTTATATATTTACATTTGTTCATATAGAGGTTACAACGCCGGTGAAGCAAGGCGCGAGCGGGACTAGGACCTCGGGTATAAAGAGTGATGTATGACTACACCAATTAGCCAAAAGAAAACAACCTTCATCCACCGATCTGGGCTGGCTGGTATTCCATCATAACCCCAGCACAGCCGGCCACCCGCTCCGCGAGATTAGAGAAAAAAGAGAAGGAGGGGAGCTGAGCTGCCATTTGGTTCTCTGTGGGGTTGTTAGACTGAACAAGAGGTGAGCTAGCGTCGATGGTGGGGTAGAAAGAGCAAGGACGGGGGTTAGGTCATGGTTCAACTTCCCCCGTTCTCCGGAGTTTGGGAAGCATTTCCCTCCCCCAGAAATCTCCAGAAAAAGAAAAGAAAAAAAGGAATAAACGCTTGCGGGGTCCCCGGGAAAGGGACCTGGGACTCGGTGATTCTCCTTAATCATGTACCGAACCTCGTCTCTGCAGTTTCTCCGCACCGGGTTTTGGACGTGTGTGGTGGTGGTCATGCACATGTGCTTCCGTGGCCGAAATGGAGCTAGCTTTATATGCGTGCTACTGAGTCTTCGAAGAACAAGATGTTTGACCAAAGTAGTGAAGATATCTTGACCGAGAAAGTCATTCCGCAGTTCCCATGGCAGAGGCACATGCGGCATCATGAAGCGAAAGCTGTCTCCCTCTCTCTCCCCCCCCCCCCCCCCCCCCTCCTCCTCTTCACCAGCCTTTCGTTCCTGGCCCATCCGGTACGGTGAATGGCAAGGCACCACCCCTGTCATCACGGCCAGTGTACGAGTCGCGCGGTTCTAGTGGGAGGAAGGGTTCCATAAAACCACGGAGTACTACCCTCATCCCGTCAGATCACACGCGTCATGGGCGAGGGGTCCTGCATATACCTTCTCGTCTTGGTTTGATCGGATGAACGGACTAAAGCAAACGATGGCACTCTGTACGTTCTCGCTCTGTTTCTTTTTCGCTGCTTATACGCAATGAGGGGGGGGGGGATAATTTCACAGCATTAATAAACAAACACGGATCCCCCTCGCCATGGTAAAAGTATAGTAAATGGGATAATACAACCCCGAGCATGGGCTCCATCAAACAGACTTTCGCCTCGACCACCAATGTCACTAGACGGTAGTACATTGCGCCCTTCCCCTTCCCTTTTTTTCTTACTACCCCGATCCAAGAAATCGGCCCCTCGAGAATGTACTATGTATGCACATGAAAAGCAAGACAATGCCGATGTCCCCTGTTTCAATGTACCCTCGCCACGTGCATCAAGGAGTGTGCCCAGATTCTTCGCACGTCTCTGGAGAGCTAAAGTGGCGATATCACCAGCCCGGATGCCAGTGCGGCTGCGGAGGTGGAGGCGGGGGTGGCCGCATATGAGGGGGTAGAGGCGCGCCGACCGGCCAGACGGGCATAGGATGGTTGTGAGTCGCCCGCTCCATAGACGGCAGCGCCCTGCTACCCAGGTCCTCCTCTCTCCGGATCGCCGTCTCGCGGAGCATTAGAGCCGCCACCTCCGGATGTCCGATCAAGAAGTCAGACGTCTGTTGCGGTGCCCGCTGCCACAGCAGAGGCTGCAGAAAGCCGACGCGAGCGAATATCATCTTCAGGAGGACATCCGACTCAGGCACGCCAGCGTACAGCTTTGAGCACAGTTGCAAGACGGCCGGCTGCGCCGCGTCGGACCCGGCGGACTCGAGCATGTCGACGCAGTGGCGCACGATGACGGTTTTGAAGTCGTCCATCATGAACTTGTTGGCGGTTATGTAGACGTCCAGGCTTAGCTCATAAGTGAGAAGCCACGTCCGCATGTCCTCTCCCCGGATACGGTCGCCATCCATCATTTCGTCGTTGCCTGAGGCCGAAGTACCCACCGAAGGCGTTGACCCGGGTGGTGTAAGAACCTGGGGCCGGCTGCGACGTCGACGATGCGGTGGCATGACGGGGGGCCGCATAGGTGGTATAGGGATAATTTGCGGCATGGGCCCGCCTGGCATCGGCCTCGCGCGAGCGACACCACAGTTCCAGCATGGCGGTCCGGTGGCGGTGGTGCAGCGCGGGCATCTGCAATCCGGGCGGTGTGCACCGGGTTGTTTTCGATTCAGGCGTTCCCATTGCCGCTCTCGCCGCCGTTGCCGCCGCTGCGCCCGCATTCGACTCCTAGCGCTCGCATCGCTGGCCTCTGAGGACGAAATCTCCGATTCCGACTCGCTCTGGTGGCCAGTATCTTGCGCCTTGCCTCGATCCGGTTCGTCGAGACCTAGTGCTGAAGCGGCGGGCCTAATGGGAACGAAAGTCTTCTGGTACAAAAAGGCCACGAGGAAATGAAAAATTGCTGGGTCTTCTTCGGGAAAATCAATCGTCTGCGCCTCGGCCTCTCTAAAGTCGCCGCAGAGCGCTTTTCGAAAGTATTCGGCCGTCATCAAAATATCCCTGTGCACCTGGAATACTTCCTGGTCCGGCGCTTGGCCGACACGGAGGGGTATGATGGCCGAGTTGTACCGGCCGTCCGCGGATGTTAACCACAAATCTTCGCGGGGGCTGGGGTCGTCTTTTCGTTTCTTATCGTCGTATGTCTCATCGAGTACGATAATGTCGGGAGAGTTGGTTGGGGCCGTCCTCATCACATCGCCCAAGGTACGCGTCGCATTATTTGCATCATCGCTGCTCCTCCCTCCGTTCCGATTGCGGGCGAGGGCCGACATAACGATCAAGTATGCGCTCGTCACGCTATTGGTCGATCCTTTGTGTGGAATGACTGTACTATTGGACCTCCGTATAAACCGCAGTTAGCTGTAAATGCTGACGGGGAATGAACCGGACAGAGTAAGCCGGTTTATAACCAAGCCGGAGAGACACATCAGACTGGCAGGAGACCTTTGAGGAACAACGGGCTTCATATAGGTTTGGCTTGCGCGCGAGACCGAGGTCAGGCAGCCACACCCCATATAGGTAATATGCACAAGTCGAACAAGACGGATGAGGGTGGGTAGCTTGGTGGGCGGTGGCTGTCAGACCTTTGTTGGCCGCGCCCAGCAGCCTCGCGACCACCAACTATGGCGAGGCGCATCTAGGTCACTTGGAAGCCCGCCGGACAAATCCCATTTGGGACATGGTCGATTTTGCTTATCCCCCTTCGCTTTTCGCTTCCCTGCTGTGTCTGCTGTGCCTGCTGTGCGAATCCTGCATGAACCGTTCTGTCGTTGCATGGAAGAATCGAATGCATGTCAGGTGTCACCTACAAGTCCATCCCATCCCGTTATTCGTCATTCGCATTTCTGCATCGCTTTTACCCTCGGCCTTTGTGCTTGGCTAGTGACTTTTCTCGGGAATGCCACCCACCTCACTCTCTGCGTTCCATCCCATGTCTGTGTCTACATGCCTGGCCCCGCGCAGCTCCGGAACGGGACGCACGCAATCGCGGCACCCGCACCACACCGCAGGTGTCCATGTGATGGGCCAGTGTTGCTTTTCCATGTCTTGCGCCGTTGGCACCCTTTTTAATATTCGTGTTGGTGGTGGCTGTCGGCCCAAGCTTCGTTTGTTCCAAACCGCGGCTAGTCAGACCACTGGGAGGCTACAGGAGTCCAGAGTAGCGGTGGGAGTGGGAGCGGAACTCCATCACACGCAGTTTGTCGCGTTAAACCGGTCTGTTAAACCGGTCTGCAGATGACTTAGGCGGGGCTTCCATTCGATGCAATGCAGGTTGGGCGTCTTCATCACCAATTATTGACGGGTGTGCGGCGGCATGCATACGCATCTGCATCTGCGGGAAGTGATGGGAACGGCCTATGAGCGACACCGCCAACTGCCTGGGTACGATGCACCCAGTAGGCTCGTAACGGCTGCTGCAGCCCAGGGACCGACCGCTCCAGCCGTCATCAACGTCTTCCGGACCACTCGTATGTTGGTTGGTTGATAGTGTCATTCTTCCTCGTAGATCTCTTGTTGCATTTGAATTTCTGTTCAACTTGGTTAACGTCGCTACACCAACAGTTTTCTTGGCCTGCACTTACGCCACAATCGGTTGGCTGAGTCCGAGATGACCTTGGCCTTGGCCATCAGCTTCTCCTCGTACTTGACACTTTCCTGCCCCTTGATTCGGAGTTTGCTGGGTTGGGCCTGTGTAGATGTGAGTCAGTGTTCCATGACCAATACGGTTTTTTTTTTTTTTTTTTTTTTTAACAACTTGCCTGCATAAGGATGGGTAGCAGCTCTTTGGGATCTGCATTGGCAATAGCCGCAACGCTGCGAAAGCCGTTTTCCCAGAAAACTCTTCTGTTCCACAAAGTTAGACGCAATTTCGACATGTCTAAAAGGTCGCGCAACGTACGCAGTTCGGCTCTTTACAAAGGTAATCTGTGCCAATGCCAACAGGTCCGACTTCGCGCCTGCCCTCAACCGATCCGAGAAATGGTCCAGCGCAGCGGACATGATACTGCAGCATATAGTTAGTGATTTAGTTTTTTTGTACGTACAAGCTGGCGGCTTACCACCAACCCATATGCTCGCAAAACTTGATCATGCCGGCCGCGAACCCGTGGCAAGTCTGAGAGAGGTTCTGAACAGCGCCCCGAGGCACGTCGTACTTCCGCGCCACGGTGTGGATCGGAATTTCGTTGCACAAGTCTCGTAATTGAAGTGCTAGGTAAAACCGACGGTGTACGCGGACAATTTCCTTCTCCTCAGGTGTCGTCTCCCTCAGTGTACTACCTTGCGCCCTGGAGACGGTTAGCGACATCATAAGAATACGCAACGTTGCTTGCTTACAGTCGGTTGATAACAGCACGTTTAAGCCCAAGAAAACCCAGTACGCGGTGGCCACTGTCATCCAGATTCTCCATCTCGTTGCGGAAGACTTGCCAATTGATATTCGCACCGAATTCATGAACGGGGGTAAACGTATAGAGAATATGCATCTCGCCGTCCATTACGAACGCTTGAAGCGCCCTTTCCAACTCTTTGTGAATGAATACCCCGTCATCAGGATCCAATGCAGAAGCTACAATTGCCTTGCCCAGTTTCGTGGGTTGATAGTTGTCGCATAAGTCTATCTTTATGAATCCCATTGACTGCAAGCTTTTCAGACTCGTCTCAATACAGTCCTGCAGAGGCTCCCGGGGACCAACATGGGCCAACAGTGTTTTACTCAGATAGTCATCTAGAGCATCTCTGCTCGTTGCAAGCCGTATTGCGATGACCTCTAACAACGCCCTGGGGAAGGTCAGCAACGTTTATAGCGTATGGGCTACATCGCTTTGTCCCTACCTTTGTATTCGCTGCTTGTCTGTTATCAAGCCACTTGTAATGTTTGGCATTTCAGCGTGCATCAAGTCAACCACTTGTGCCAAGTCCTCTTTCCGACAGCACAGGTAAGTTTCTCCAACTTCGTCCTTCCCCTTACGGCCGGCGCGCCCACGCATTTGCCGAAGCATCGAGGGACCCACGAAATCGCGGCCCATTCTAGCGTTGTGAAGAATGACTCTTCGGGCTGGTCTGGTGGACGTTAGTTTTCAAACTTCATCTCTGACAAGGTACTTACAGGTTAATTCCGGCTGCAAGACTACAGGTAGCAATGCAAACTTTGATGACACCAGCATCGTAAGCATTCGCAATTAGATCGCGCTCCTCGGTGGTCAATCCGGCCTAAAAGATCAGCGAGTGAAGGGCCACCTCGACAGTTCAATAACTCACGTCTGGGGTAAAGTCAGTCTTGTGACTTCGCGGCAGGTACTGTATTTGGTAAACATACGATGAAAAGCAACCCCCATGGGCACCGTTTCTTCCAAAATGGGATCTATACCGGTCCCAAGACTTCGCAGTTCAGCGAGCAGGTCTACACGTTTCTCGACCAGTATGGGGTCAAGCTCATGTTGTGTCGGCATGACTCTGGCAATCCAGCGAGCATCCGATTCACATCCAGGACGACTGCTGGCAAACACTAAAGCACCGTATCCTGCCTTTGCGGTCTCGCTGGCAAGAGAAACGACCGCATTCAATACCGGGTCTTTGAACTCCTTATGAATGGAGGATTCAATGCGCCTGGCTGCCCTCAAGTTCTGCATTGGCTGCGTCTTTGTTGTCAACTCACTAGCTGTCTTGAGCAACTCACTTGTTGTGGCAGCCGGATAGACGCCCCCCTCATAGACAAGATGCTCGTCGATCGGCACTGGTCGATAGCGCGTCTCGTAAGAATGGGCCCCGAGCCAATTGGCTAGGAGGCTGATGTTCTATAGACACAGACAGGAGTCAGAAGGCACCTTCTGACAACTCTGCTAATTGACTCGACACTTACAGACATGGTGGCGCTCATACCGATAATTTGTACAGGCTGAGGCAGGCTGAGCAACTTGGTCCCCATCAACTCCATGAGATACCCGCGATGGTCATCGTCGATCATGTGTAGCTCATCTAGGACGACTGCTTTCAAATGCTTGATGGTGCAATCGTCAATCGCTGTATTCACGAGTGCATTTGCCTGCCACGGCCACAGTTAGCTAGCCTCAAACCAAGCTTGCCGCGTGTCGCATGCCTTCTCGATGGTGCAGACTCCAACATCAAAATCCGACCAAGTCGGTTTGATCTTGCTTCCTCCAAAAAAGCCAATCACTCTGATGGAGTCTTCGTCGGCGCGCCGCCTCCAGATGCGCTTTTCGTCATCAATCTCTTCCTTTGGTTTTAGCACTCCCTGGACAACGTTCCGGAGCCAACGGACTTTTTCTTGCACTAGAGCGACATAAGGCAACACGAGGAGAACTTTGGCGTTCTTTTCTTCTAAGACCCTTTTCAGCATCAAGACTATCACAAAATCAGCAGGGCGTCAGGAGTAGCATTCGCAAGAGGTTGACTCGCCATCAGCTACAAGTGACTTCCCGCCTCCAGTTGGGGCACTGTAGACAAGATTTCTCTCCCCGGATAAAAGCCCCGGTCCTCTAAGGCATGCCTTTTGCCATGGGTACATGATCTTGATGCCAAGACCGTATAGGTTCCGAATTAACGGTCGAGGAAGGCCGTAATAAGGATGTGCAAGAGCAAGCAAAGGGTCCGAGGACGAAGATGGTGTACATTGCACAGCGTTTCGCTGGGTATACTCGGAAGGGCCTTGATGGCCAGCGAGGTCCAAGGAGGTAATTGGACTTGCCGTCAGTCTTGGAGGACCAGTAGGCAAACTTGACGCCCGATGAATACCCAGCGTATGGCTCGGGAGTGTCGTCGGTCGCGGCGCTGGAGGATGTGCAGTTTCGGAGCGAGCGTGCTTATTGCCAGCAACCGTGGTGGTCAAATAAGTTTGACCTTGATCCTTTACGGCTTGAACCGAGGTCTTGTGCCAGGTACTGTTATTGGAAGTCATTGTGAAGCACACGACTGGCCGCGAGCAAAATACAATCCATGTGTTTTTAGTTCATGCTGAGAGCAGCCTCAAGTGCAGGTATATGGTTTGACGGTTTGTTATTTTCAGCGACGTTGTGATATGGGCAGGCAGCCAATCCGTCCTCTTGTCAGTGATGCAACCAACACCTTATTGACAGAAAACGGCAAAGCGCGTTTGGGAGGACGTGTGCAAGGCAGCAGCAAGGATGACCCACCTTACCGGGATCACGCGAAATCATGTGCGAAGGCGGTATTACCTCATCTCTTCGGGGTACGTATTGTGCGACGGGCTTGCTCTATTCTGCTAGCCGAGTCGAAAATTGGAAAATGGAAACGCTGCGACTGGGCGGCCTTACTGGCTGGCTGGTTGCAACGGGGGGGAGCAACTGGACACGGGACTCGGCCGAGTTGGCCGGGTCGCGGTACGTACTCTTCACAGTCTGCTGGGCCAGATCGATAGCTCCACTCCTGGCCGAGCCACAACTTCACACACAGGTCTGGTGGGGTTCACGCGCGTGGCTCCTTTGCCCGTGGCTGACCACTCCACGGGCCAGACTCGGCACTGACACTTTTGTTCCAAGATTTTGGGGTCGGGGCTGATTGAGTTGGAGTTGGAGTCGGACTCGACTTGGCCGATGGACTTCTGCCACATATGATTTTGGAGTTAGAAGGGGGCAGAAGGAAGGGATGGGGCCCGGTCGGCGCTGGGGGGGGGGGGGGGGGGGGGGGCTGCTTGAGCTGTGAGAGATGGGAGTAGAGACCGGACGGGAATGGACGATGCCAAGCCGTGAGAAGCAGACGGAAAAGACAAGGCCAAGGCTAGTACGCCAGGCAGGAAGAGGTATGAGCAGGAGAGAGTAAATCAAGAGGACAAAAAAGAACAGTTTGATGGGATACTTTTGGACAGGGGGCCGACAGGGTCTATTCTTTGTGTGCAGTGCCAGACCAGCTACCAGGCCCCAACCATCAGGAACCCGAACCGCACCACAGCCAACTCACGCAGACGAAGGATGATCCAGGTCCAAGAGCCAGCAGCAACCCTCCCGTAGGACACACCGGTGCGGTAACCCCCAGCCCCAGGTGAGGTACAAGACCCTGCCCCCAGACAGGGATCATCATCTGGCCCATCCATTCGTTAACGCATCTCACTAGCCTGTCATGGCCTGCCACCAGTGACCACCGCTCATCCTTTTCCCAATGCCGATGATACGGACCCGTAGAGATCGATGGCATCTTTCGAATGGCGGCCTTGTCTGTCCGGCTTGGGATTCGGTATCATTTCATAGCCAGGTGGACAATGTGGCGATGTCTGCTATCAATGCCGTCGGCCGGTCATGGTTTCTACAGGTGGCTGACTGTGATTGACCACTCCTTCCCCTCATTCAAGCCCATTACGTCGTCGTCGCCGTCCACATCTTCTATCTCAAATCATCTCGAGACGTAGAAATTCATTCAGACGACAGGTATTATCAGGACGCGATGAAATTTCCCCTGAAACACATCGCCTTGACTCCAGCCTCAATCAAGCCCTGGGCATTGCGTCGAGCCTGAGATATTGACTCTTCCCACCACGGCGTTGATGATTCGGCGCAGGGTCCGATTGCTGGTCCGAGGGGTAAGGGAGTCGGGATCATTGTTCTGGGGCCCAATGCTTGAAATTTCGACCTCGACACACCCACAAACTTTTTTTTTTGCTTAGAAAAAAAAAACCGCTCTTGTTCGTTCTTTCTCAAGTCGTCCTTTCCCCGATGAAACAGGACGGGGTTCTACGCACAATGCATGATTTCGTGGCCGGTGGATTGAGTGCGATGGGAAATGGGCCTGGGCCCGGGAATGCGCTTGTCACTAGTTAGCGGATGACCCCTTGCACCATGCGGCATGAGGAGCCCTTTTTTCGCTTGTGTCGGATCAACCGACAAATGCGGTCAACCTCGTCTGTCTTCTGACGTCCTCCGTGCCTGCTACTGCGATGAACCTCAAGACGCCTACGCCTGGCTGGCTCCGTCATGTGCATGTGCATTTTCATCATGACGAATGGGCCGTGGTATCCGATGTTCAGATTTCCTGTCGAACGCCGCATCGCTCTGGGCCCTATCTTTTTCTTTTTTCATTCATCTTTCCGGAGTTGTCCCTTTCCTCTTGCGAGACATTGTAAAATTGCAAAATGTGGCTGTCGGTTGGGGGCTGGAACAACTGGTGAGCGAACGGGTGTTGCTGGTGTTCCTGCCGGGATAGCTGGAAGGAGATTGGACATCGTGTACATTTTCCGCAGAACTCAGCAAATGGGACAATGGGACTTTTTGGTCCGCCTTTTTTCGTCGTTGGAGAAAGTTTTGCTGTTGTTGGTAGCCAAGTAGACCAGGGTAATGCATTGCATCGAACGTCACAGGTAACGTTGATTTGTCTTTGGGGGCTGTACCGATAGACTCCGCGCAAGAAAAGTTCAGCTTGCCGGCTGGATATGTAGCCAGAAGTCTGGGTGGGTTGTAGGCGCGCGCCCGTTGACAATTGCACATTGCCCTTCACCTCATTAGTCGTGGTCGCCGAGGCGCCCCATGTATTTTGCGCGATGTGGTCACTAACGCCGACGCGTTACAGAGTAAGAGAGATTCATGGTAGCGCTGATGGGCAACGACATGCGATGCTATCACACAATCGAGGTCGCATATTTCCAGGCGAACCGGACTTGGAAGTCGGGGGGAATCAAGCCAGATCTAAGCTCTAAGTAACCTTGCCTACAGCACAAGTAGCAGCAGCAACCTCATCGCCAGCGTGAGGCCAAGTTGCAAGGTGCAACGACGCCTCTGTGATGGCAAAGTAGGGTTCCCAAAGGTACGTACCAGCTCGGCCGTCCCTTGCGGCTCCACTCCGATGTCGATGTGCCTCAGTATTCCACACCTACCTCAGCGTGCTTAGTAGTGAGTGCCGGGGATGTGCTCGGTAGGGTTGGTAAGTGGTTTGAACTTTGAAACACACAGTAGTATTGTTTGCGCTGATGTATCTTCAAACCGGACGGCCATCAGAAACGTCAAGAGGATATTGCTGTGCTTGGAAACAAATCCTTGATTAGTGGGAGCGGGAACGAAGACGCCTCGGTCTGGCCTGTACTTGGCGAGTACCTAGTAGAAAGGGTGGGTTGTATGTGCCTTGCCTCGGAACAGCTGGACGGGCAACGGTCGGCATCTGACTGCCATGGCGAAGAAAGACCGCCCACCCCTATCATTCAAGGCTAATTATTAGTTTACAGGCATGCTGTTTAATAAGGCAGGAGACTTGTTTAACCCCGTTCCCCGTTATGGCAAAAAATAGTGCCGCTCTGCGAGAGCAGTCCGCCCTACTGCCCATATGCTGAAGACAGACATCGAGCCTGGCGCGATCTTTGGCACAATGGGCGCTGGTCCATTCTTTGTGTTACCCGGGCTGCTAGGTCACTTGCTTATTTCTTTGGTGCTGTTGCCACCGAAAAAATGAAGGCCACCACAGCGGCAGCATGTCGAAATTGAGGGTGCATCTCCATGAGCCAAAATAGCCTAGCATGACTCTCTGCGACGCCTATTGATTGTCAAACAGTGACCCAGGTAGTCACTGCCCAATAAATTGGTACGGGAAAGGTGACTCCGCCAAGAGGTGATGTTCGAATTGAGAGAGGGGACGGGGGCAGGGTGAGGGAAGAGGGGGGTTCAAAAATATCTGGGCAAAGGGGGAAAAAAGGTTGGGGACTTGATACCGAGCGGGCTTTAGAAGCGGTGCAGTGATAACCTCCGGAACTGGACTCCTCCATGTCGTGCATATGAACGTTGGCAGGGCCTATGTGTACAATAAGTAAGTACACCACCACCACTTGTTTCCGTGCAAAAGGTGCGGGGAGGAAATCCCCGGATCATTCCAAACGTGACTGTTATCTAAAGTCACGTCTACGGTGTTAATAAGCAGAGTAAAAAAATAACCAAGTTAAGCTGGGTGCCACTGAACATAGGCTAGGGGAGGTAGGTTCTGTTAAAGTAATGTAGGCATATGTATGCATGCATGGAGGTACACGCTCTTAGGCACCTCCCGCCGCCAATGCTTGCTTCGGCAGGTGCAGCCACGAGACCAACGAGACAGTCAGCCAGACAAAGGTACAATCCGTCAAAATCGCGGAAACAGACGATTTTTCTGGGACGATGGTAGCCGAAAATAGTCCAATTACTCATGTCAGCAAACTAATATCTAAGGTTGGTAGCAACGAACCCATCAGGCGAGAACAAACACAGTAGACGGGCAGGCAAAAGAACGCAGCGGCTGCAAGTGGCGTTGATATTGGGGTGGGCGGCCAAAAGCCACCGGGTATCCCAGAAGGTGGGATGGAAATGGAACCGACACACATGGGTGATGACGGGGGTGTGGACAACATCTCGTGGGCACATCCCTACGCTGTAGGGAGCCCTTCGTTTCCACAGGGTTGGACAAGCCGGGGTGCGACGAACCAAAGAAGGGAATCGAAGGAAGAAGTGGGCGAGTCGACTGGACACGGCCATTTAACCAGCTCGGCCACCAGTAGTAGAAGTAGCAGCGACTGCGACAGCGACGGCCGTTAGTCGAGCCGAGTCGAGTCGAATCGATGCAAGGTTGATCAGCAGCCCTGAGTGTTTCTTGTATTTTATTTTATTTTTCATTGGTTTCTGTGCTTGACTAAGCCTGAGATCAGAGAGAGTACATGACAAGCATGCATGGAAGCATATGTGTTCAGTATTGACGCCTAAGACGAGCTTAGTTGTATTGGAAGGGGGGGAGGATATCCCGTCAGGCAAATCATGGCCTTGTAAGGACGGATCTGAGGCACTTCGTCGAACACGCCAAAGAGCAAATTTATGTGTGTACATGGGTATCGAGAGGGGACTAAGTCGCCGAAGTACCCTTTGATGAAGTGAGGTCAATCAATAAATAAATACCACACTGGCGCACCCAGGGCAGGGGAAGCGGAGACAGCATGGAGGACTGAATGGTCAGGCAAGGCGAGCGACGTCAAAACTGCAGGGAAGGGAGAAGGAGGGAGGGAGCGAGAAAAAAGAAAAAGAAAAAAAAAAAACCACGGTGAGAATTGGGGGGGAAAGAGGACAAATGGAAGGACCCGGTGAATGTAACAGCAGGAACTGTAGGGAACGCAGCGAACCATACCTTCCTCATAATTACATCCCACCCTCTCAACTGTCTTTCTCACATCCGTACCTTCCTTAACCAATGCCGTGCTGCGTGCCTACCACTGGCCACACAAAGTGAGGGAGGTAGGAAAGGTAGTGGATGTACTGATACTGGACTAGGTACATTCCATCGTACCTACCTAGATAGACCCCGGGCCCCCATTCCAACTAGACCCAGCAAGCCAGCCAGCCCCAGCCGGCCGGCTGTTTGAACGTCAACGTCGTCAACCTAGAGTTTTTATTTCCTTCTGGTTTATCCCTCCATGCATTTGAGGGTAGTTAATTGAATCTACTGGCACCGCACCCTCTAAACTGCAACTGCGACTCATTAGCTACTACTCTATTGACCTCGCCAGCAGTATGGCGTTTATTTGCCCACGGATTGACGTACCGGATGAGAAGACATGTGGTCGGCGCAAGATGTCTGATGTCCGATTGAAAGGCAGGCAGGGCAGGGTATGCATGCACGGAGTACCCAGCCAAGGTACGTCAATGGCAAGCGAGCGAGCGCGACACGGAGAGACAGTGAGACAGAGACAGGCAGCGGGAAAGAGAGCGCGAGATCAGAGGGGCAGATGTCGCCCTATGCAGGTCTTGGGCATCGTCCACACACTCTCACACATACATATTCACTTAGCCTCAGGTGATGTCGCGTCTTTTTCCTTTCGCGACAGCCTTTTGCCTTGACGGTGAAGTACGTCGTAGCTGATGCACACGCGCGCAGACATGACAAACATACGGCCGGTTGGAGGGAAGAAGGGCCTCGTTACCAGCATTGGATGTGCCAGGGCAATCCCCCCTCGCCCCAACTTCCCATAAAGAGAGCCAGGCGGCGATCTGATAGAAAGAGAACAGTGGTGATGTGGACGGGGGTGTGTGGTTGGATTCTGCGGCGTTGGCAACCTTGGGGTGAGGTGTGAGGTCGACGGGCCCTTGGTCTGGTGTGAGAGTGATGACTGCGGGAGCGGGTACAGAAGGACGTGTGTGGGTCTGGTATCATGCAGGTTGCATCGACGTATCGATACTCCAGGACAAGGCGAAATTTGTACAAGAAAAGAAGTATCCTACCCCCTGCCTGCAGTAGATCGATACCTCCCGCGCAGCCCCATCAACAGCGAAGAGGAGAAAAAAAAAAAAAAAAGAGCGAGGGCCTGGCTGTTCTTACTACTTCTGCTCCTGCCGCCTTCTCTGTGACCTAGATGGGACTGGGAGTGGCATTACCTTAGCTTTACATTGGTCTATTGTCGGTAGGCCGGTACGTACCGAACACATCAGGTACTTTGCCCCATACTTGACTGCCAGACCTAGCCATTTGGTACAGTAGCGTACGGCAGCAGCGTGGCAGTGGTCGTCCCAGTAGCAACACGCCGTAGCAGCAATTGGCAGCATAGGTGCGGCAGAGTATCCATCAAGAGAGCCCAGTATTATGGACAAGGCAAGGCAAGGCAAGGCAGGGCAGGGCAGAGCCAACCGCAGTCAGGGTAAGGGAGGTAAATGATCTAAGACGAAATAAAGAGGCAGACTGGATGGGGCCGGGTCAAAGTGCAGATAGAGAAGAGATGTACAGCAGTGCAGGCGTGCAGCGGTGCGGGTGCTGGTGCTGGTCCTTGTCGTAGTCCTGGTAGCTGGGGAGCTGGGAGCTGGTAGGCTGGAGCGCGCGACCTTCGTCGTCGTTTCCTGTCCATGTCCACACGTCCTTAAGCCGTCCACCGTACCTTACCTTCCTTGCCTTACCATTTTGCCTTCCGCTTGTCTGGACCCGGACCCGTCTGCTTCTCTTCCTTCCATCTTTCCACCTCACTTCCTCCCTGTCCATCTTCACCACCTTCAAACACGGCCCAATTCAGCTTGCTGAACTTCTCCCTGGTCGCGCCGTCTCTATCTTGGCTCTCGGTTCTCATTTTTGTCACTCCCATAGCCAACCTTTCCTCACTTATCCTCACCAGTCCCTTTTCCTACCCTTCACTCACTCACTCTCATCAACTCATCTACATACCATCCACACAAATACACACACACACTCTCGCGCGCACACACCCTTTCTCTCTCTCTCTCTCTCCCCCCTCTATATTCACGTCCATATCTTGCGCCTATTCGTATCTTACCCCTTCGACGCCTCTTGCCAACAGCCTCTAAGAACATCAAGACTTTATCCGCATCCGTGTGCTCTCATCTCTCTCTCGGTAGTCGAGCCCATCTACGAATCCTAGCTGTCTCATGGGCCGCACCTCGTCGTCGCTCATCGTGCTGGATTACTAGCGGCCAACTCCTCCTTCGATCCGTCATCATATGGCTGGGGGCCTTCGCCGTCGTTCTTCTAAAGACGAGCTTCGATCTGTCGGCCCTCTTGCTCCTCACTATCCGCGGGAAGGGCCCTGACGATTTCATTCTTGCCTTCTGCCATCGCGCAGCTAGCCACCAGAACCATGGCGCAGAAAACCCAAAATGCCAGCAACTCTGACGACCAATCTGCCAGCACCACCCCGTCCGCACCAGACGCCTCAGATTCCGCGCAACCTTCGACGTCGGGTGCAACGACGTCCAAGGCTGTCGTCGCTGCACAAAAAGGAAACCAGACTGACGTTGACGCTGCTTCTCGCAACACATCCCAACCCATGACAAAGTCATCTTCATCGGGTTCAGACCCGGCTGCCAAGGACGCTGCTATGGAGGCTGCCAACCCCTATGGGACACGCTCACGAAACCGCACTGGATCGTCGCGTCCCAACTATGCCGAGGACAAGGACATTGACGTCGACATGTATGATTACTACCCCGAAAAGAAGGATCAAGAGTCCAAAAAGTCGGCGCGTCACAGTAACGTGTCAGCGACTTCCATCCCGGAGCCCGCGCGCCCCAACGGCTCATCCCGTAAAGCTCTCACATCCGATGATACCAAGTCAATTTCTTCCCAGAACGGCGCCAAGGATGCGCAGCCTGTCAACCCAGCTCCGACCACTACACAAACATCAAACTCAACCGGAACAGCCCAGCCCACCAAAAAGCGCAAGGCCAATTCGCAAGCTGCGACTTCTCAGGCCCAGGCATCATCGGTAACATCATCCAGCGCTGGCACGGTGGCATCGCGAAAAGCCGCGTCGGGCCCCTACGCTAGCTCATATGCAGAGACGAACATGCTCAGTTTTGAGAATCACGGTGCGAAGCCCCAGGATGGAAAGTTAGTGGCGGATGACGGGACCGTACTAGCACCCAATGGTAAGACACCAACAAAACACACCCATCTTTATGCGCATTTCGTTTTTTGGGGAGGGTGGCATGCTGATCGGCATCACAGACAACGTCTATCTCGTGTGTGAACCCCCAGGCGAGCCTTACTATCTAGGTCGCATCATGGAGTTTCTCCACACACAGAATGACAACACCAAGCCAGTGGACGCACTTCGGATCAATTGGTTTTACAGACCCAAAGACATTGGCAAGAAGGTCAACGACACCAGATTGGTGTTTGCGACAATGCATTCTGACATTAGCCCTCTCACGGCTCTGCGTGGCAAGTGCCAAATCCTGCACAAGGCCGAAATTCCCAACATGGATGAGTACCGGAAGACGTCAGATTGCTTCTGGTATGAAAAGCTGTACGACCGCTACATTCAGAAAAATTACGACCTCATTCCCACGTCAACCATCGTGAACGTGCCCGAGAGGGTTAAGAAAGTGCTGGATGAGCGCTGGAAATTCGTTATTGTGGAGCAGGGCCGCGGAAAAGAGTTCACTAGCGCGGTGAAGCTCTGCAAGCGATGCAGCGGCTACTGTGCAAGGTTGGTCCACCCTTGCATGTCGCTTTCTGATTGATAGCTGGGGTTGCTAACTGAGTAACAGCAATGACTCCGTTGACTGTGCTGTTTGTAAGAAGACATATCACATGAACTGTGTCAGGCCTCCGCTGCTGAAGAAGCCTTCAAGAGGTTTTGCGTGGTCCTGTGCTGCATGCAGCCGCGCTCAGGAACGGAAGTTGGAGGCCCGCCACACGCCTAATCTGCTGGATCCCGCTGGCGACGACGACGACGATTTGTACGACGATGATGACGATGAGATGCAAATCGACACCGAGCGAACGAGTCCCGCCGACGACCATGATCCGCATCGTACCGGTACTGCAGAGCAAATCTACCAAGCAAGTCTCTGGCCTTGGCGGTATCTCGGAATGCACTGCAAGCCCGAAGACGCCTTGGACTACGACGACAGGATCTACCCTCGTGCAAGCACCCGCATTGGTCCAAAGCACCAAGCCACTGTTCTTCCCTGGCCCGGTCAGCCAGTGCAGTATCAGAAGCCATTGGAGATTAAGAGGGCGGGTAAGAAGGATCCCAAGCTGTCAAAGGAGGCGCAAGCAGCTTTGGAAGCCGAGAAATCACGACGCGAAAACCGTCCCAAATGGGTGCAGGATGAGCCGCCAGGTTATGTGGCGAGAGGAGAGGATTGCGACAGTGACGACCCGAATGCGACATCCACTCGAATCTGGATGCCGCCTCCAGACACCGACAAGAACCAGGGATGGGAAGAAAAGCTGGATCAGTACATGGAGAAGGCAGAAGAAATGGCGCCCAAGTTCGGTTTGCCCAAGAATTCGACCAACCTTCACGATGTGGCCCTAGAAACCTATTTCAACAGCGGCTACAATGCAGACCGGGCACTGAAGCTATTTGCCGAAACTGAAAAGGCAGCCTTCAAGGAGCCAGATCTAACAGCTACGGAGCAGAAAAAGTTTGAAGAGGGAGTTGGCAAGTACGGGTCTGAGCTTTACCTAGTCAAGCGACACGTCAAAACAGTCCCACCAGGGACTATCGTCCGGTACTACTACACCTGGAAAAAGACACCCCAGGGCAAGCAGATCTGGGGCAACTTTCAGAATAGAAAAAGCAAGAAGGAGGCCAAGAAGGCGGAGGTGGCTGCAAGCAAACTGCAAGACGATATCGCCGACGATGGAGACGATTCAGCGTTTGATGCAGACAAAGCGCAAAGCAAGAAGAAGGGCTTTATGTGCAAATTCTGCCACACCAAATACTCCCGACAGTGGAGGAGGGCACCGAATGCTTCGGGTACACCGGTCAGCGAGGCCGCGGGTAAAAACTCAAACAAGGATAAGGGAGGACAATACATTCAAGCGCTGTGCCGGAGGTGCGCAGAGCTTTGGAGACGCTACGCTATCCAGTGGGAAGACGTTGATGAGGTGGCTAAGAAGATCGCACAAGCTGGTGGCCGAGCCTGGAAAAAGCGGCAGGATGAGGAGCTCCTCAAGGAGCTTGAGGCTGCGAAGGAGATGCATACGTACTGGAATACGCCTCCGCCTGTCAACCCTCCCGAGCCGGCTACTGCTGCTACCGCAGCGCCTTCCAGCGAGCCCCCTCGGAAGAAGCTCAAAGGAGCTGCTCCCGACCGAGATTCAGAATCATTGGCCTCCGACTCCGCTCCGAGTCACCCGAAAAAGAAGGAGAAGGCTGCAGAGAAACCTGCCCCTCCGCCGGCACCCGAAATCCCGAAACCTCGTACGATGCCCTGTGCGGTTTGCAGCCAGTTGGAGCCCCTGGGAGATCAGCATCTGTCCTGCAGGGAATGCCGAATGACTGTTCATCGCAACTGCTATGGAGTTGTCGATAACAGAAATCCCGGCAAGTGGATTTGCGATATGTGCGCCAATGACAAGAGCCCCCAAGTCTCAATTGTAAGTTGTCAACCACTTTTCCTCACCATGAGTCTCATCATGCTGACATTTCTGCAGCAATACAAGTGTGTCTTGTGCCCCATTGAGCATACGGAGCATGACTTTGTCGAGCCACCCAAGGCCTCTGTGGCGAAGAAGAAGTCGGAGAAAGAAAAGGAACGTGAAAGACTTGAGCGTGAACAAGCACAGAAGACGGCAGACTACTACAGGAAAAAACAGGAGGAGACAAACCGACCAGTTAATCCGCGAGAACCCTTGAAGCGTACTGCCGACAATAATTGGGTACATGTCACCTGTGCGGTCTGGACACCTGAGGTCAAGTTTGGCAATGCTAAAGCGTTGAGCCCATCAGAGGGCATTCCTTCTATCCCTCGCGTGAGGTATGACGAAGTTTGCAAGGCCTGTGGTCATAAGGGTGGTGCATGTGTCGCCTGCCACAACTGCCGCAATCCTGGTAGGTTTTAATGGGAAGTTTGGTCAAGGAGCTTGCTAACAGTTGCGTCTAGTTCACGTCGAGTGTGCTCGCCAGCAAGGCTACCTCCTTGGGTTTGACATCACGCCAGTCAAAGGATCGCGCAGGGATCAATTCAATCTTGTCACCATCAATGGTGAGAGTGGCGTCATGTCGGCTACAGTCTGGTGTAAAGAGCATGTGCCGACTAAAACGATCGTCCACCGAATGCATGACATAGTCAACGAAGACGGCTTGAATGCCCTTCAACTCTATGTGCAGAGCTACAAGCAGGCAGATCTGACCTTAACCGGCACAGTCCGTAAAGCCAACCTCATGACGAATGCTGCAAAAATGGGAGGTGTTCCGCTCACGCCAGGCGCTCGACGAGCCTCAACCACCACGCTTCCTGTTAATGGTGTTTCCCATACGGCAAACAGTGAGACACCAAACAACCACCAAGCTGGAGAAAAGATCTGCATTACCTGCGGCATTGACGTTAGTCTCAAGTGGTGGCCGATTGAGAATTCCGACGAGCGAGAACTCACGAACGGCCACTACGGAAGTCTCGGTTCAGAGGCTCAGAAGTTCGTGGAGCAGAGAAAATTTCAGTGTCACAAGTGTCGTAAAGCCAAGCGGAAGCCCAATCCGCATCCACCAAAGGACCCTTCTCCAATTGTAGAAGCGGCGCGATTAGTACCTCCCCCCCTCCCTGTGGTTCCGCCGCATCATGCCCTCGCCGCACCGCCTCCACCTTTGAGAAGTCCTCCAACGACTGGGCCAGAGGCGAGAGCACGCAGTTTGTCATCATATGCCTGGGTAGCTCCAGCTCCGGCTCCGGCCCCAGCGCCGGTCCCAGCTTCGGTTCCAGCTGCGGCCCCAGCTCCTCCGCCTGCGCCTGTCTCGCAGCCTGCAGTGCCTCCCCCAGCTATTCCTACAGCACCACCGCTAGTTCAAACGGCACCGGCACCGGCACCGGCACCACCACCCATCCCTCCACCTGCTCCTCACCAAGGCCCCGGGCCGTACGGCCCCCCTCCGCCAGCTCCGAGGTATGGGGATTGGCACGGCCGCCCTCCCCCACAGCACAGTTCGCCCCCGCAGCGGCACCCGCCGTTCCAGCCTCTGTCAACTTTGCGTCCTCCGCCGATGGCAGTGCCGCCACACCCTCCGATGCCGACGGCCGTCCCAAATGGACATATTGGCCAGCCAGCACACAGCGGAATGCCGCCTTCCCCCCTCATGGCAGGTCCCATGTCTCACGGATCACCGTACATGCACCCCTATCGGCAAAGCCCTCACGCACCACCTCACGGATTGCCCAACGGCGGACCAGCCCCGCGAGGCCCCGATGCTTTCTCCCAGGGACTATTGCCTCAGCGAGCACCGTACGGCAGCCCCCCTGCACATGAGTCTGGAGGTCCTTTGAGGACGCCCAGCATGCGACCGGCAAATGACCCTCCCCGGCCTGCGGGCGCCAGCACTAGCCCATCTTTACGCAACCTGCTTTCTTAGAGGGTAATAAAAAACAGTCGGGCATTCAAGATTCTCATAGGGGTGTGACTAGGGCCTGCATTGATTACTTGAAGATGGAAAGTGGCTTGCAGCCCAGTGCCCTCTGGGATATCTTATGTAGAACAGACGGTTATCGGAGCGCCGAGGATTTCAGGTAATGCTCGACCCCTGAAATGTTATGATAGTGAATAGTTAAAAAGTTGTTGGGACGCCAGTCGTGGGTGGCTTGTTTCGTGCAACGATGCACCTTTGTTAGACACAAGCTGTTGAATAGAAGCGGAAATGACATTGACATTAGATCCGCAATCAACAATGTTTTGTACAAGTCCAGTGATGTTTTTTAACCCGTAGCTCCCACTAATCAATCATTACTTTTAAGTACTTTACTCCTCGCCAATGTCCTCGTTCCTGACCATGCGTTAACTAAGCCCAGCTCAAGCCCAGCTCACGGGATGTGAGCATGTGATCACTTACCAGACCTCGGGCTTCTCGGCGATGAACCTATCCATAAGAGCCTTACACTCGGCGTTGTCGAGAACGACAACCTCGACACCACGTTGCTTTAGATACTCCTCGCCGCCGAGGAACGTCTTGTTTTCGCCAATGACGACGCGGGAGATGCCGTAAAGGAGACAGGCACCGGTACCTGGGGGCATGTTCTGTAAGTAAGGCTTCAGTGCGAAGCAGGAAATGGCGCGGTCATGAGTTCTCTTAAAAAGCCATCAGAAGTGGACTTACACATATCGCAGGGCGAGAGTGTCGTGTACATGGTGCTTCCTGGCCTTGAAGTCAGCCATTCTTCTTCTTCTTCTTCTTCTTCTTCTTCTTCTTCTTCTTCTTCTTCTTCTTCTTCTTCTTCTTCTTCTTCTTCTTCTTCTTCTTCTTCTTCTTCTTCTTCTTCTTCTTCTTCTTCTTCACTTACCCTTGTACGCCTTGCCCGGCAGACGGCCCGAGTTGAAAAGGGCGTCGGTCTCGCCCTGTCGCTGGTGTCAATCACACATGTATTCCAAATATGAGAGTTTCGAATAATTGCACTGACATGGTGGATCGCTGAGCCCATTTGGACACGGCGGTTGTGGCCTCTGCCGAGGAGCTTACCGTCCGCAGAGACGAGGGCAGCTCCGATCTGGCGATGAGCGTAAGCCAAATGTTGATTGCTCTCCCGTAAACATGGATTTATGTTTCCGCCTTCCGGAGGGGGCAAAGAGGCAATTTGGCATTGATTTGGGTTGTCTTGGCACTTACGGGGACACCGCCTTCAGAAGCGCCAATCTTGGCCTCCTCGATTGCAATAGCCAGGCCCTCGGCGTCGTTCATCGTGCGTGTGCGGTTTTCGTGTAGGGATTGACGAGGTTTTGTGGGAGTTGGCGAGAAGATCGGGTGGGGGTGGGGTAGCTGAGTGCGTGCGTGCGAGATGGATCGTGTTATCAACTTGAATCAAATCACTACGGGGATTGTATTTGCAGAGTTATGCCGGGTGGTCTTTTTTTTTTTTTTTTTTCTTTCCTTGCTGAAATGGAAATTGGGAAAATCTCCTCTCTGTCTCTTTCTCTCGCCCCCTCGCTCTTTTGGGACGCTAAGGGTGTTTACTAAAGGGACTCGAATAACGGGTACGGGTTTTGGCCGGCGGAGATAATGAGTGGCGGATGACTATGGATCTGGGAATACCCCTTATCAGTGCTGCTCCACTTGGGCTTCGGTTGATGGGGTTTATGCGAACTTTTATGAGGTGATTTTGAAATGGGCTCTAGATGGCATTGGGAAGCTAGATCTTTTGGGTGGTTTTGCATCTTTGCGGTTTTTGTGTGTTGTGCCTGTTGGACTTTTGAACGGGAGTGTGTGTGTTTCGCGGCTCGTTCTCGTGGGATGGTGAAATGTTGCTGTCTGTGTTGGCGCAGTCAAGTTTGCCACTCACGGTGGATGTAGCGACATGAATGATTATTGAGTTTTCATGATTGTTACTCTTCAATTTTACTTTGTCTGAGCATTTTCCCCGTAGGAATATCAAGGTTGGTCTGACATTGGGCATTATGGCTAAGCTAGTTGCTGGTATAGTAATAGTAATGTCACGAAGTTGCATTGTTCGATGCTAAAAAGGACAACCTAAAAGAAAACGAACAACCCAGTTAGGCAACGAATGTGTTCTGGACTGATAGAAGGACCTCTTGAATCCCCATTCCCCAGAGAACTGTTTCTAATGTGCCATGTAAGACAGGCGGAGTCGGCTAGGTGACACAGCGGCATGAACCCATTCTGGTTGGCATTTTGTGACTTGGCCCTGAATCACTCCAGACTTACAGATTCAGATCTGTAAATTCGCCAGAAACATAATGATGACACAGGGTTTAGTTACTGTTTGGGATAACGAACGTCTGACGCAAGCCTTTTCCGTCTACCTAGCTTTCTTTCCTCTTGGTCTAAATAGCAACGGCCGCCTCCATGGCATAGGGAATTTTTTTCTTTCTACGTAGCTTTCATTTAGCTGCGCCAATACACTAGATTCATGCCAGGTGGGCAGATCCTAGCCCATCTGATGGGCACGGGCTGGTTCGCCCCGCGCGCCCTGGCAGGATGACGGATAGTCTAGATCTACTACTGCTTTTCGGTCGTCGGACACTACTTGCTTTGGTCATTTGTTCATACAAGAAATGAGCCGTAAAAGAATTTCTTCATTACAGTGACTTTAACACGTCGGTGTTGGAATAAGGTGTACCTCGACAAATTCTGTCTGCAGCAAATGAATGTTCTGGCTCCTCGCAAACACCCTGTTGTGTACCAGATGTTACACGATGGTAGTGTAGCATTCATCCTGTAGCTTGATGAAGAAGACTGAGTGGTGTCGTGAAGTTGACGGCAAGAAATGCGGCACCTAAAATTCAGAACTTGGACTAGAACGGATAGTGGTTGCATGTCACCGAAGATAGACTCATTGAGGCTCCAGCAACACCAACAGGGATAGGCACCAAAGTACAAGATCTTACAGAATGACGCTTCACTGTAGCCTGGACAAATAGTCTCTTGCCTCAATTCATGACCTCAGCTGAGCCTCCAAGACACTCGATGGCCGAACATCGGATACGAAACCTGGGGATGACGCTTGATCAGACATGATAGCGCTTGTACCAAGTTATCCGGGTCACCGGCTACCGAACATCGGACAACAAAAGCCAGAACGATATGCGGTCAGACGGGAACATTGGATGCAAGTAGGAAACAGCAGGATCGGAAAACAAAAACGAAGGAGAAAAGGATGGCGAACGCGAAGGACTGAAGTTCGCGACGAGGATCAATTAGGTGGAGCAGGAGCATCGGGATCAACAGATTACAGTAGCAGTGCTACTTTGGAACCAATTTCTCCCGAAGGCTTGCATCGGCGTTTATCTAAAGTAAACTCGTATATCAAAATTTGGTGGGTCCCGTTTCGAGATCATCCCAAGGAGGGGAGACCTTTGGACAGACCCGGAAATCAGCCCGATGTACCCACGTGACGGGGCAGGTGATCTGATGTTTGATTTGGCTTGGGCATCTCCTGGTGGACGGCCGCAGAAGGGTAACCTCGCCTGCTCGGCCAAGCATCCAAAAATGCAGTGTAGCCCACCCCCCCTTCTTCGCCGCCTGGGCATCTTGCAGTGGACCGTGCACCGACGTCAACCTGACTCTTCGGCTGAAGCGCCAATAGAGACTCGAGGTGGACAAAGCCTGGGGGTAAGGCCCACTTCCTCGTCCTGCCAGGAGCCGTGTAATTCCACTGTAAATAGCACCCCCATCACCACGGGTCCCGTCTAGCAGGGCAGGTCCAGTGAGAGAAAGTGCCCCGTCCCCGCCGAGGCGAAGGGTCCAATGAAAGCCCCAGCAAAGCATTGATTGATGATGGATACTCTTTTCCTTTTGGGCTCTGCTGATCCGTCGTTTCCCCTCAGTGGGAGGGCATTACTATACTATTGCTGGCATCTCAGGAGACGACGCAGTGACTGACGGCTTCACAACATGACATATGCACCATGCATTTTCTGTCCCGACCTCATAGTCGCTTTCGCGCGAGGCGATGTTTACACTACTGTCAAACTACAATAAATCACCTTGTCTCTCGATCAACTGTCGTAGGATGCTCCTGAGCGCCACAAGCCCAGCGTCTCTTCTCTGAAGAACCCAAACAGTGCATATAGACGACGATCTCCCTCTTAGCGCCTTACGGCAGTGAGGAGTAATTAGCATGCCTTCCTTGCACCCCCAAGAAAAACACAAGGAGACAAATCTCCCACTCCCGTCCCGTATGCCTTGCCTTACCGCGGCCTGTCTCCGTCCGTCCATACTTTTTTTTTCCTCTCCTTATTTTCACATTACTTTGGCACTGACACACGGTCAACGCATGGCAAGGTACGGCTGTGAGATGGTGCACCAACATCTATACTTGTGACTTTTTTTTGGTCTTTTCCCCCCCTTCTTCCTGAACCTGCACTGGGGCAAGAGGACGTAAGGAAAGCACCTTATTTCCTTCCCCTCCCTCCCCTCCTCCCACCTGCCTACGGGTACCGCTGCAAGATCCAAGAAAGCCCCCGCCTAAGAAGGCCACTGTCTGCACAGCCAGGTTTGGGATTCGCTCAAGTTTTGGGTGCAGCCGATCGAGCCCACACTAAATCTCCCTACGGCCAGCAACTAACGCCTCACAACAAAACCATTCTCGCGCCTTCGCCCACACTCCTTTGATCTACTTGAGCCCGGCCCCTTTTCCCCTTCCTCAGCTGGCGCTGGTTCTGGTACTGGCTCTGGCCCTAGGCTGAAGCACTTCCTTCCCTCCCCCGCAGTCAGTCTGCCAGCGCACACCACAAGTACAAACCTTTTTGCAGCATCGCCTCGCATTGGGCTGTCTCGCGCGTCCTTGTGATTTTCCCAATTCCTGTTCCTGCCTTGGCGGCTGTCTCCTTCCTCCGCTGTCAGCATTGTGGTCCTCCTGCCCGTGTTGGGGTCGCTGATTTCAGCTCTAAACCTCGCCCTGCTCCACTGCCACAGGCAAGCCAATACACGTCCCGTACGGCCTGACAACCTAACCACAACCACAACCTAACCTCGACGACCCCGACCCAGTCTCCATCCCCCGACCCTCACCACCTGCACCCACGCCCTCACAGCAAGCGGGTGCACTCTCAGGCCGCTCTCACCCTCACCCGACCCCCGACCCCGAATGCGAGTCCCTCGACCGGTTCACTTCCCAGTCTAATCCTGACTGTCACTACCCATCTTCCACCACCGCCATCCTTCTCTTCAGCCCAGTGCCCAGCGACGTGGCCTGCCGTCGCCCGCCAGTCACGCGAGTAGCTGCCGACCATTCATTTACCCGACTTATTTAGCATTGCTCAGCACGATACCGCCGCCGTGCGACGACGACCCTCCTCTTCATTCTCGGCCACCCCCCAGTACATACTCATCTCCCCAAACCCCGGCCAATCCACGGTCCAGCTGATGCCGACCGATAATTTCCTATCAATTCCCACGTCCGACACTCGAGGCTGACGGGCCGCATTGCAATCCAATCCGCACTGCTGGCTGAGAGTCTGCAACCGAATACACGATCAGTGACAAGAGTCGACGGATCGACCACTGCAGCATGGCGTCGGATTACGATCATGGGGCGCCTGACGACCGCTTGTATGCCCACCCCGCCCCTATCGATCCCGCCTACCCTGGTGATCGAAGCTGGCAGAATGGAGGAGGACGAAGAACTCCTGACAACAGCAACTATCGCTCCCAACAGCACTCCCACTCGCGCTCACCAGGCCCAAGAACGCCTGGCAGGGAGGGCAGAGATGGTGAGTCGCGGCAGAGCGATGAACGCAGCAGATCCAAGGGAAGAGGTGGGCGGTCAGCCAGCGGCCAACAGAGAATCTGCAAAAAGTGTGGGGAGCCGCTGACCGGTCAATTCGTGCGCGCACTGGATGGAACTTTTCATCTGGATTGCTTCAAATGTCGGGTAAGTGGCTGACGCTGTTCCCTGCGTCTTCCAACCTCTCCAGTATTAATTGTTCTTGTAGGACTGCGGCCAAATTGTAGCCTCCAAATTCTTCCCCGTCGATGACGAGAATGGCGATGGGCAATACCCCCTGTGTGAGACGGATTATTTCCGCAGGCTTGGCCTGCTTTGTTTCCAGTGTGGAGGGGCTCTGCGCGGCTCTTACATCACTGCACTCGACCGCAAGTACCACGTCGACCACTTCACATGCTCTTTGTGCCCTACCGTTTTTGGAGCTCAGGACAGTTATTACGAGCATGATGGCAACGTCTACTGTCACTATCACTACTCCACTCAGTTTGCGCAACGATGCAACGGCTGTCAGACTGCAATCCTCAAGCAGTTCGTGGAGATCTTTAGAAATGGCCAGAATCAACACTGGCATCCCGAGTGTTACATGATACACAAATTCTGGAACGTACGACTTACGCAACCCAACGAAACCCCCGAGATACCCCAAGAGAGCGATGACCCCGCCACTCGCGACATAATTAGAGAGGAGGAAGAGCGCATGGAGGAGAAGGTCTACCGTATCTGGAGTGTTTTATCCACCTTCGAGGAGTCATCCGCCGCCTGCATATCCGACATGCTTTTGCATGTGAGCAATGGTGCCTACATGGATGGTGTGCTTGTCGCCAAGAGGTTCATCTGGCATGTTGAAATACTTTTCCAATCCGCGGATCGGTTGGATTATTCCATGGATCAGCTGAAGCTCAAGGGTGTGTTGCATCTTGCATCTTTCCCCAATTACTACTAACTGTCTAGAAATAGGATTGTCGTACGGACGGGAAGCCAAGCTTCTGTGCAAGAAGATAGTGTCTTTCTTTTCCTTGTTGTCCAAGACCCAGGACACAGGAGCTCGGAAGCTTGGCGTTACCCAGGAGCTGCTGTCCCTTGTCACCGGTTTAGCTCACTATCTTAAACTTCTCATCCGGATCTGCCTGCAGGGAGCGCTGCGCCTCGAAAAAGAGTCTAAGAGCTCCGAGGGCGTTTACCAATTCCTCGACGACCTTGGCGAGTTAGACGCGATGAAGGCCGAGGACAACACCCTGCAATCTATCACCGGTAATTCACGACTGGCCGCTAAGGACTCGGACCATTGCGCGCTATGCAACAAATCAGTTGAGGATGAGTGCGCGCTGAACTCGGAAAGGCGGTGGCACATCGCTTGCGTCAACTGCTCAAATTGCAGCAAGGAACTTGGCCGCAAGTTGGATGAGGCGCGCCACAACGCCTTTGACAACACAGTCTGGTGCAATAACTGTCTCGGCGTCAACAGCGAGGGCATGCCCCCCTTCGAATATGTTACTAAGTTGCAGCAATATGTCTTCTTGCTGAAGGTGGCACTCGCAAGATTGTTGGACATTCTGAGAAGCAACGGTGCCTTGCCTCGGCAGAATGATGACCAGAACACGGATGGTTATGGCCCAGGCGATGGTACTCGATCTCTGGCCCCGGGTGAAGCACCCTACTTAAACTCTGATAATCGCTCCAAATCGTACGCTGGAGACCAACGGGAGCACAATCGCGAGTCTTCATACGAGAACACACTGAATGATGTTCGCCGATTGAGAAGTACCCGACTCGACAAGCACTTGTCGTCTAGTTTCAGAAAGGCCAGAACTTCGCGTATCATGGACGGACCAGAGGGGCGCAGTGTCCGCCCGGGATCGGCCGGCGAGGACCGGGGACGAGGCGAAGGGGGGTTTCAAATCGTCGAGGATAGAGGCCCAAACGACGAAGGGACCACAGACAAGATGTTCAACCATCAGGACGCCCTGACACTGGACGACATCCCGAGAATCGTCGCGGCAGAGCAGGTCAAGGAGCAGCAGTATAAGCCCGGTCGCCAAGAGCTCTTTCGGTCCCCGGCGACCGACCCTACCGGCCATCAGAGATCACAGTCTGCGGGCAGAGAGGCGGAAATCCGGGCAGGTGACCCACTACCTCAGCGAATGGGAAGAAAATACTTCTCAGAACTCTCGGGTTTAGAGTACTTCATCGTTCGACATTTGGCAGTTCTGACTCTTCATCCTGCGGTTGAGACCGAGTTCAGTCTTGATGAGCTCCTAAGCTTCATTGAGTCCAGGAAGCAACCAACGTTCTGGAAGAACTTGGGTAAGGCTTTCAAGAACGATAGGCCGAAGAACGTCAAGAAGAAGGGCATCTTTGGTGTTCCTTTAGAAGTCATTATCGAGAAAGATGGTGCTGAATCAACGGATGGTGTGGGGCCCGGAACTCTCAAAATCCCCGCAATCATCGATGATATCATCTCCTCGATGAGAAAGATGGATCTATCAGTAGAGGGTGTCTTCCGAAAGAATGGCAACATCAAGAAACTTTCCGAGCTTGTGGAGAGAATCGACCGTGAGGGATGCGATAATATCAGCTTCATGGACCAGCCTGTGGTCCAAGTTGCTGCTCTGCTCAAGCGCTACCTGCGCGAGCTTCCCGACCCTCTGTTGACCTTCAAGCTCCAGCGCCTTTGGATTACAGTTGCCAAAATTCAAGACGATGCTAAGCGGAAGCAGTACCTTCATCTCATTTGTTGTCTTTTGCCAAAGGCTCACCGAGACTCTTTGGAGATCTTGTTCTGCTTCCTCAAGTGGGCTGGATCCTTCCACCAAGTTGACGAGGAGGCTGGTTCCAGAATGGACATTAAGAACCTGGCGACGGTCATTGCGCCCAACATTCTTTACAGCAGCAACAAAGCGCCTGCTTTGGACAGTGATCCTATGTTTGCCATTGTTGCCGTACAGGACATGATCACTTATATCGAAGAGATGTGCCTGGTAAGCCTCTTTTTTTTCCCCCTCTCCCAGACATCAAAAAATGTACGTTGCTAACCGAGGTTCACAGGTTCCTGACGAGCTGATGCATCTCGTGAATGATCCCTTTGTGTTTGGCGGCAACAGTGTTGACCTTACCACCAAGGACATCTTGAAGCGCTACCAGGACCGCATTGGTCAAAGGCCAGGATATGGCGAAGTCAACGAGGCCTTTAACAGGCCAGACAACTCTACTCGTCCACCTCCCCGACGGGTTGAGACCGACCCCGCCCTGTGGCAACAGCAAGAAAGCAGCGTCCGCCCCGTGCAGGAGCCGCCTATTCCCGTGTATAATAACCAACCTCATCCTAACACGCCACCCCAAAGATGGCGAGGACAGGAAGAGAACGGCCATCCCTCGCCCTACGGCAACCAGTTTGAATCCTCGGATACTGAGGGCCCTACTGACGCCCAGAAACGAGAGTGGCGCAACTCCGCGGCCTGGGGACGTCAGAACGGTGGTGTCGGTGTCGGCGGAAATATATAGTCCAGTCGTATCAATGACGGGCTCACACACATACATACACAAACGTGTGTGTGCGCGATAGAGAGTGTTGCTTAACTGGCTTCACACCACTACCTACGCATTCTTATCGGAACTGCAATTTGGGTTTTGAGAGTCACATATTCATGCATTGTTGGCGGCGTTTCCAACCCTTTTTCCATCAAAAGGACAAAAAGATTTCCCTTTTGTTCAGCTACTTCTACTCACGACAAGGCGGCATGAATGAATTTTTCGAGTTCTTTTCTATTAAAACTTTTCGAACCCTTGACTTCTTGGCTTCTCTGAGAGTAAAGCATCGGACCATGAAATGAGGGAATTTTGCGGTCTGCTGGTCTTTCACGACACGTTTGGTCGTCTTTATAGGAAGGGGGTGGTCTGGCTTTATTTGGCTTTGGCTTGGAGGTTTGGTTTGGAGTAAGGCCTATAGGGCTCATCGACTAGTCGACGGGCATGACTGGCTGGGCTGTTTAATTCTCTCGAGCTGAAAGAAGCCTCGGTTTCTTGGCTTGCGCGCGAGACCTACTATAGCTTGCTTCGCTTCTGTTTCTTGAAGGGGGAGATGTCGGATTACATTTGTGAGGATTTCGAGAAAGGCGACAGGTGTGAGGGGTTGATGAGAGGAAAAAAAAGTTGCCTGTTTTGCCTTGGGGGTTCAGGGCTGTAGAAGGTGACAAGAAGTACCTCTTTTTATTTTATTCTCGTGTAGCTCGGATAGGGCGAAAGAACCAGGTAGCTTCGCAAAATTGCGAACTGGACAGGGCGAATAACGCCTGCAGGTTTCTCTCCAGATGATTTCCAACGTCGGTTCGTGTGCTTATGCTACTGGGTTTCTACTTATGTCTACCACAATCCAGATGTTGGTTGGGAGGGTGAAGGGCTGTTGAAGTCGGTTGCTCGCTCGTGAAATGGCCCACATGGGCGTACATTAGTCCCCTTTTACAGTGGGGTTATATAAATATATATATGTGTGTGTGTGTGTGTGTGTAAATGTATATACGAAAACACACTTTTCGGACGTGAAACCTCCTGATTACGCATCGCCGTTCATCATATAACTCTTCCTCCAAGCCCTGACGTCTCGCCGTTCATGCCTTGATGCTGACCTTACCCGACTTCTCCTGGTCCAGGAACCACTGTACACCCCGCTTGATTCCGGCATCCAGGCTGACGATGGGGCGGTAGCCCAGCAGGCGCTTGGCCTTGTTGATGTTGTAGTAACGCGTCATGCAGCTGTAGATGTTGCGCTGGCGGTTGAAAATGGGGGGCTTGCCGATGATGGTGAAGAAAACCTCGGAGCAGAAGCCCAACACGATGCCGATCTCGCGGGGGATCGACCAGACGTGCTCAGTGCCCTTGTCGGAACCGGCGGCGCGCCAGACAGCTCTGGCAAAGTCCCAGAAGTAGATGGGGCTGTTGTTGGTGACGAGGAACGCCTCGCCGTCGACCTTTTCGTGGTCCAGGGGCTGCGTGGAGGCGGCGGCCGTTGCGAGGAGGAGGCGGGCGGCTAGGAGATGGGCGTGTGCCACGTTGCCGACGTAGGTGAAATCGAAAAGGTTATTGTTGTCGCCGAGCTGAACGCCCGTCTTGCCCTCGCGGTAGATCTTGACGAGCTGGTGGGTGAGCATGGTGTCGCCCTCACCGAAGATGCCTGCGGGGCGAATTGCGGCTGTGAGGAGGGGGTAGGGGTCTTGGCGGTTTGCTTGGAGGACCAGTTCTTCTGCGGCGGCCTGAAGCGGGAAAGAAAGAGGCCATATTAGCTATGTTCTTTCACGAACCCAATGGTTCAAGTCATTGTAAGCGACGTACCTTGGTCTCAGAGTAATACTCCGTCTGCTGCTCGCCGCGGATGACAGGCCACCGCTCATCAGCGTTGATCAGGTCGCTCGAGTTGTCGCTGATGATACTGGCAGATGAAGTATAGACAAGGGCCTTGACAGAGGCGGCCTGGCACGCGGCAATGATGCTGGTCGTGCCTTCAACATTGACACGGCGGAAGAGGTCCTTGGCGACGGCGCTGTCAGCCTGGGGCGCGGGTGAGGCGGTGTGGATGACAACGTCAGGCTTGAGCTCCTCGAAGAGCGACTTGATCTTGTCGGTGTCGGTGATGTCGGCCTCGTGATAGGTCGCGCCGGCGTTGCGGTTGTTGGCGCAGCGAAGGTCGATGACAGCAACGGAAGAGACTGACCAACGGTCACCAGCGAGGAGCTGGTTGACGACGTGGTGGCCTAGGAAACCATTGCCGCCGACGACGAGGACCTTGCCTAGGTCGATGGGCGCAGGGGGTTTCTCGCTGACTGACGACATCTTGGGATGCGGCTCTGGACGGGGGTGAAGGAGTTTGAGTTGGCTGAGTCGTCGGCGGGGGAAGGTTGGAACGGAATGCGGCAAAAGGGTCAGAGGGAGGAAAAAATAAGAATTGGAGTGTGTCTGTCTCTAATTAGTGCCTGAGTTGAGGAGGATCCTGGGGTAAAGACGCACGAAAGCTGGCGTGGATGGGCCAATCTGCTGTGGTTTGAATCTTCGATTGACAGCGTTGTACCGGGTACGTGTCCGTCATGCAGGGGGCCCTAAGGGCCCTTGGTACAGAGACTTTCTTGAGCTCTTCAGCGACGCTAAATTGCACTTTAGGCTGCGGGCCATCACCCCCGGTCTCTGAATGCGACATGAGGTGTACAGGGGACAGCTGCCCCACCTCGAAAAGTGCACTGACTATGCGACTTCCATGGCGTTCAGTCGCGCTTCTGAGGCTTCATCTTCAATCTGACGAACTCAATTGCTGCAACCCAGATGTTCTGGGCCATAACCATTCAAAGGACACGGGGTTTTTTTGGCTTCTAATTCTTGGATTCTCCTCTCAAAACTCATAATTGCTCAACTTCCATCATAATTTGCAGCTAAGCAAGTCTTATATGAAATGAGCGCGCCTAAAACAACTCTATGGTCGTCATGGAGACGAATGACAATGTCGAGATCCTAGTGCACGTCACAGCTCCATGCAGGGCTGTCGACGATGCGCGTTACCGCGCCCTGGCACAAGCATATCTGGACTTTAATCCGGCGAGCCGAACAAAGATACTGGATGAACGCTCACAGGGCGGTGCAAACACTGTCATTCCAAGCTCACAGGCCGAGCCAGTTGCTTCGCAGTCGACTACGTTTCACGCCCTGGTTCCGAGCAGCGATGCGACCCAACTGCATACTTCGCCCCCGAGACCAAATCGATCACCTCAGCAATCATTCATGAGCGTTCAGCTATCATTTAGGAGTGTGCTGGATAACATCAACTCCCCGGGCTTAGGAAGGCCTGTCCTGGATGTAGTCCCCTCATCACAGCCAGATGTACAGACACAACTTTCTCAGGCTAGCTGGAGAGCTCCCCCAAGTGTCATTGGGGACTCACAGCCTGTTAACGATATCAGCCTAGCTGAGTTCTCATCTCCAAGTCGCCTGTTTGAGCACTTGGCATGCCAGTTCGACAGTCCAAATGTTGGAAGCTCCCAACAGACACAGCCACAAGGCCGGCATCAAGTGTCCGAAGCGCCAGTAGAAGAAGAATACGGGTACGGTGAGGATGGAAGCGAGGAAGAGGACGATGGGCAGGTTGTTCTTGTCACTTCAAGTGATCCTCCCACAGCTGTTGACGAGATCCCTCACGGTCCCGCGTCTTCAGCAGAGAATATCATCCTGAACACTCCGTTCCCGGCCTTCAAGCAGCCGCAAACTCGCAGCTCTCCGCTGGGTCAGATCATCCAAGACACGCCATGCCAGCCTTCACGTAAGAGACCACTGGCCTCCTCGCCGTCCCGGGCAGGTTCTGAACCACCACTTTCTTCCAAACGGCATAAGCGTTCTGCCCCGATCTCAGAGTCAAGGTCATTAATAACACGAAGCACTTCGGATGTTGGGCCTACCGCCTCAAGTAACTTTTACCGCACAATCCGTCCTCCGAACGAGCGGCATCTGACCTACCTCGAACGCTCTGAGATCCATCCTACGGGACCACCTGTCGCTAGCACCCAGCTCACGCCTGATGACCTTCTGACCCCAAAATTGAGAGAGCTTGCTCGCCAGCTCAACCTCTCGAAACGTTTCCGGCCCGCAGAACAAATGCGCGAACTAAGGCCGTTCGAGAGAGGGCATTGGTTGCTTGACTGGTCCAGTTGGCGGCCGACGCTACGCGAGCGGGCGTGGCACTTTCTTACGGACTACCTCCTTGAAGGCTTTGCGGGGTGGGGTGTCTGGTGCAAACGTGCGGAAGACTGGTCATGGCTGAGGGTTTACTGTTGGGGTCACGTTGTTGGACATATCTATCTTGCTCTTTATCTGGCTAGCGAGAGGGCGTTAAAAACGGATACTGCTCGGTGGGTGGATGGAGCCGGCGATGTAATTGTCATCACCAACGGCCATGAGAACTCCGAGTCTGGGGACAGCATCGAGGATGTTGTCTAGGGTTGGTGAGAAGGGCGATGTGCATCATTTGGCGTTATTGTTCGTGTTGTGTTAGCGAGGCGCTTCTTTGACTTCCTTGGCTGGGTGGTACAGAATCAGGACTTTGGATACAGCTCTCAAATGCTTTTGTTATACAAGATTTCATCATGTTGACGGCTGGGAACTTGCACACAGGGAGCAAGTTGACTTCTAGTTTTGTCGCCAAAATTCCAATATCTGGTATCTGGACTTTAACAAGGGGACTTTGCGCTGTCTTCTGAGAATCGAACCAGTGGTAACAAAAGATAACAAAAAGGGAACCCCTATGATGTATAAGTGGTACAAGAAAGCAACAGGCCTCGCTAACAGTCACCCTCATTTTTCTCACTTCGTACACGGCCAGCCCAGCTAATTGCGAATGCAGATCAGGCGGAGTTTACTTTAAGTTGCGACCCCTGCACAGATGCGATTCAATTTGTTGAAGTCCACTCAGCCCTCTCCAGGAAGTAAAGAGACATTTTTCTTTACTCGGGTGACTGAGATCGTTTGACGGTACGACCCAGTACGCTGAGTGTTTCGCGGGCATATCGATCAGCCGTGGCCTTCGCCAAATCCTCATAGGTAGCCTTCTCGGACTGCGGAAGGTTCTTCCACTCGTCGGCTAGTCTCCTGGATACATCGTTGGCGCGCTGGCCGGCAAAGTCGCCATTGGCCCACCGGGCCGCAGTGAAGATTGTGTACGCTGATTGCGGCCTCTTGGGCTGGCGCTCATCGCGAATCGCGCGCGGCACGTCTTTTCCCCTGGCACTGCGAAGGCGCGCGCGGGCGCGGTTGGCGTCGGCGACCTCCTGAGGCGTGTGAGACTCCACCCAAGCCTTGTACGCGGCGTTGTTGGTAAGCTTGTTCTCCTCGGCCGTCTGTTGCAGACGCTGTGTTCATAACAAAGGACATCAGCTGTTGTACTTCCAAAATGTCGGAAAAAGAATCCTCCAAGGCGAAGAACCACCTACCTGGGCCTCGTATGAGGACAAGTTCTTGAAATCCTCGGAGATTTGCTTCATTCTGTTGGCTAGGGGAACGTTCCATGACTGGCTCTTGTTCTGCTGTGAGGAGTACACTGTCCACGCCGTCGCAGGCAGGAGCTTAGGCTCTGTGAGCAGCGCCGCCTTCTTCCACGCCCGAACATCAAGCTTGAGTTTTTCCTCAGGTGTCAGCTCCTTCTTAACCCGTTTCTTAGCTGCTGGCTTCTTGACGGCCTTCTTCGCCTTGGGCTTCTTTGCAACAACTTTCTTCTTGGGGGCTGCGGCCTTCTTCGTCGTAGTGGTCGAAGAAGTGGCTTTGGCTGGCAAACGGGCCCATTGGGTGGTAGAGAATGCGCGGCATGCGACGCGCACTACGAGTTGAGATCGCGGGATAGCCAATGGTGCGGCACGGAGGAGTAGGCGCTGGGCCGCTGCGCGACCGATTGCTGTCAACATAATGTGAAGTTTCTGGGCGTGTGGGGGCTCCTTGTAGTTGTTCGACCTGAGCTGAAATTCTGGGTTGAAGATGGTTTCGCTTGTGTATTTCGAGTTCACTCGACAGGGCGAATCGAGGGGGGGAAGTTGGAAGAATGGCTCCTGAGCGACGTTCCGGATAGGAACAGAGCAGCTGTAAGGAAACGGAGTGGTCGGAAGATCTGACGGTGCAAGTGCCGTCCGTGGTGTTCACAAAAATGACGAGCGAGGGACTGAGAGCATGCGACCTGACCTTGGTCTACCTCCTTGTGTTTTACCACAACCCCTGGAGCTTCCCTGTAGCGAGTACCGAGGTGGTAGCACATACTAGATCGTAATGGGAAGTACCCAGTACTTTCCTCACTTTCTCGCTATACCAGCTCTCCAAGCTGACCCGTTTCGGTAAGTCCACCTTAAGTGGTGGCCCCATTTGTTAGGCACCACCCTGACGCAGCAGTAGCCAGCCAGCAGTAGTGCAGCACTTAGCAGCGGCCAGCAGAGGCACCCACGGGACGCGAAGCTCAGCACAGCAACCCCCAGTTCATCTACATACCTTCCCGACCATCACTTAACGAACAACCAACGACTTTACCCCCACACGCAAACGATAGCGATTCTTGCTATCTCTTCCTCCAGCTTTTCCTCAAATACACGCAGCCAGTCATCATGGATCACAGACCGCAAGCTTGGGGCCGTGTACGCATCTCCCTCTACCCTCAGCCTTGCATCATGGACTAATAGACTGAACCCCTCCCATAGCCCAGAGACGACGTCTACGGAGCTTACGATGCATCTTATATGAACCTTAACGGCCCTAACCAAGCGACACAAGCTCCCATTGTTACGGGCACATCAGTCATTGCCATCAAGTTCAGCGAAGGTGTTGTCATCGCTGCCGATAACCTGGGTACACTAGCCAGCTTTCCCGACCCCTCAAAGACAAATCGAATACTGACATTTCTGCTCAACAACAGCATCCTACGGCTCTCTTGCCCGATTCACCGACGTCAAGCGTCTTCGCACCTTTGCCGACTCTACCGTCGTCGGCTTTGGTGGTGATGTCTCCGATATGCAGTTCCTCGATCGCCACCTCCAGTCCCTCGACATTGAGGAGTCTTACGACCTGTCCTCTAACCAGCCTGCGCGTCTCAATGCCGCCAACCTGCACAAGTACCTGTCCAAGCTCCTTTACAAGCGTCGCTCTGATTTCGACCCTCTCTGGAACCACCTCCTTGTTGCCGGCCTGGACGACGCTGGCAAGCCTTTCCTCGCAGCCGCCGATCTTCTCGGCACTACCTTCACCTCTCCCTCCCTGGCCACTGGCTTTGGCTCTGCTCTCGCTCAGCCCATCATGCGCCGCTATGTTCCGGATGAGGAGGCCGCCGCTAAATTGTCCAAGGAGCAGGCTATTGACGTCATTAAGGAGTGCATGAAGGTGCTTTTCTACCGCGACGCTCGCAGTTTGGACTCGTACTCTATTGCTGTTGTGACCAAAGATGGAGTGGACCTGAAGGAGAACGAGAAGCTGGAGAAGCAGAGCTGGAAGTTTGCGGAACGGATCCGTGGCTACGGCACCCAGGTTGTTTAGGCCGTATAAACATCAAGGGGACAGATTCGATGGGAACTAGAGGAATGAAATGACATTTATTGGTTTACTGGGATAGCCGCTTGCGATTGATCATGTGGGATTACTACAGGCGATTCTAGAGGAACAGAAGAGACAAGTCCAAGGGCGACTTTCCTTCCATGTGTCATCAGCATCACGAAAAGGATCGAGGTGTTTGAGTGTAACACTAAATGAAATAGACAATATTGCTTTCATTGTTTCAGGTTGCCTTACTGGGCATTTAACCTCAAAAATACGCCCCTTTATCTTGACAGGCCCTAAATCTACCATGCTGGACCATTTCCCTCATTTTCACAATACCGAGTAATACATCTAAGGGCTTCTCCACATCTGATTCGCCTCCAATCAGCCCGCTGTGACATTAAATAGCACCAAAGGGCCAGCCTTCCTTTTGGCAACCCAACTCCTATGGCGAGACAAGCATCTGACAAAAAAACCAACCTCGTTTACTCTTTGCAAGCCGTTTACTCGACGGTGACGGACTTGGCCAGGTTACGAGGGAAGTCAACGTTCAGGCCCTCCATGACAGCAAGCCAGTAGGCGATCAGCTGCAGGGGAACGACGTTCAGAATACCCTGCAGGACGTCGACGGTCTTGGGGATCTCGATCTTCTCAGCCTCGCTGGACTTGAACTCCTCATCGGCAGGGTTGCAGATGACGATGGGCTTACCGCTACGAGCAATAACTATTCGACACAATTAGTACTAAACACCGAGAATATCAACGACTATCATAACATACCTTGCTGGTAGGCGTTGAGCGACTTCTTGAACAGGTTATCGCGAGTGAGAATCATAATGATGGGCAGGTTCTCGTCGACGAGGGCCAAAACACCGTGCTTCAGCTCACCAGACATGACAGCCTCGCAGTGAAGATAAGAAATTTCCTTGATCTTCAAGGCACCCTCAAGGGCAGTGGAGAACTGACTACCACGGCCGAGCAGCAACAGACTCTTCTGGTTTTGGAAGGTCTTGGAGCAGAGCTCCTTAATAGACTGGTCCTGGGTAAGGATGTCCTTGATTTGCTCGGGGATCTTAGCAAGACCCTCCATGATCTCTTCACGACGCTTCTGCTTGGAAGCACGGTCCTCGCTAAGGGAGAGCGCAAACATGACCATGGCGATGAACTGAGAAGTGTAGGCCTTGGTAGATGCAACGCCGATCTCAGGGCCGGCGTTGACGTGAACACCGCAGTGAGTGAGAAGGGAGATGGAGGAACCAACAACGTTGACGATACCAACGGTCAGGGCACCGCGCTCCAAGCAGTAGCGAAGAGCCATAAGGGAATCGGCGGTCTCACCAGACTGGGAGACGAAGACGCAGGTGTCATCACGGAAGACGGGAGCCTGTCTGTCAAGGAAGTCGGAGGCCAACTCGACGGCGATGGGGATTTCAGCCAACTCCTCAAACACACCACGGACAGCCATGCATGAGTGATAACTAGTACCGCACGCAATGAAGATGATTCTGCGGCAGCGGCGGATGGTCGAGATGTAGGAGCGAAGACCACCGAGGGTGACGGTCTTGTTGGCACTGTCAAGACGACCTCTCATCGTGTTGACAACGGACTCGGGCTGCTCGAAGATCTCCTTCTGCATGAAATGGTCGAACTTGCCCTTCATGATCTCTTGGAGCTCAAGCTCCAGGGTCTGGATGGTGCGCACGTTGGAGCTGCCATCGGCCTTCTTAAGACGGTGGATGTTCAACGATCCCTCGTGGATGTGAGCAATATCGTCGTCCTCAAGGTACATGACCTTCTTAGTGTGCTCTACAATTGCAGAGGGGTCAGAGGAGAGGAAGAATTCGGTGGGCATGGGCATGCCATCGTCAGTCATAAAAGCACGCGACTGGGAGCGGTGCAGGAGTGACTTGTCAGGAGCGCCCAGCAGAGCATTGGGGTTCAACAGGTTGTCCTGCTTCTTGAGGGCAGCATTTTGGGAAGCGGCCTCGGCGGGGAGAGCAGCCTGCTCATCGGCGTACTCGACATCGACGAAGTCGACCTTCATGCGCTTCTGGGTCTTGACACCGATGACAAGAGGAGAGCCCTTGCGGGCAGCGATGACCTCGTGGGGGTAGTGGACGGACTTGATCAGCAAGCCGTAAGCACCCTCGAGCTCGTTGATGACGGCCTTGGCAAGATCGGTGAAGCCGACCTTGGGGTGCTGGTCATACAGGTACTTGGCGAGCTTAGCAATGCACTCGGTATCGGTGTCGGTCTCGAACTTGAAGCCCTTGGCGGCCAAGAGGGTCTTGAGCTCCTTGTAGTTGGTGATGATACCATTGTGGACGACGGTGAACTCCCAAGTGGGGTCAGATCTGTTTAAAGAATTGTCAGCGACAAGTAATTTACAGGACAAAAACTCCAAAGCGAAAGTTTGCTATTGTTCGTTCGAGTGGCACACGTACCTGTGGGGGTGGCAGTTCAGACGAGAAGGGGGACCGTGAGTAGCCCAGCGAGTGTGGGCGATACCGGCATGTGAGTCGAAGTACTTGGTCTCGTCGACCTTGGACTCAGCAATGAGCTCCTTGAGCTTAGCGACCTTGCCAACCTCCTTGAAAGCGAAGACCTCCTTCTTCTTGTCGCCGTCGATAGCTAGACCAGCTGAGTCATAGCCACGGTACTCGAGACGGGAAAGACCTGGTGACGGTGTCTTGTCAGCAAGAAGAACTTCCGAGGAGAGTGGGTGGAGCTGATTGGCTCCAATTGGAGCTTTCAGGAGGCGGTGTACTCACCGTTGATCAGAGTCTCGAGGATGAATTTACGGTCCTTCTCCACCAGGTAGTTGACGTAGCCGAAAATGCCACTGTCGGGGAAATCGTGTCAGCTCACTGATTCACATTATTCCCAATGGCCTCCATGGCGAGTGTTTGAGCCGCCTTTTCGGTTCGCCCAGGCTGCATGGAGGGGGGAGGTTGTGGGCAAGCTTTCAGGGGGAGAGGGGAGAATTTGGGGACATACCACATGTTGAATTCGACGCAAAAAAAGAAGCCCAGAAAAAGACGTAAATACCAATTCGCAGAGAGAAGAGAGAGACCCTAGATGGAGAAAGAGGTCGAGGAGATGGCGATGAGGGGTATCAAGAAGAGCGAGAGAGATGGATAGTTGGATCGAGAGAGAATGAGCAGAACAAAGCCGATGGTAAGAAGGCGGGAGCTGAGCAGCTTTATGTGTGTGCTGGACAACTGGAGAGAGGAGGGGAGGCGTGTATTGTGTACGTGGAGAGAGCACAGAGTAGCGCCTAGAGGCGTGAGAGGCGTGGAGGTGGGCGGTGGGCGGGGTGGTAGCAGGGGCGTGCTCGTATTGATGATGGATGACAGAGGAGGGGAGGGGGGAAAGGGCGCAACACGGGTTGAGGTGAGAGGCAGACGTCTGCTTATTGTTACCAACGCTAAGGCAGGCGAGGCATGGTATGGAGGCAAGAAAGACACAAGAGACAGCTATTTGTGCCAGCTTGTGCGTTGATGGATACGGATGTGAAGATCGCAGTCGAGCCTGGCCCGACGTCGAACAAAGTTAATAGCTTAAGCATGTCAATCGGTGGCCTGTGAAGATGAGGCTCATTTGGTTGAACAAGCTGCCGACAAGCACAAAAGCACAAGCAGCAGCAGTGAGTGCTACCAATATCTGGCCGAATTCTAGTGATTGATTGTCTTGCAAGCAGACGAAACAGCTCTGTTCTCGTTCCCGTCCCGTTTGATTGTCTGAGCCATCAGTGTCTGGCTGTCTTCGCTCGCTTGCGTTGGATGTTCGGGTATGCCAGACAGATCAAACTAGACGGAAGAAGTGAGTTGTCTAGCATATCTTGACAAGGGTGGCATACACAGCATGTCAGGACTCAGCAGGCGCTGTGACAACGAATGGATCTGGATTCGATGGGCTGGCAGGAAGCCTGAAGTGCTTCTGGAGGTGACATGGTCTAGGAGAGAAGGCCACGGACCTGGCCAGCCAGTTGAGAGCTGAGGAAGCAGGAGTGAGGGGCAGCTTCTGGAGAGAGCCCCACCTCACCGGCAACAGCACACCTCACTAACAACAGAACACATCCTGCAGCAATAACAACAGCCCAATTCCATTACCTACTTGCATAACAGCAGCATCATGGCTATCCGTGTGCCCTACGAACATCTTAGATTGCTTCACATCTTCAACTCGGGTCATTTACATATCCTTGTGAAAGGTAGATCCCTGTGACGTCTTGTCCTGTCAGTGTGCCCTGGCAGGAAGTGTCGTCTTTTCCAGTGACATGTTCAGGCGTGAGAGTGGGCGCGGGCGCAGGCGCAGCGCGGGAGACCGCCCACACTCCTCCTCGTCCTCAAGGTACGGATATGTGGTGCCTCCAGCCCTCTTTTTGCTCCTTGGCTGTGGCGCCATTCCCTGGCTCGGCCACTCGGCTGCTACACTAGCCCAGAAGATCGTCTTGGGTACGTACCGTCAACAACACACAGGTGCGGGAGCAACTCTGCTTTTCATCTAACATCCTGTTACGGATACAGTGATGCTGAGGAGAAAAGGGTTGATCTTCCAGTACATCTGCCCTCTAGTTACATCCCCTGTTGCCCCTGAACGCTTTCTGCAAAGAATGAGATGCCAGGCTAGGCAGCATATTTATCTTGCCTTGTGTTAAGCGTATATCTCCAGAACCCCTGCGCTTGTCGTTTGCGTAGTGTCGCAACCGCTAGCAATTCTACATCAGTTGCAAGCTACTTTTTTTTTTTTTTTTTTTTTTTTTTTGGTTACGCTATGCTTTCCAAATCCAACAGACCTGCCAGGCACATAGCATGGCAAGCACCAGCTTGGGGCAAGCTCCCATCCAGCACAGCTCCTCCTACCGCATCTCATCATGTCCACTAGTACATAGCAATCTTTGTCAACCCTGACTGCTCCTCACAAATGCTTACCATCATCATACGCCACGCTTTCCATCTCGTTCTTTTCTCCAATGTCCGAGGCAGCGCCTCACCCTCTTGGTCTTCCCTTCGCCTCAACACAATCATCCAAGCTATCTCGCCCTTTTGCTCGTTCCGCGGCCTACCCTGCTTGGCCTTTCCTCCGGCTACCTTGCCTTACTTTCCGAGCACACACCCCTCCGATCTGCCCATGTGGCCCCCAATTCCTCCGTCCAATCCTTTTTCACCGTATCCTAAGATTCGATTAAGAAACCACCTCATCCCAACAACCAAAACGTTCTTAATTTTTTTTTTTTTCAACCCATTGACTTACACACGCCGCCGCCGCAAACCCGTCCAGGCCAAGACCGAGAATGAAAGGGGCGACCGAAAAAGAAAAGAATTAGAGACTTCAAGAAACCAAAACTGCCATTAATACAGCGTCATCCCTTTTCGCTGTCACCGAATCCGGAAGTGAATGTTTTTTTCCCCGTGTAACCTCCAGTGAAGGGGAAAAAAAAAAAAAAAAAGACACCCATTCTCTTGGGGTTGATGCGGACGGCCACCTGCCTTGGCCATTCTCAACCCCACCCAAGTCCCAAGCACTCCGTCTGCCCTGTCCAACGACTTTTCCCTCAAGGGTTCCATCGCCGACATCATCACTCTTGACCCTTTCTTTCGTATTCCCTGGTCTCGGCCCCCAGCCCTCTGGGTGCAGACACCTTGTTTGTCCAACGCTAGAAGGAATCCAGTGGAGATCGTCGGCACTGCGACACCAGTCAACAGGAATTCCTACATAGTAAAGTCGGGTCCCCTGGTTTCTGCTGCTTGGCTCGGTTGCTGGTTACACCCATGGAGGAGAACTGGGGTGGAAGAAGAAGGAGGGTGAGGGTGGGGGCGTCCAGGTACGAAGGTAAAAAGGAAGGGAACAGCGCACTAAAAAAGGTACAGCCTCAATGGCGAATCGTGAGAATGGGCCAAAACAAAAAAGGGGGGCAAGCTATCGTCTACTCCGAAGACCGTATAGAAAATCACCAAAAATAACAACCCGCCCCGAGGAGAAAACCCTGCTAGGTCGCTTCTGCTGCAAATCACCATTTGGCATCCCCCAATGCCACCGCACATCGCGGCGCTTCATCGAATTTCGACCCAGATCTCCGACAACACGGCGGCAGATAACCCAGCTGGGGCTAAACAAACATGTTAGTCCAAAGGGCCAAGGCCAAAAGAAGCCTGTGCATCTGTCAACCGCTCCTTGCGCGCTGCCTAGGGCATTCTGATGTCAGCTTCAAAGTGGGTGCCATGTTCCAAGGTCCCTGGAAATGGTAAGCTGGACGAGGAAGGGATGGTGCGGGCCACATGGGGGATGGGTGAGCAACAATTGCTACCATACTGGCACAAGGCGACGACAACCAGCTCGTCTGAGAAGCTGTCACGATGGACGCCCAATGCAAGGACTTGATACTCCGTCTGCGGTGGACTTCCCGCATGCAGTTGCTGATATCCAGTGTCGCAGCAATCCTCGCATCGAAAACATGTGGCCAACCTTTGTCTCTATTCGTTGCCGTGCGAGATCATCCTGGCCTGCAATAGTCTCAGCTAAAGCCCCGCCGTCCGCATGCAGCAGCCTTCCCCTTTGCACGACAGGTTGGAATCGTCAAATTACAGATGCAGGACCTGACCTTTAGACCCTCCAAAGCTTACAATGTGCGACCTCCATTCCCCACCCGTTGGCTCTCTCCCCGTCAGATAGGATCACAAGCATGTGGCTTCTGTCAGAGAAAGAGATCATGTAAGACTCGAAAGGCATTCAAAACCAAATCGCATCCAGTAGAAACGCAGAAGAGCTTTCCTGCCTAAATCCACCCCCTCAGCTGTGGATGCGTCCGTCAGACGCTGTGGCTTGTCATCCACCCCATACAACCCTGGCCTTCTCAACAATAACAACAAACAGCGCTACCCATCCTGTTGCCTTTCCCAGCCCTACGCTGACTTCGGGTCTATTGGAATTTCTCCTCAGCCGAAGTCGCTCGATTCGACGGTCGTGGTGGATTACCCTGGAGGAGAGAAGCTCACTGCTGATAGCCTGGTCTGGTTTGGTCTACATACATCCTTCAGCACGTGGCGCCGGGTGAACTCCGCCTCCAACATTGTTCATCCTCTGTACCAGGCCCCCCCAGCCCAGCAGAGGCTGTGCACTATCAATAGCTTCAAAGGAGCGACGGGGGGAGAATAAAAAATACAAAATCGGAGCTGCGGCAAGCTTAGCTCCTCCCCATCCTTAGCCTCGCCAAACGCACCCAAGAGACCGGAGTGAGGCCCCGGCCAGTCTAAACTTGGTTCTTCTTTCAACAATCCGGGAGCCCAAGCGCTCCGTGTGCACGGGAACTCATACCGGCGATCGCCGTAAGGGTGTGCGAGCAACACCATAAACCTTGTTCACGATACGAATATCGACATTGTCGACGCTTTCTAGGAATGACCAGGACTCGTTTGCTGCAGTTTCTATTCACGTCCGTACGTCTCTATGATCCCACTGCCAACAACCCCAAACCTTGACTCGGGTATTGTACACTGTTTAACACATTAAAAGACTCCCGAAGCAGCCAAGACCCGATGATGTTTGTCCCAGCCGCCTCCGTTTTGATGTCTTTCTTCTGTCCTCTCCACGTCCCTCCTGATCATCATCATGATGGCGACTCCGCCTCCGAGCCGCCTTACAACTTCTGGTACTCGAGCTTGCCCTCCAGCTTCTTGGCCTCGGCGACCTTGCGCACCGCCTTGTTGAAGTCGTCCTGGTTGATTGCATCCCGATAGTCCTTGATGGCAAACAGACCACTGCACAAGCCCATGTTAGCATTCTTCAGGTCATCGTGAGGTGATGAGTGTATGACTTACGCTTCCGTAACGACGTTTCTCAAATCCGCACCGTTGAGACCATCGCTCATCTTCACCACGCTCTCAAAGTCAATCTCGCCCTCCGTCACCACACCAGACGCATGAATCTTGAGAATCTCCAACCGTCCGACCTCGTTCGGCAGAGCAATTTCGATCTTACGATCCAGACGACCGGCACGAAGCAGGGCGGGGTCGAGAGTATCGGGTCTGTTCGTTGCCATGATGATTTTAGTCTTGCCCAAGTAGTCGAAACCGTCGAGCTGGTTCAGCAGCTCCATGAGCGTTCTCTGAATTTCACGGTCTGCACTGGTTCCCTCGGAGAATCTGCGTCCACCGATAGCGTCGATTTCGTCCATGAAGATGATGCAGGGCTCGTGCTCCTTGGCGTATCCGAACATTTCGCGAATCAATCGTGCGGACTCTCCGATGTATTTGTCGACGATTGCTGACGAGACGACTATGATTTGGCCAGTGTTAGCATATGCTACCCTCTCATACATACTATGCAATCATTGTAGCTTGAGATTGTGCATGTACGTACCCTTCAAGAAGTTTGTTTCGAGACTGCTCGCGACAGCACGAGCCAGAAGTGTCTTTCCCGTACCGGGAGGTCCGTAGAGCAAAACACCCTTGGGAGGCTTGATGCCCACACGTAGGAAGAGCTCGGGGTTCTTGAGCGGCAGCTCGATAACCTCCCGCAGCTCGCGAATCTGGTCGTTAAGACCACCGATTCCGGCGAAGCTTACCTGACCAGGGTCTTCCAAAGACATGTTGTAAACGAGGGGGTCGACTTCGCGGGGAAGCATCCGCATGATGGTGAGTGTCGTCATGTCGAGGGCAACACGAGTGCCCTGCTTGAGCTTGGCCTTGTCGACCTTTGATCTGCATCCGACGACATATCTGGGGCCGGAGGAGGCCTTGACGATAACTATTGGCAAGAGTTTGGGTCAGCACAGTTTGTATACAGAGTCAAGCAGATGATGGCGGTAGCGGTGGTGATGGTGATAGCACTGGCAGTAGGCGTCGGTGGGGGAGGGAAAGAGGTGGAGGTGGAGGAGGCGGGATGCCCTCTACTCACATCTTTCGTCATCGAGTTGCTTCAGGACCTCGCCGATAATCTGACCAACACTCTGCAGCGCCTTGATGTTGTCCTCGGTACGGTCGTACTCCCTCTGCAGGTCCTTTATCTCAAGCCGGAGGGCCTTGAGCTTCGCCTCCCATTCTCGTGATTCGAGCAGCTTGCCACGGTACGAGTCGAGAGCCTTCTGGCGTTCGTCGTCGGAAGACATCTCTGGTTATGTGTGTTTTGGTGAAAAGAAGAAAAAGAACAAAAAATTGTAGAGTTTCGTGACCTCGTTGAGTTTGTAGGAGTCGTTTCGTGTCGGAATCGCTCGGGGGGGGGAGGCAAGATGAGGTCCGTCGGTCGGTGATGGTGGTGGTTGTGGTGGATAGCTATGGTGTATGTAATCGTTGTTTTCGGAGGTTCGATGTGAAGACGTACCTCCCGCTGCAGCCTTCTGCCTCACACACAGCACACGGCTCAGCTTCGACCAGCGCCTGTTGATCCCTGCCACCGAAGCTCTGCCGAGGGGCCTGTGATTGGCCGAGTTTCTGGTTTCCGGATAAACCTATCGCCGATGCGGTTCCTGCCGCCCCAGGAACGTCCCTACCAGGAAAAAGTTCATTCTAATGAGACGTCGGAGGCAGGAGGGCTACGGTAAGAACCTATTGTAACTTGCATGCAATCGTATTGTAAACTATACGTTGCGAGAGATTTTGTACTTTGAAACCAGCAGGAACTGCAGACAGCTCACGTCGTTCTATCAATAAGTCACTAAGATCCGAAGGAACTATGTATCCATTTGAACGGCTCAAGTTTCATCAAAATAAAAACTCGGTACAATCTTCGAGTTGATTTGTATTTACCTCCAAGTATATACTATGAATAATAAGAAATGATTGTCCTGACGCGTGTATATTCCATATCGCATTAGATGATGGATCAACGTCTCATAATCAAGCCTCCCCCATTCTGGATACTAGATATTGATGCCAATAAGTTGTGTAAGCTTGTTGTAGATGCATATATGTGATGCAGATGATGGTAGTCCTCCCAGAATAAATGGTAACAAACAAAAACATATCCACCGATAACTCCAGAAAAGACGGGTATTTGGGGGGCATCAATCGTAACGACGGTAGCCTGAGATACTTGTGTCCTTAGCCCTCCAGCTCAGACGTGATCTCCTCGCGGACCTTGCGGCACCACGCCATGACGGCTCTCTCGAAATTGATCCATACTTCAGGACTGCTGTTGTAAACGATGCCGAGAGCATCCACTTTTAGAAGAACCTCCCATCGCAGCTCTGCTGCCTTGGCCCAGTAACGAATGTTGTCAGCGCACCGATATGGCTTATCGGTGTCGGTGTGAAAGGTGGTAATTAAACCGAACCTCCGCTTCGACGTTTTCACTGCCGAGTTGTGGAGCTCGACAAGCCGAATTCCATTCTGCAGGCTTTGGAGAAATGGCGTGGGAAACTCGGTCGCTGAAGCTGCAGGCGTGTATTCCGGCAATGGCTCAGCGCGGGGATCAAGAGAGGCCATGAACGCCAATTCTCTTTCGACTTCTTTGCCAGTCCAATCGCCCTTCATCCAGGTCCAGCGGCTGCGCTCCGCCTTCTCTATCTCGACCATCTCCTCTTCCGTCTTCAGCATGCTGAAGAGCCCCTGAATCCAGGAGTTGAGAGTGACGTACTCATCATCCTTCATTCCACCAGCCCACTTCCGGGTTGCCATCTGTTTCAGGGTTTCCATGACGGAGAACAACTCCGTGCGTATCTCTTTTTCAGACTTGATGGCGTCCAGTCTTTCCGGAACTTCGTGGGCCGTATAGTAGTTCTTGGCAGCACGAATGGCAAGCGTCATGACATCAAGAATGTGCATGCCCTGGACTTCGAACCAACCCATCCCTCCTTTCTTTGGCGTGTTTGGTCGCGAGGCAGCTTCGGCGGCCGCCTTGGCGTTGGCTTCCTTGTTGTCCCTTGCATCTTTCAACGCAGCAGCGGCCTTCTCGAGAGACTGCGTAAGATCGGCCTTGAGCTCCTCGATCGTTGGCGGTTTGGGAATAGGCTTATGTCTGTGGATGTATGTACTGGTAGTGGGTGGTAGCACATCCTCCGGGTCGTCGAATTCGTCCGAGTAGTATTCTTCGGTAGGAGATTCCACCATGGGGCCAAACTGGTGGGAAGAAAGGTCGGGACTTAAAGATGGGAATGAAGATTCGCCATCAGAGCCAATTCTCGGCGATGACAGTCCGGAGCTGCTCACAGAAGAGAGGTCCAGACCTCCTTTCGCCTTGTTCTTCCTCGCCAACTGCGCACCCTTGCCGTCGAGGAGACCGGTCCGCGCAAAGTAATACTGCAAATGGGCAATGCTTCCTAAGCTCAGGACGCTTTCCCTGTGCCGGGCACTCGCAGCAAAGTCGGTACCCTGTGGCCGGACGAATCCTCGGCGGCGGCTGGAGCGGCCATCCATGCTGCTGCATGTTGACTGGCGAGAGGATACGAAGCTTACATCTGAGCGACGACTGTAGTTGCCGGAGGATTGTCTCGAGTTGCTTCCCAAGCTTCCCAAGGACTCGCGGGAGGTGCTGTCGGTGGTTGAACTATGAGAGACAGAAGATGCCGTCGACAGGCAGCGGGTAAGCTCAGGGCAGGCGCCAATAGCTGGAGTCGGGACGATCTCGGGCGAGGGGGAGTCGCATCGGAGAGAAGGAGGTTTCTCGTTCGCCGTAGCCATGATTTCGGTTGAATTATGGGAAAAGTCGAAAGTTTGGCTGCTCCTGAAGATGCGGGGTGGCAAAGGGTGGCCACACTTTTGGGGGGTTCTTTGGATAACGTCAAATGAAATGTAACGATTCAACAGAGAGTCTGTTGGTGTCTCGTCTCAGCTGGGGTATCGATGGTGCATTCAAGCCATGCGCCAGAGAGCGTGGGAGGGGGTCCCAAAACAATGTCGCAGTCCGGTGTGCAACAAGTAAAGCAGAAGTGATATGGGCAGCGGCGGTCTAAGTAACTGGGTGCACAGCAGCGTCCAGGGGTGGAGGTTGAAAGGAGATTCGGACGAAGGAACGTATGCCGGTGGTTCGAGAGACGTACGGCGTATTATTTCGTTGGGTGAGGTGTGGTAAGGAAGGTAATGTTTGGACAGCAGACAGGTAGAGAGCGAAGCGAGTTGGTCAACGGATAGTTTCCAGGTTGGACGAAGCGGCCAGAAAGTTTACTGACTCCTTCAACGCCAGCCGGTAAACAGGCGGGTCGGTCGGTAGGGCGAAGGTGAAAGGAAGGCAAGACCAGGAACCAACGGTAAGGTAAACCAGACAAGGTAAAGGCAGGGCAAGCTGGTGCTGGGAGCTGTGACACGACGCAACTTTCCGGCGTCAGGGGTTTGTGTTGGGCTCTGCCACAGCGGAGGTGCGGGTACGGTGAGTGCTTTGGTAGTCCAGCTGGCTCTCTTTGTGCCTGAGACTTTCCCGTTACCAGCTATGTTAGTGGGGATTCTGCAGTACCTTACACACACCTCCGGAGGGGAAAGGGGCCCCCGAAGGCGAAATGGAATTGATCTCTCTGATCAATCTCCAGCGGGCGAAATTGGGGGTCCAATAAGTGGCGTGCGGGTTACCAGGGAGGGACGGTTTAAATTGAACGTCGCGTCTCCTCCGAAGGTGGGGTGGAGGTAGGGGTAAGAGGGACGCGTGAAACGGAAGACGTTGTGCCTGCTTTCTTCTGCACGAAAGGACTTCTGTAATGCCTTGAGCAAGGTACGTAGTAAAGGTAGTCCAAGACGGAGAAGCAATTACCGTCTTCGCCCAAGGTCTTGCGCTTGGTTGGCTGACGTCTTGAATCAACACAAACACTGCCGCGCTAGAAGTCGCTATTGGTCCGAAGTATCTGGCGTGCTTTTGATAAGGTAATATAAAAATAACGAAACTCTGATCCTGCACTTGGACCAACGTATGTGTGTGTGTGTGTGTGTACCAGTAATGGTGCGCTGGTAGCGGGAAGGGCAAGGTCCCTTCCGGGTTACAGGTAATATCAATGAATTTTGATGAACCTAGGGAATTCGCTTCTCTAGCAAACCTGACTGGGGGAATGATCGCCTTCTTATCCAGCCGTCGATTCAACAACATATGCATGACCCAGGCCAATAACATCGAATCTCTCAAGGCGAACATTCACTCGGGGGAACTCATGCATCTTGACTCGGCAACGATTTACGAATAAGCACCGACACATTTGATGAGGAAAAAGCCAAGCGGGCGAGACCTTCTGCCGTGAATCCAGATGCTGGCCAAACGAATTTCAAAGGCCCCTCTGCTCCGAAGCTCTTGTTCACTTGCTTCTGTCGTCGTCCAGGCGGATTTCCGAGAAGATGGCATTTTCAGGGGCTCAAATTTTAAAAAGGTCTCCAGCAACTCGACCGGGTGACAAAGCCCATGTGGGTATTTTTAATCCGACAGACGCCTCCGCTCCGTGTTTCCCGACATCGAGATTAGCAAACCCTCGTCAATCCCAGACACGGGTTGATGGGCTCCCTCTCTCACGCTATAGTGCTCGATTGACTAATCAGAGACCCTTTCCGTGCGTGACAGACCTTAGAGGCGAAGCAATGTCTGGGGAATGACCAAGGAAGCAAACTCGCATCGAACTTTGATGTGCGAGTCTAGCCACATGGCGTCAAGGGGGGTTCAACATACCTCCATACCTTGCCCTACTACGTAGTACTCATGGTTTCTCCAGCCGCCTTTCTGGATTGTTGTTTTGTGTGTGCCTTGCCTGGTCGCTCAGAGACGACACCTCCATATTGTCTGTTAGCCAATGACTGCTAACGCCAATCTGGAGGAGAATTCCTCGCTTGTGCTTCGAAGTAGAAGTAGGCGTTCTGTTCGTATGTGGTCTGATTGGCAGGGTCGAAGCGGGAAGGTAACGATTCCGATAATCGATGCCACTGCCCCAACCGACCTTGACTTCAATCAAGCATGAAGAGGGAATGAAGCCCAATAGCCGGGCATTTGCTGAGTTTCAAGGACCCCCTTGGCATGAAGTAGATTCCAAGCACTGTCTTGAGGTGTGGCTTTCCGGAGGATCAGATGATGTAATTTTTGAGACTTGCCATTGACCACCCACGTCGTAATGTTGTGTATTTATTCTACAATCGCCGCTCCTCCTGACTGTTGCATTTCGCGCTCAATCGATTCCTGTTTTTGGTGTTATTTAGCCTGGAAATACTCTGTGGTTTGCCCCTCGTTCACAGCCAGTTTACACGCATCTGCTGTATGTGATAAATGCCCTTGGACGGTAATGCAAGTGATATGCAAGCCATCATGCCAACCGACTCTTGGTCGGCACCGTAATAATCTATCCTACCCACCCTTCAATCACCCCTGGCCCAACGAAAGCAGAATCGCGTTGGTTCTTGCTGACTGTAATGCACCAAGAGGTCATTTGAATTACAGTGGGCCACAATCAAGTGCCACCAGCTCCTCTTCTTTCCGTTCGGCTTGATGCAACCACGGACTCGGGTAACCTGAGCGGGACAACGCCGCCCTATCCTCCGAACTTCTTCTGTCACTTGTCCTCCCAACATTAGTGTATTTCCCAAATTTCAAAACGTCATTTGTAAGTCGGGGGAGATTGCCTGTGCCTTGCATAAGTTGGACGGCTTAAGTGCAGTGTGAATGCATCGTTAGCGTGCCACGGCTCAGTCCGACGCTACCAGAACTCCGCATATTTATTTTAAACTTATTGCTGCGTCTTTGCGTCACCTTTTCCATGAGCGACAATGTCGAATGCAGGTACTGGCACGTGAGAAACATGAAGCACAGAGATGATCTTTGAAACGCATGAGAGACAGAGACAACATGACAGTCGGTTGGTCAAGCCGTAATCAATGCAACGGCAGCCACTGTGCGTCCTCGCTTGCCCTGGCCAAAGAACACATGTCCAACTCTCTGGAAGCTGTGGGTGTTTGCTGGGCTTGAACCAGGGAGGGGAGAGGGGAGAGAGGGGGTCCACGGCACACGGCCCACGATCCGTCGACCCAAAGGGCAGGGTCACCCCGGCTCGTCTAATCTTCCATGAGCCTCCGAAGCTGCAGGGCTCCCGGCCTGGTGGCGGGTGACCAGGCCAGAACTGGGAACAGCTTCTGTGTGTTTGGCTCAAGGGTCAGACGAGAGAGGGATGAGAAAAGGCTTCAACTACCGCAAGTGGTGACACCCCGTTGCGACGTTGTAACTTACGGGAAATATGGTCAAGGCTCCTAAGGGCTGTCTCTGGAAACGTGGTGATCCACTGGCGAGCTCCTGGGGTCTCCAGGGTGATGAACTCGTGGTTCGTGAGCGCCGAGAAGTAATGGGTGAGATCGCTGGCTCATCTATCTGTTGGTGACTGCTCCATTGGCTCCGTTCTTCTCGAGCGCGAACGGACGGGGCAAGGGCCGACTGTGAAGTGTTAGCGCATCTTGCCGACTGTAACCGTGGCATCAAACTATTGTTTAGTGAGTGGCTTCTCCAGACTTCAATCAAAACCATTGTCACTGCAAGATGAAGATGGCCAACGGCCGAAGCGCAAAAAAGAACTTGGATAGGCTGGGGGGAGCACTATCAAATTTGGATTTGCCTACAGGTGACACGATGAAATTGGCCAGCAGTCGAGAAAGAACCACATACCAGCTTATTGTGGAAGCACGGATTTATACACGGCAACATGCTTTCGCGATAACTTTGGTCTGCACGATTTATGTATGGGGAAATTACGACCATCACAGAAGCCCCATCCCCTCTAGTCTCTTTTTCAGCGACGATAGGGGGCGCGGTACGCACAACGAGCCGAGGGTTCAGCACGCGTTTCATCGCACGTCGTAAGGGATTGAGCTCCGGCGACGACTGGATGGGGAACTCTCACCCTATCCCGTTAAGGTTGACAGGCGCGCGAGCTATGCCCCTCCGTGATGGCCCAAAGATATGCAATGGGAATAAAAACTGTGTAGGCATTACATAAGGTGAGGTAACGATTCTTGTTCTACAGCGTGTTTGAAAAGAAAAGAAAGTCAGATGGAACCTAAGTCCATTTGGGGCGGGTGCTTGACTCAGGTTGGAGCGTATCTCGGCTGGGCCATGCTGAGTTGAGCAGCCCGTGTAACATTGACGACGGAGGGGACGATGGTGAGGTAGCCATGTTTGCACCGTAGTATTTGTGGTTTCGTAAAAAGAATAAAACGAAAAAAAAAAAAAAAAAAAAAATCCAAAACAAATGCGGGACGCTGTAGAAGAAAGGAAAGAAAAGAAAAGAAGGAGGAGAAGGGGGAAGAAAACCACGACGAGAGCCCTTGTGCAGGCCACTGTGAGATCCTTATGCTTCCTTGACGTAGCCCGTCTCAACTCATCCCAATTCAATTCCAGTCCAGATCCAATCGATTCAATCTGGAAAGCGCTCGTTTCCTTTCCCTCTCTCATTCTCTCTCTCCCTCTTTCCTTCTTCCAACCAGACCAGTGCCTTATTTCCTTCTCTTTTCGTCTTGCCACAGTTTTAGCTTTGGCTCTTGCCTTCTGCGTCACTCCCTCACAAACCGTTGACTTTTATTTTATTTTATTTTCTTAATCCCATTATTTGCCTTCTTCTTCCCTTGGCTTGTATTATTCCATTTTCTCTCACCTTTATTCACATCCGGACACCTTGGGAGCCTTTTCCCCGGCCGATCGCTCATTACCTTTCTTTCTGTCTGTCTTACGCCTTCCCTTCCTACGTTTGCGCCCGAGCAAGGGCCAACCCAGCTTCTTCACATCTCTGCCGGATCCAAGCAATGGGCACCAATTAAGACTTACTTTCCGCCGGCTGCGACTCGATCCGCCGCCACGTTGTTCCTGACATTCTGTCTCCAACTTCCAAGGTCTTCCGAGATACCAGGACTACCGACCATACCGAAGCGTCCAAATCAATTCCCTTTCCCACCCTAGACAAGTGAGGCAAAGTGGTCGGATACTGCATTGCTCTGCTGCTCTCTGCCTTACATTACGTACTAAGAGTTTACGCCGCGCCCGTTCGCTCTGCATCCCAGCCCAACCCAATCGCGTGGCCAACCAAAAAACCACGCCAGCAAACCACCGGCGCTCTGCAGTCCTATCCTACTGCAGCGTTCATTCACCCTTTGCTCCAATAACGATTGCATTCCCATTCTTCGGCCGCTTAGAGTCCCTGTCGTTGTACCCCACCGACTAAGGCATTGACAACAGTGCGCTTGAGGAGTTCACCCAGGCATCCAGCATTCCCAGCAATCCCAGCACTGCTCTTGTCGGCGACCTGCGGCTAAACCGACTGAACCCAGCGAGGATCAGTCAACACGACCCAATTATCACCCAGTCTCAGGACCATCGGACCCAGTCAATCCACGAGCCAGCTCAGTCGCTATTTGTGGCCCTTATTGTCTCCCTTGTTGCCGTTCCCAGTCTTGTCCATCGTCTTTGTTGTGAATCACGATAGAACTGGGAAGAACAAACACGAATAAATGTCGGTCGGGGGAGCAGCTGCGGCAGAGGCCGAGGCAGAGGCAGAAGTCAGCTGTAACAACACCGCCGATGCCAACGCCTCAAACGAGTTGGTTCCCAGCCACCAACTACAGCGTCCACAGCACCCAGGGCACCCACCGGATCAGGCACAGGCCCCGAAGGCCGCCCCTACAACCACAGCGGACCTAGACCTGGGATTCTCTGACGTCTCCAGTCCCCATCTTTTCCAGCTGCAGGCCCCATTCGGAGTCGTAAACAACAACAACATCGCCAATACCGATAACAATCCTACTACCACAGGATCGCCCGCAAGTGCAGTGCACAATAATTCGACAATTTCCCGTCTCGCATCGGAGTCCGGCTCGCCCATCGCAAACAAAACCATCCAACCGCGCAAACCCTCGCCCGGTTTGACTGCACGCCTCAAGGCACTTGGTTTGGCCACTCACAAGAAGTCAGCAGATCCGCTTCCCAATCAACAAGACAACATTGGCCGCTTGCCCGAAGATCAAATCCGCCAACTCGACGAAAACCATAAGACGAACTCCGGCGATTCGATAATACATCGTCGTGGCCGCCCGTGGAAGGGTATACTGCACCACAAATTTTCGGAAGCTTCAAACACATCAACAAACGCATCAATAGAACGGCCCGGCACTGAAGCACCGTCGTCCACCACAGACGTTGCCCTGGGCGCGTCTCTTGTCCTACCGGAGATCATAACAACAGAACCGCTGGACATGGAGACACACAAGTACCGCTTGCCCGACCACACCAATGGAAACGGCACTAAGGTCCAGCTCGAGACACGACGAGAGCATCTCGAACGAAGCGCCTCACAAACATCCACTGATCAACCACCTCCTCCGCCGCCGAAGGACACGCCGCCCGTCCCGCAAGCCGAATTCACACCCGACCTAGCCTCTTATTTAAATCCTAGTCACCAGCGACCAGGCTCCATCTACACACTTTCGCGCGCCTCGTTCGCTAACCAGTTAGCTCAGCTAACTTCTTTGCAACTTCCCGATGCTGAGTCACTTTCAAGCAAAGTCTCCGCGATCCCGACCGCCCAGATCGCATCAAAGGCCCTTATCAACGCTGCCGAGCAAATCCGGAGCTGGATTTACAAGGCTTCAGAGGTCATCGGTGGCCTGGACAGTGATGATGACGTCGAATGGGCAGCTGCGGGTGGCCGCGAAGGTCTGGAAGAAGTTGAGAACGCCATTTATCGCTTCGAGGAGTTGATCAAAGTCTATGTTAGTGCCATCGAAGAGTTGCAATGTCGTGAGGACATAGCCGATGTTCCGCCTACCGACCTTCATCGTGCCGTTTCCCAGATGGAGTCCATCATCGAAGAGTGGGCCAACATAAAAGCAACCCTGAACACCGTCAAAGGCCAGGTGGAAATTGCAATGGAGTGGGAAGAGCTTTGGAATTTAGTCCTCGGAGATATTCAGACTGAAATGGACGAACTGAGTCGCCTGGTGTTCGAGATGGAAGAGCGTCGCCATAAGTCCCTGATGGCTGCAGCGACTGGCGACGGCGTTGATATAGGAGATCTGGAAAACATCGTGGAGGATACTCCTCCCCCAGTGTCAAAGACGCAAGCTCAGACGCGGTTCAGTTTGACAGGCTTGGCTCTCAGCCCTGGATCAACATCACCAAGCACACCCACCTTGTCGCAGGATGACTCGAGTCTGTTGGCGTTGTTTGCGAGAATGCAACCTTTGCGCGCATCACTAGACTTCCTCCCTATGAGACTCGCTGTTTTCGCAGCCAGGGCTGAGAAGTCCTTCCCGACAGCTTGCGAAGAATTGGAGATGCGACGCGCTGGACTCGATGGCAGCTACAAGAAGTTGGAAAAGGATGCTGAATCCCTGCGGAAAGAGTTGGGTGAGGATCGATGGGTCCTGGTTTTCCGTGGCGCTGGACGCCAGGCCCAGAAGATGATCGAATCTGTCGAAAGATCTATGAAGAAGTTGAGAGAGGGTGTCGACACTGGCGTGCACTTGAGCAGTCCGCCTACGATGAGCAAGAAGATTGAAAGTTACGATGCCAAGAAGACTCATTACGGCCCTGCCATCGAACGAGTTTTGGCCATCATTGACAAGGGCGTTAAGGATCGACTCACAGTCAACGGTGAGATCCTGCGACTTCACGCGGAGATGCAGTCCAAGTGGGAGTCGATCAAGGACGAAATGAGAGAGATGGATGTGGTGGTTGATGAGGTTCAAGCGGACAATCGGGGCCAGCAGTTGAGAGACTCCATCTCGAGCATGTTATCGAATGATCGCTCAACAATTGGCAGCGGTCGCGAGACTCCGGGCAGTTCACCTCCTTCATCAGTCATTATGTCAAGCCTTGGCTTTGAACCTATGACACCCACGCCCAAGATGGCGAAGAATCGTTCGGCGAGTAGTGGCCATCTGCCGCAGCCTTCGGGACGGCGACAGTCGTCATTGCCGACGCCGTCCCAGGTCACGCGCAAGCCTTTGACTTCCCGACTGTCGAGCATGACCTCGAGACTTGGCACCCCATCTGCGGCTAGCATCCCTAGACCTCACTCGACGCTACCAAACCGCCCTAGATGGAACAGCTCAACAAATACCACGGATGTCGGCATTGGACATAACTTCAAGCCTCTCAGCCTCACATCACCAAGCCCGTATGCTAAAAGTACATCGCCTGTTGTTCGTCCACCTTCTTCTTTAACTCCACGATCATCGTCGCCTGGTGGCAGTAGACTACCTACAATTCGCGGTCCGTTCAACCGAGACTCTTCCGCATCGCCTATGCCCGAAGATACCCCTACTAAGAGACCTCCCTCTAAACTATCGTTCCGCGAGCGATTGGCCTCTCCTGGTCCGTATTCCCAGCAAATGCTGTCAAAGCCACGCCTGTCCTCGTCTGTTTCGACATCTGGCTTAGAATCCCAGTCCAGCCGGCGTGCTTCTCTGCAGCCACCCAGATCTCATTTGACTGCCGACGACAGACGACCAAGTCGCCCCGCCAGCTCTCTCGCTTCGACTCGGCGAACCAGTTTGTTGCCCCAGCCCAAAGCCCCGAGCGCAACAACTGGCCGAGAAACACCCTCTTTCGGCATGACGCCTCGCAGTGCCACCCGCAAGACTCTGCCAGAGTTGTCTAAAAGTACTTCAGCTGCGAGTAGTAAGCCCCGATGGCGGGCCTAGGAGTCCGCCATATCAGGGCAGCGGAGAGCTAGCTCTTCAGCAGTTACAAAAGGTCTGGACACAAATGCCAGGAGCAAACCCCGTTGGCGGTCTTGATATAGTAGCGCCCACGAACGAGTTGTATATGAACTCGTCTTATCAAACGAGATTGTGTGCGGATTCCATGCTGCTCGTGGGCTTGTGAACTCTTCGTCTTGAAACGACGGAAACATTGTACATATTCCATTACCCTCCTTTATGGCTTAACGGCAATGCCATTTGGGTGGTTTTACTTCTATTGCTTTGTGGCATGGCGTCGGGTTAGGATCTGTCGGACGGCGTTTCTTTCTGGAGAGGAATTGCCTTTTCCGGTGGTCTTTGGAATGTTGGTATTATACCCTGGAGGGTGGAATGGAGTCTGGTCTTTGGCGAATCAGGAGGGCGTGGAAAGCTCTTAGGCCAGCCGTTTGCAGATGGACGACGGAGAAGCTTCGAGCCACCACATTGGGCGCGCCGGGGCGCGTCCCGTCAACCATGCACATGAGGCTGGTATACCACACGGATGACAGACCACCGAGGGAAGAAAAGAGAGAAAAAGACTAATTGACTGTTTTATTTTATTTCTTTTTTTTTTTTTTTTTGCCCACAGCAAATGTACTAAAACACTCCCTAACGAGACTCGATACCCTCCATCAATACTAGTATTCTAGGTAACTCGGCAGAATTTCGTAGTAGTTGAGAGACTGTCCATCGCAGGGGGGGAGGAGAAGGCTAGCTAGCTATGCAGAAAGAGGCAGCGCAGATTGAATATTCGCAGCGACTGATTATGGCTTTCCGGCACAGTTTCTAACAGTGTGAGCAGCTTTTAAGTCACGTAGGCAGTCCGTCGTCTTTCATGTTTACACGAAATCATCCGCTAGCCAAGACGGACGGACATGTACCCAGCGATATCTCCTTTTACCTTATACTACGAGGCGTGTCTCACACACATCCAGATATAGATAGATGATGAGCCCATGTGTAAAAGTTGACATCTCCCCGTGAAGGGGATAAAACATTTTGTAGTCATATTTTCGGCATTAAAGAGCCGGATTTTTTTTTTTCTGCCTTTGTGTATGCATGCCTACGCTGCGCCAGAGGGGAAAAAAAAAAAAAAAAAGATTCATCATGTCCCAGACCAAACTGGTCGACGCCTAGCCCGTGCAAACCGCCAATGTCAATCATGATAATAGCCCACGCCGTCGCCATGACTGTGAATAACAGAAAACTCCAATGCCTTCTTCTTCTTCCACTTCATGATGAGTGTGGCAAATAATGTAATGCCATAGGATAAGGACTCCCTCCCCCACATACATACGTAGAAAGCAGTTCCCCTTTTGCCATGCCCACCATGTGCCTCGCTCTCCTCCCCATAACTAAATAAGTGGGGAGGCTGACTCTGGATTGTTTTCGTATCATGGCTGTATCGTTTACTTCCGTCTCTTGCTTTAAAAGGGCATCATTGCGATGCCGCTGCCGCCACCGCCACCGCTCCTGCTACCGCTAGCTCCGCCTCTCTTTCCACCCTTGGCAAAAACGTTGGCCGACGACGAGCTCTTCGATCCTGAAGCCGTAGCCCCGCCGCCGCTTCTCCTGCTTGTGCCGCCAGACGCCTTCCGCTTGGTCACACCACCCTTTTTGAACCCTCCCGAGTTTTTACGGAAGCCTGATCTTCTGCCACCTCGGCCGCCACCACGTCCTCGTGTCGACGTACCCGACGAGCCTCGAGTCCACGGTGCAGTCTCTAGTTCCTTCATACGCTCATTCCACGCTTGAACAACAGGGGCCAAGGGGGGCGGGCCGCTGTTGAAGTACTTTGAGGCCTCTTCCTCTTCATTATTTTCATCTTCCATTTCATCGTCGTCATCTTCGTCAGAGCTGATCAAATCTACCACATCTTGATCGCCGACATCCATTTCATCAGCCTCATCTGCTATGCTGAGCATGGCGTTGTAGTTGCTCTGAAAACGCTTGATCAATGGGATGAACTTGTTACCAAACTTCTCCACCTTCTCTGCCTCGATACCTGGAATCTTGCGCATCTGAGGCAGAGTTGTCGTCCATCGAATAGCCATTTCTCTGAAGCTCTTCTCCGAGAAGAGTGGCTTTCGAAGGTTTTGCGCATTGCGCAGGGACTCTTCCACCTGTTTCGCATCCTGGACGAAATTGTAGACGACGTCCCGGTGCAGCTCGTCGAGCTCACCCAACCGACTGTCTTCTTCGATACGAGGACCAACATTACGAGAAATGTTGCTTTGCTTGCGCGTCTTGGGCAGAGGTTCGAAAGCATCCTCTTCGGAGTCGTCGTCAGACATAACGAAGCCGTCTTTCGCATACCCATTCGTGTGCATCGACAAGCCTTGTTCCTCCTGCCGTATCATTTCATCCTCGTCATCTGTATCCACGACTGTTGCCAGGGATTTGCCCTTCTTTCTCTTGCTCTGAATTCTCGCCTGCGCAGGAGAGGATACATTTGTCGAAGGTGGAAGATGCACAGATGGGCCGTCTTCCACATCTTGGTCATCATCCTTTTTGCTCTTCTTCAATCGTTTTTTGGGCTTTGGTACCGAAGGTTCCCTATCCCTATCGGAAACCTTGACGGACAGCAACAGCTTACGGCGCCCTGACAGGAAGAGCTGCGCGTTACGACCAACCTAATTTCAATTTCAAGTTAGTTTACGCAGCGTAAGGAGAATAGGAAGAAATGTATGGACGTACGATGAGATATTGAATCGCAATGTTGGCTCTCCTGTTCACCACATTTTCCTCTTCTAGGGCCTCCTCAGCTGTAAGTCTGTCGATGATGCGCTCAATCTCATGCTTCTTCAATGATTTAGCGATGCCATGGGGGTCGTCCGGGTGCGGGATAAGGTTTGCTTGATATCTCTTTCCCATGAGAATCTCACTGCACTGGTTGATAGTCAGTTTCTCGTGGTTCCCCACCGCTTGAATAGCCGCAATGGCCTTGTCCGAGAAGTCTTTCTGTTCGAAAACAGCCCCTGCTCGGCAGTTGTCACACGTCTTGTTGCAGTCGTCCCCATTGAATACTTCGCCGAAGTAACGAAGAATTTCAACGCGGCGGCAGTTCTCCAGATTGTCGCAGAACGCAGTGACCCGATTGAGCATCACCCGTTGCCGCTCCTTCTGTACCTCATTGCCTTCGCCGTCTGCAATCATCTTCCTCAACGTAACAACATCTTGGTACCCGAAGTATAGAATACAATCGGACGGGTTGCCATCTCTGCCAGCCCGTCCCGTTTCTTGATAATAACCTTCTAAGCTTTTGGGGATCGAATGGTGAATAACGAATCGGACATCAGGCTTGTCGATACCCATCCCGAAAGCAATAGTTGCCACGACGACATGGATTTTGTCCTGTTGCCATTGTCTTTGGATTTTGATTCTGTCCTCGGCTGGCATCTGCGCGTGATAATGATGCGCCAAAATGCCGTATTTATCGCGCAACTTCTCGGCAACCTGCTCGGATGTCTTCCTCGAGAGCGTATAAATAATTCCGCATTTCCGGTCGTATTTGTTTTGGATGAGCTCAGCGATCTTGTGGACTAACTCTCTCTCCTTTCTACGAACCTCGTAGGTAAGGTTCGGTCTGTTGAAACTCTGGGAGAATACTTGGCAGTTGTCCATGCCCAGGTTATGCTTGATATCAACAATGACATTCTGGGTTGCCGTTGCCGTCAGTGCAATGATAGGCACTGTCGGGAATTCATGGCGGAGTTTACCCAAAGCTTTGTAGTCCGGCCGGAAATCATGACCCCACTGGCTGACACAGTGAGCTTCGTCAATGACAATCCGCGCAAGTCTTTTGCCTGAGTAAAGTGTCTTCAGCGCCCTCATGAAAGATGGGCTGTTGTTCAGCATCTCAGGCGTGACATAGAGTAGCTGAATGAAGAGTTCTGGGCTTCTCTCCTTGAAGGATGAAAAGATCTGGTTTCGCTTCTGAGCAGTTGTCTCGCCGTTCAAGGAGACGGCCTGGATGTTCAGTGCTGACATATGGTCGACTTGATCTTGCATTAGACTGAGAAGAGGAGAGACGACGATTGTAATTCCTCTCGTCTTTCCGCTATTGACGATAGCTGGGAGCTGGTAACAAAGCGATTTTCCTCCACCAGTCGGCATCAGCACAAACGCGTCTTTCCCTGCTAGTGTGGCATTGATAGCTTCAAGCTGGTTGGATCGGAAACCTCTCATCCTGAACCTGTCTTTCAGAGCCCTTCCAACATCTGGCGACCAGGGATGTTTCATTAGCTCGGGTGGTATCGACAGCTTCGCCTTGGACGCTTCTCTCTTTTTCAAAGGCGCTGCTGATTTTGAAAGTTGCGAAGCGTTGCCTGACGTCGCAGTGAGAACGCTTCTCCTTTTCGTGGCATCTTCCGCGGACGACGACTGACGAAGCTCAAAGTCCTGCGCTAGTGCGAGCATGTCCGCATCTGCATCATCGCCGTAGTCACTGGACATATCCAGAGCTCGCGAACGTGATGCTTTTACTGGGCTCCTCCGACTTGGTGTAGGTCTAGAAATAGGCGGTGCGGGAGGATGGAACGTATGCAAGTCATCTTCGATATTGTCGAAAAACTCGTCATCAAAATCGTCTCTTCGACTGGTTTTCGCACTTTTGGGAGCCTGGTTTCTAGTTCTCGGAAACGGCGGTGGTGAGTGGTCCCTTGGGTCGGTAAGTCGTGACGATCCGGGGAATTGCGTTTGATGGATGACCTGATTATCGCTCCCCGCAAACATTGTCGCATCTCTGGACGCTCTAGACGGAGCCTTTTGGTCAGGTTGCGTGCCCATGACGATAGTCTTTGACCTGTGGTAGTCGTCGATAAAGGATTCCCCATCGATGCCAACGCTCGGGAGATGCTGGTCGATGCAGTGCTCCAAGGGCCTAACTCTGTCTGCCAGCTCGTCTAGACGATTCTCGTCCTGCTCAGTATCGCGACCCTCATCATAGGCGCTAGCAATTTGCTGTACAAGTGCCTCTCTCTCGTCATCAAGCTTTGCATAAGATTCCAGGAGCTCAAAGACTTCCTTGAGGCAGGATTTTTGCTTCAACAGCAACTCTTTCTCGCACTTATGCCTCACACGATCTTCCTTGGAACCCTCCCTAAGAACTTTACTATACTCCTCGGAGTTTTGTCTGAGCTTTTCCTGGATCATTGTTTCCCTCACTTTCATTGCGTCTGGAGTACTCAAGATGAACTTAAGTACGGTGGATTTTTGTCCCTGAGAAGAGTTTGTTTGCTGGGATAATGCATTTGTTGAATCTTCCTGGCGAGAGATAACCTGAACACTCATTATAGAATCGTCCGGTGGCAACATAAGTGGTTGAGAGCGGGATGGTGTATCGGGGGCGACGAGTTCATCTGATAGCTCTGCATCGTCTATTGAAAAGGATGCTGGTCTCGAGCGTGCCGCAGAGGCTGGCATGAACGTACTTCGGCTCGGTGTTGCAAGGAGATCTGCATCGATATCTCCATCGTCAAACTCATCGTCCGAATCTTGGATAACTCTGTGCTTGGCACGCTGCTGAGTCGAAAGTGGCCCTGCTGATTTTGCCCTGGTCTTCGATTCAGGACTTGATGATATCCTCAAAGCTTTGCTTGGTGTCCGTCCAAGGGCTTTCTGGTTCCCTAGTGCCATCGGTATCCGAGGTGGTGTCCCGTGCGAATCGTCCGTCATTTTGTAGGTGCGCTGCGTCCGGCTAATCGTCTGCGTGACGGTGTGTTCCTCGACGAATCCTTTATCGGCAGTTGCCCGGCGGAGACTTGATGGAATGGTTTTTGCGTCGTTGACCGATCGACTGCTCTTCGGAGCTGGCGTGCCCAACGTCTTGTAAATGTCGGGGAACTCATCCGAGTCCGAGTTCCACTCCTCTGCCTTGCTCATTTCCGTACTCTTTCTCTTTTGTCCCCTCTTGGACAAAGGTTCCGATCTCGAATCATGTCCATCTTTCCATAATGCAAGTCCCTCATCAAGTGCAACTGAATCCGAAGACAAGATCGTATCGTTGCCGGTCAAATCCAGAATCATATCATCATCATCGTCAAGAAAATCCGGTGTGGGGGCTGGCGCAGGCTTGTTTCGTCTGTCTTGCGACGACAAAGGTGCAATTCGGTCGCTTCGTCCATTTTGAGCCTCTACATCCTGGGTCAGTGCATCCTAATAACCGTTCGTGCACACAGAACCCACCTTCTTGTTGTAGTTTGGCCGTATAGGCTTGCTGAAAACGTCCACCGCTTGTTGTTGAAGACGGCGTCAGCAACTGCTGCTGCTTTACAGCCAATGAGGGCTTCCTAGTCCTCGAAGACGATGCCAGCCTCGCCATGGAGTCTGAGTCTTCTGTTATCGCCACCCTGGAATCGCGCATCTGCTGATCCACCGTATCCAAGGCATGAAGAGCTTGTCTCGCATTCGCACGGTCGATGTTCGAGTGCGATACGGTTCGGCTTGGGATTTCCTGCTGAGATCCTAAATTTCCGGAGCGCGACTGCTGCGACTGGGAAGACTCGATGCCTGAGGGGTCGCGGGCTGGCGGGAACGAAAGTTCGGCCGGTCTGCAGATAGAGATATTGCCGAGCAGCCAGGAAAGTTGGTCCCCAAGGTTGTTTCGAGTCATTTATTCGTCTGCAAATAAATCACTTGGGAGCTCATTGGGCGTCATCGGGGACGTAGTTCGAAGTGTTACTTGGGCTCTATGGCGGGCATCTGCAAGGTTGGTCGTGGTGTTTACGTCGAGCTCTGCACTGGTGGTGTCGAGCGCGTTTGCCCCCCCGCCCACTTTAGCTAGCGTGTCGGCGCGTCTTTCCATAGGCAGCAGACCAGGACTCGTATTCACGTGAACTGGCGTCGGAGCTGGCTCGGTCGGCAAAACTCCGGCTTTCGTTATCAGAGCCTCTAAAATCCCAATTAACGTTCCTTTATCTACACTAGTACCATCCGTTGATGTTGGCTTTGATGAGATAAGGTCTTTTAGGTCACCGTCTGCTTTAAGTATGCCTCTCTTATGTTTCCCAGCAACGTGATTTCCTGTACCATCGATTGTGAGTTGTAAATATCAGGAAAAACATAAAGTATAAACGCGACAGTTTCAGGTTTCGACGGCGATTCGCTTGGAGCTGGTTCGCCTAGTTTCCGCACTCAGCGTCCGACCGAGGGAGTTTATCTCCCGATGCTCAGTGTAAGTTTAGCCAGCGGACCTCCAGCCAAAGGCCCAAGATGGTCAGCATATGTGTTGCGTGACTCAAGAATAGGCAGTCTCCCCATATGTAGCACCCTGCTCCACCCCATGAGTCCCTAAATAGATGAAGGATTCAGCCGTTTTCTGACAGCTCCCAGTAGGAGGCTTATAGACCCAATGGTGGGTTAGGTATCCTACACTGACACTGTTACCGGCGGTGGAAGTATCGCTTAAGCACTACAACGCCTTATCCATGTACCCAGTCGGCCAGGTTTCCAGCTCCCTAGCGCAAAACTTCCCCAGACGGAGGTTTGCGTCCCTTATCAATGTAGAACGAAAAGAGTTGTGGAGGCGGGACGGAGGATGCATATGTATGGGCGGAGCAGCGGCAGCTTCGGGTAGATGTCGATCCAGTCGCATATGCGATAGGATAACGTGCAGTCTCTGGGGGTTATTCAGTTCTTGACGTCACATATCTCCATTTCGGTTCTTTTTGAATGGCGGCAATTCTCCTCGTCGTGTTCTGGCGTGATGACGCAGTTATTGCACTGATGAAAGATACCGACGGACACTTGAACCCGATCGGTTGCCGGGATCTGTTATACAATGGAGCCTCTCAATGCGTGTGGGTCAAGCAGTAAGGTCCCGATTTTACCATTCGCCTGCGCCTTTGCCTACACCTTAATCCGGATATTCGTGCGACTCTCAGTCACCCATTCGCTGACATTGAAGGACACAGTTATGTTTGGACTTGAGACATAAAGTTAAAGTTAAGTTGCCTTTTATTGCAAAGTATTAACGTAGAATTTAACCCATGGATATCATAATTCTTAATCCTTTACTCCTTACATTTTCCCAATTACCAATTCTATCTGTGCCCCACATCATCCAGACTTGGATCGTTAAATAACAGTAAAAAAGAGGCCGTTACTTTATCATGAATGTTCCCAAAAAGCCCACGCTTAGTGGCGCTGGGCCTTGGGTAGAGGATGGATCCAGGATACTAAGAGGTTGACGGCGATGTGGATGCATCCAATGACCCAGAAGCCCTTGGCGTAGTTGGTGCCGTTATCCATGAAGCGGAAGATAATGGCGAAGATAACGCCACCCAGGTTGCCGCCAGCACCAGTCACACCAGAGACGATGCCGTTGGCGTGGCCGTGGACATGAGGAATGAGACCGAAGTTGGCGCCGTTGCCTGCTTCATGGAAGACGGCCATCAGGAAAATGAGACCAAACATCGTACCCTGGTCGTGGGGGTTAAGGTGGCCGATGAGGAGGAGCAGAGCACCGGTAAGGACACCGCACACAGTAATCCATCCCTTCTTAAGCCAGAGGTTTTGGCCGCCGAATCGGTACAGAAGATCGGAGACGACACCACCAGCAGGGCGGGTGATAACGTTGAGGAAGCCGAACATGGCAGCCCAGTTGCTGGCACCAGTCTGACCGAGGGAGGGGAAGTTCTTCAAGTAGTAAGATGAAAGGATGGAGTTAATGGCCAGCTCGCCGCCAAATGAGCAGCCATAAGTGGCGACGTGGAAGACGGTTTGTGCTGAGAAAACAACCTTCATAGACTCCTTGAAAGTAGGGTTGACAATTGTGTCGCCATGTGCCGTCTCAACCATCTCGGAGCGGGAAAGGGGTGCCTCGTTATCGGTCATGACACCGTTTTTGCTGTGGCTGCTGTTCTTCTCGACATCTGATGAAATGGAGCTGGTAGTGCGGTCGGTTATGCCCCCAGGCACATCAACAACATCAGATCGAACAACACCGTCAACGCCGTGAGACTGAAGGTTCTCCTGGGCATGGAGATGACGGTCGGCCCATTTGCCTGTGGGAGTGTCCTCACACAGGAGGAGAAGTCCCAGACCGCAAGTAATAAGGCAGATTACGGGAACAATGAAAGTCAAGCGCCAAGCCTGGCCGGGAGAATAGCCGCGGGCGTGAACGAAGGAGTCGTAGACAGCAGGCATAACGAAGTAGGTGATACCACCGCCAGCGTTACCCCAGCCACCAGCCAAGGCATTGGCAGTTCCAACCACGTTCTTGTCAAAGAAACCAGTGCACCAGACTTGGCAGGGGACGAAGGTCGCACCAAGAACACCGATGAAGAAGCGGCTGATGTAGAGGCCTGTAGCATCCTTGACGAGCGGTGCGAGACCAATGGGGAGAGAGCCGATGAGAAGCAAGGAACCGAAGACGATGCGGGAGCCAAATCGATCGCAAGCGGGGCCGGCAATTAGACGCATGAATAGGGTCGCAACCAAGGAAACGATGTTAGAGTTGGCGACTTGGGCAGCGGTCAAGTTGAGGTCTTTCTTGATCGTAACCGTCAATAGGGGCGGAAAGGTGTACCAGGCCCAGAACTAGGCATTGTATGTAAGTGATAAGATCTTCGAGGGGTCTTCGCCATAGGTATATACGCACAGCAATCATGAAGCCAAGCCATGAGAAATGGAAGGCGCGTGCGTAGACATTGAAGACGTTCAAAACTGGGATACTGCGGGCCTTGCGGTTGATAGGGTTCACCTCAGGTGCCTTCCAAAGGACGGAAAGTGCCATGGTGAGAAGGGCTTCAGCGTTTCTCGTGACGAAGAGTGTCGAGTGGTGTGGGGCCCTAAGGTATGATGTTCGTTCTCTCGTATAAGTCGTTGTCAACGAAGATCGAGGGTATTCAAGCTAAGCCCTGTCAAAGGGTTGCGTTTAATGGTCTTTGTCGCGTGTTCGAATGTTGATGTCTATGCCTAGATCTTGACGGAGGTTCGTTCAAGAGTCTTATATGGCTACTTGCAATCGAGTAACATAGGGTTTCCTAAGATTGAGGGCGGTTGAAGCATCTCCGGAGAAGCACCACGCTAAGCCGAATCAATGTCTGCCGCGAACACTCCCTTGCTCAGTGGGTGGGGATACAAGGGAGGAGGGGGGTGTAAAACGAGGAGTGATAGAGGCGTATTGATGGGATGGGAGACAGGCCAAGCGGCGGCAAAGAGCTAGACCGACCGGGCCAACAGTGTGGTAGCCTTAATAGCGGACTCGCCTGTCGATCTCTGATAAGACTCTCTGTTCGGGGGGGAGGCTGTAAATGATACAATACTTCCTGTAGTATGAAAAGTCCAGACGCTAGGGTGGTGTCTCGAGCGAGAGTGCCAGTCCTGCACGTTGTGTCTTGATCCACCGACCCTTCTGACAACCCGAGCCAAGTCGAACTTCGAGAAAAAAAAGTCGACAGGGCTCCCTGGCTGTGTGTATCTTTAACTGCGGCCCATGATTCTGACCCGGATAGAAGCGAAGCATCTAAAGATGCGATAAGACGAAGCACATTGGGGTCTCTAAGCCGACAGAACTATTCGAATGTGAAGCTAGCAGTATAATAGGGCTTCCCAGTTTTCCCTTAGCTGGACCACCCACCCGCTATTTCGGAATGGTTTAGCGGTTGAGGAACGTTGAACTGCATCGACAATGCTGTTTGGAGTCTCAGTATCAAGATAACGAAGGCTCAGGGTGAGCAGCTGGGCCAAGCATGATGGTCATTGGCACTAGCTCATGCCTTATCTCGATGGTCTTTGCCTGTCTAGGGCGCTCAGTAAAGTGCTTTAAAAGAGCAATGATTGGACAGGGTGAAAAGTAATGGGGAACAATACGACGAAACGGTGGCTTGTGAGTTTATTGCTTATCTCTGGAGGCTCGCAGCGGCGCTCAAAATGCGGTCGGAACGGGCGAGCCAGGTCCCACCCCTGGCATCCAAGAGATAAGGATACTGACTCTGATAGCTGACTGGTGAATGCTCGAATCGTTGGCGTCGATCCCCACGGCCCACGTCAAGTGTGGCATGCGTTTTAAGAATTTCAATGATGGAATGGAATTGAAGCGAGTGAACTGTTCTTTCCAGTAAAAGTCCCGGTTATGCTACAGTCGCAGAGAGAAATATGTCATGTAGTTGTGGTGATTCTGTTTGGTGAAGCCCCGTCCGGCAGCAATTAACTTTTAGACACCGGCTTGGCTTCTAGGAAAATTAGATCGCAACAACGACAGGGGCGCGGGATTGGCCGCATGGCATGGCATATGGTAGCCCCTTGATGCTAGGCTCTTTTACGCTAGCCCTCGGTCAACATCTAGCTCACCCGAAATTGCACGAAAGTAACTGGCTCATCATCATTTGACGCTCGAAGAGTATCAGCAGAGCCATCATAGCTGATCCTGGGCTGGTCTGCCGTACATAGCGTCAATCATCTCTCGGCAACGGTCCAGGGATAGTTGGGCAGAGTGAGTTTGTTGTAATCGGGAACCCTATCATTGGGCAATGTTGTAAGCCCCTTCAACTCTCCTGGCTCCACGTCGCCGCTGCCGTTGCCCCTGGACAACAACCCCAGCCCCAGTAACAGCGGGAGCGCCAGAAGGGGTATGCGAAGCAAGTGGGAAAAATGGGATGACTGGGTGTATGTGTGTTGCTCTGCTGTTTTGGTATTGGAGAGAGGTTGAGATAAGATAAAGAGATAGCGGAGCCAAGGAACCCCAGCCGCAAGGGTCCCACTTGCAGGGGTTGTCGAATCTCTGATATCGGCCCATGGATTATGTCAGCCGTCTGCCCCCACGTGTAGAATCCGCTTGTCTGGTTCAGGTGCCTTTGTCTCCCGTCGCGGCGTGCATCCCCGGCTTTCCCTCCCGGCTGTCCCTCAATTGCCCCGTGCCGTGATGGGGTCCAGACTTTTCCAATTCGAACCGACTTCATTTCTCCATGTCTTTCGCCTCAAACTACATGTTTGAACATCAACGCCATGTCAGGCGCACAGGTCATCGCTTTCCTGGCATGGATGGATCCGGCACACCACCCGTGGGTTGCGGGCGTTTTGCACAGCGCTTTCAGCCTCCACCTTAACGCGGCGTTGCGGACCCTTTTTGCCTTTTCACACGTGTAAGCCACTCTCCGCGGAGATGTTCAATTCAAGATAACGGGAAGACAGCCGCCAACTCTCAAGACGCCAAACGGCCCATGCGTCATGCGGCAATATCTTCAACGTTCATAGATAGCAATTGCTGTTTGAGGTGAAGCTCACGGCGGCAGACTTTTGTCGGGAAATTCAGAACACAAGGACAGCAGCATATGAAGAGCAGCTGCCATGCTTCGTAGTGTCGTCATCGCATGAACGACAAGAAGCATCTGTTAACTGTAACTATAATAAGGCACCATTTGCGGCTCAACAGGCCTCAGAGGCCTCAGTAGCGGCATTGGCAGTCTAACGCATTGTTCGATTCCCCAAGTCATGCGATTCAGCTGCCGTTATTTGGCAGAACTATACCAAGACATCTTAGGTATTGGACGCATCATGGCACCGAATGCGCAGCAGCCAGCGTGGGGTTTGTTGTTCAGCCTGAACCGCGCATCTTGCTGCCACAGGTGTCTACAACGTACCTTGGGTATCACACTCTACTCCCTCGTCAGGGTAAGTGGATCGAATTTTGCATCTCCGGATCTCCTTGACATCCATATCTCTGCCCAACAGGAAGATTTTGAACGCCCGGTTTCGGCCTTCAGGAGCAAAGATATCAAAAACTCAACCTGCGGTCTCGTATCGCGACCCAATTGATATCTTTGGTCGGTTTTAGGCTGACGTTACTTGAAAAAATGTGCTCAAACTATTGATCGCATCGTGTGGTGTGTGATTAGGAGCCCAGGGAGTATGACTGCTCCGGTCACTGACAAATGACTGATCTGGCAGTGTACACCTGAGTTTGTAGCGTTTCAACCCAATTGGAAATCCACTATGTGTTAGACACTCATGACTGATGTTCATACTGGGCCGTGAGGGCCTTGTGTGTCAAAGCACCATCTTGACTTCCTGACGGATCATTTACAAGTTGCGACCGGGGCGGCCGCTGAAAGAGAAACCATGATGACTTTGAACCTAAACCCATCCCGATAAGCCCTTAGAATCTCAGTAGGGTTAAAATTTCTTATTCTGCGATAGTAATAACGTGTCATAAAGGTTTCTCGTCACCGGAAAGCCAATAGCACCAAATTGGGTCTCGGAAGGTTGAAGATAATCTCAGTCCCATCTTCCGGAAAAGGGGCACTTTCGATATCAAGCATTCGCACACAGCACTCCACATCCGGCTACTGTGTGATTTCTCTCTCGTCGTTGGTATCTCTTCTAGTGAGTAATCTTTCTTCGATCTCTTGGTCAGCCATCTGTCTTCCGTCTCTTCTCTACCATCAGGACAGGTACAAAGCTTTGGAATGCGCTAACGGCATGTTGGTTAATAAGAATATTCGAAGCGTTTATGTTCTAACAACCTTTTTTGGACTAGGTTCTCGTGTCACCCCCATTGACAGTCCCTTTCGTCTAGTTCCACCGCGGCTTGTTGTTCTCGAACGTCGACCTTTAGCTTCACACGAGACCTTCCTGCCACGAGCGAAATACCATATTCCAGACGTCTACGCGTTGCAGAAGGCCATATATCCAGAAGATTCTTTCCTAAAAACCGTTGCAACAACTGGAACTTCTTAGTAATACTTGAAGGACCTTTCACGACAGCATTATGGCGCTCTTCATCGACAACCCTTCACTCGCACATTCCTATCCACTTGCCCTTCTCCTCCTATCCCTAATAGAGGCCACGATGGTTTACAAATGATGTACTCGTGAATTTTGGTTCATTAAATTACAAACCAGACAACTATAGAACACGCAAGCAGCGCTTGATAGGTCCTACGAGCATGGACAACAAAGGCGCCCAAGTCGCATTCACTACTTGTTACAGAATATTGCATGCTGCTTTAAGAGATAGATGCTAGAGGGGGGAAATCGGATATGGACTTTGGAAGAAGCAAAAGCTCATCAGGGTATCTAGCTAGATAGGGCATCACTGATGGTCATGGTCCCCCTCTGACTGACAACAACTTCCGACCCCATTCTGTTGGGCAGAAACGGCAAATTGCCTCCGCTTCCCCAACCCATTATCCTGATCCAGTCATGTTCTAAAGGGGCTATGGGTGCCATCTACTTATAGACTAGGGAACGGCCATTTAATTGTCGAAACAGGAAATCTGGCTGTACAACATCAAAATCGAGGACAGTCGCAGCAGGTTTGATTCATGCGTGTCTTGTCAGTGCAGAACTTGGTTCCTTAATATACACTGGCATATTTCATCTCGGGGATCTATCCTACCCGAATTGGGCCCCTGTTTTACTACGCTCGGCTTTGTGAATGAAGGCATCAACGAGATGAACATAGGGCCTCATCTTCTTTCACTTCAACGAAGCGTGTTGCTTCCATCAGAATAAGTGCTGACATCTCTATCCTTTCGTCCCATGTTATAGAAGATGGCCCTTTCACATCCAACTTCATCAACTTCCTTCTCTTGTCCAGACTGGACCTAGCTTTTCTCATGTACACTCAACATGAAATAATATTCTTTGATTTTAAGTGGTGTTCCACGCAATAAAGCGTCTGCAGTTCAATGGAGATGATCATATTTGAGGTTCCATCGCTGTACCCCAACAGCTACTGCTACTAAAGGGCGCTACGATTTCTGATCTTGGATCAGAACTAACATTCCACCA